GATTTTCTCGGGTGCTTACTATTAAACCAAAAATGCCGACAATTTAAGACGGAAGCGCCACCTGTCTTTCTTTTGATTTCTACTAAGATGTTCTTTGCCGAATATTTTACTCATAAATCATTATTTATTTGATTGGTTTAAATTAGTTTGTCGGGTTGCCCAAATAACGAAGCAAACTTCTCCAAGATTTACACAAAACAAGCGTCCAAGTCTCCTGTGAACAAGAAGACATCGCAACTTTCCCCTACTGGACTCATTCCCCCCTCCGCCAGCGGATCATTGAAGGTTCCTGTGGGTGGCAGCATCATATCTACACGGAGCTCCTCCAGGTATAAAACCGGTTTTACTGCTGAAACCTTTTTTAAATTCCTTACTATACTATAATAGTAGACGATCTTTTTTAAGCATCAAGTTTCTCTATCCCTTGTTTTGACAATCTACGCGTTCTTGGTTCGCAACCACGTTCTAAGATGTCCATCCATGCTATGTTGGTTGAAACAATGCCATACTTTTTACGCCGAATAGGAAGGAAAACAGAGTTTATTTCCCAGAGGTAGAAGCACTCATGTTCTTGATCACCATCGTGGTCGTGGTGGAGCCAAGTGCAAACCAGCAATTGTGTAGTTTGTTGCCGCCATCTTCGTAGATCATTATCGTCTAAGCGTTTTTTTCCACAAGTTTGAAATTACCGGCAAATCACTCAGTAAAACAAATCTTCTCTTTCCTTGCTTCTCATATTGTCTTTCTGACTACGGTACATCTTTTGTTCCACTGTCTCCTGAGGTTGCTATTTTTTAACCCTTTTTTTCTAGGAAAGGTTTCACGAAAGATGACAAACATCTTGTGAGTCATTACAGATGTAAGTAGTATTTTGCTGATGTTATCCTTTTAGACTTTTGTCTCTTCAGCACCATTTATTCAAACATTAGCTAGTACTGTATTTAGTGTATAATGCAATTGGCTCTCTTAACACTGAAATATCTACTGGAGAGTGATTTATTCGGTGGATAACACCATCCAACTTTGAAATAAGCCCGGGTAGGTGGCTCGGTGGACATAGCGTTAACTCTATTTTGGCTTTTTTAAATTCAAGCGTTCCAAGTAAGGAGTACAGGTCCGACGTTTATTGAATCTTGATGAGCTAAAATTCTGCGCCCGGTTGTCCGAAGTACCACTATGGCTAATCTGAGGTTAAATCTTAATCTGAGTTCCTGTTTCTTTTGTTCAAAGGAAATTTTTCTGTCAATTTTGTCTCGTCATTTCAGAAAGTCCAAAAATCAAATTGTAGGGAAAAAGAGTTAACTGGAATTTGCATCTTGAGAGTTCCGGTTTGAATTCAAATTTGGCGCTTATCCTGGATAATCTTTGAGCAGCCCGGCCTGGGCCGTTTTCCGGCTCTAAACAGAGCATGTGGGTGCGGGAGCAGTCGTGGAAACTCTGGATTTGCGGGCGCTAATCGTCCCTCAAACAACTCGGCCCAGAGCAAAACCAGTTGATTCGACAGAAGCTTACCTGAGGACAAACGTGTTTTTGTTACTGACAGATGCTGACAAGGCGATCCAGCATAGCACCCCTTTCTCGTTCCCATGGCCCTTAGGAAGTCAGTTCTCAATGATGGGTCTTAGCGAGCTCAAGGCCGCCATTAACTTAGAGAATGACGGCGTCGCTTCTAGCGAAAGACAGCGAATCATGAAATGGACTATTGATGACGTGATGAGTCACGTGAGAACAATAAGCCCTGACCAGGCTAAGGTATTCGGCGAGCAGGTATGTACAACTCTCAAGAATAGTCTTATACTGAAAGAAAGACATGTCACCAAAAAGTTTCAGACAAAGTAAACATCACATCCTAAGTGGATTTCCATTATCTCGACCACCGAATGAGGTAGACTCTCAGACAAAAAGCTTCAGGCTTTCTGTTCGCATCTACGTAAGTTGCGTCTTATGATCTTCTTTTCATTTATTTCTTCGTTCCGTTGTTCCCATAAAAATGATATTCACATATTCATCATTTCATGTCTTCATCTCTTCTGGGTATATTACGAACCAATATTAATGACCAGCTCCCAGATGGCTTGCTGAGCTGGCTGTACTGGTTATAGCGCTGCACCAGTATCGCAGAGGTCAGAGTTCGAATCCCGGCAAGCCTGAATTTTTTCAGTCTTTCCTTTCGCTACTGCATAGGTTGCGTCTTTAACTACGACAATCTTCTTGGTATTTGTTTAAACGGACTTTTATACTTATTACGCTTTCTTCTTAATGAACTAATGTTTTTGATGTTTCTTTCAGCAAATTGACGGTGAAGCGTTTCTCCTTTTGACGCAGAATGATATGGTGAACATTCTCAAGCTGAAGCTTGGACCAGCACTTAAAATATTCAACACAATACCTAAACATTGATACTGAGTGGGCGGGCGTCGCAGTAGTATTACAACAGACATCTCGTGTCGTGCTGGATCAATTCAATTAACTTTTTCAAGTGCAAGTTACAAGTGTAGCTGTTGCTTTCTAGGTGTAGTAAACCAATGGCTTCGTTTGAAATTACATTTGAAAAAGCCGGTTTCATCGAGTTGTACCTTTCGTCAAAATTCTTTCAATCTTAACCCTTCCAAATTTTCGAGGGAAAAAATCTCTTCCGCCAAGTTTTTGAATCTTTCACCAGTTAATATTGTGCCCCTAGCTCAAAGGCTTGAAAAATGCAAGAAATTTGTTTCTCACTATTAGGGCTCTTTGCCAATTGAACACTCCAGACCAGGATCAAAGGTAAAAGCTCTTGGCAAATTCATTCAGATGTTCAAAGTCTAACTACAAAGCATGACGTGAACCAAGATTTAATCAGTCTAAGAAGATTAAGTTATATTTCGTGTATGCATACATACAACGTCCTTTATTTAACACGAACGGTGACGTCAAAAGCCCGTAGCTTACACAGCGTCTGAATTCTTTGATGTGATATTTCCTGGGCCTACTCCGTGGCTGGCTGTTTGCTTTTGAAGAATTAAGACGGAATCCATCAGGAAATTGAGTAATTTTAATTTTTCAAAACCTTGTACCAGGATAATTTAAACCATATCGCATTCTTTTTCGCATTTTTGAAAGGCTATAGATATAGTTAGTTAGCTGTAATAACACCGAAGACAATGAGTCATGGGAGCCTGAGAAAACGAATTTTAAATTTCACAGGAATTGTAAAAACGCAAGTAAAATTTCATGCATAAGATTTCATTTTGGTCCATTTGTGAAATTAGAAATTTATTTTCTCGGGCTCCTTAAATAATTTTTTTTGTGTTATTACAGAGAACTAATTTCATCTATAACTCTCGAAAAAAGTGACAAGGAATGTAATATGCTTTAAATCATACTGGTACAGGGTTTTTGTCCACTGACAATTGAAATTACTCATTTTCCTGATGGATTCCGTCTTTAAAATTTAACTTATCGCGTTCGTCAGAACGCATCCTAATCTTGCTGTTCCTGTGGTACAAAGCCACAAATTTTCGAGGTGTCGCGGGTGACTGCCGATTGGCCACCCCTACTGATTTAAACAGGGGCATCTCGGCCGGGAAACTGGACCCTTCTACTCGATTTCGTTTGCGTAAGTGACGAACGCGGATCCTTAGTCAGTGATTACTTCTAGTTTTGGATAGAGCTCTTTGTGTTGGGCGTAGAGGGACAAAAGTTTGACTAGTCACCTAATAATACACATGCAACCAATAGTAGAATTTTTCTAGTTTTAAGCTTCCATAATGACTTGTAATGTCTTGTTAATTAGACAATTGAAGGTCTCAAGTTCTGGGTACCACCAAAGGGAAACCTTTCTGATTTGAATACACTTTGAATTACTTTTATTATAGTCTTTTGAATTGACGATAAAATAATACCAACTTTGCATAGCAATGACAGATAAGTTGCTTCTCACCCTACTCCCCCTAGAGTTTTTCGCTAAAAAATTATAAACCTGCAGTTAGAAATTAAGTGATCAGTGAGGTTGCTTAGTAACAACGTACAACAAAAGTCTTTCTTTTGTCTCATTGGACGATGGAAGTCGGATGCCTTCGTGAAGTCGCCTTAAAGTCATGGTCTGTTTTTATATAATTTGCTAAGGTACTTTTTCGTACCTGTTGGTTGATGTTATTGTTATGTTAGCCAGAACTTGGGTCAAAGAAATAATACAATTGCGTCAGAATTTAGGATCCGTTTACAAATAAACTTAATATATTTGTCGTGGTGAATCTTGTACTAGCGAATGCAAACATTCTTAATTAGTTAGGATTATTATAATAAACTTGGTTTCTATTTATGCGTACACCAAAAAATTCGAACAATTATGTAATTATTGTGCTAAGGTTTAAGAATAGCCTCTTTGTACATATATTTTTGTAAAATCAATTTTAACATAAGTAATAAAGAAATGAACAAGGGTTGTGTTGCATTGTTTACTTAGGAAATGAAATCCATCCAGCTTGCTCCCAGCTCCCTCCTCTTACCCGAGGAACGTAGCTCTTGTATTCATCGTCGAGAAAAGCTTTCCAATGAATACAAGATCGTATCTTGTAAAAATAGCTTTGCGAAACCACGACGAAAATAAAAACTCCTGAAAAAGTGAAGTCTTTCCAACTTCTTCCCAATTTTTTCAACTCCTTGACGTTTTAGGCTCGATTACCAGCCGCTGTTCGGAAAATGAGTCCACGCTCCTTTCTCGAACAGGCATTTTGTTCTCGGAGCCTAATGAAGTTTTCAAACAAACGTGAATTTTCCTTTTTAGGGGCCGCATCCAACTGGACTTCACTCCTTATAAAATGTCCCAAGTTTCATGTCCCAATGTCAAGCACGTGCAGAGTTCTTTAGTGTTTCGATCGTTAAATCTGCAATTTTTCGTACCTTGCCTTTGTGGTTTTGTAAGGCTGAGCACCACTTTCGGCACTTGAAACAGTAGTCAAATTTGTCTCAATTTAAAAACGTCAACGAGGGAAACGCAACAGTCATGCCGCAGAAGCGGGGGGGGTGAATTGGATGGAGAAAAGGAGAGGAAGGACAACTGGAAGGAGGCACAATCTTCCCGTCTCAGTTCCCTTAGCCGGTTTCAGGCGTTCAGATGGTGGAGGCACACGTTTCTTGAAAGTCTCGTTAACGTTTCGGGGCTGAAATCAAATTTTCAATAGTGTAAAGAGAATAAAGCGTGGGTCCTAGCTAACAAACCAGTTCATTTTGTTTAGTTGACAGATATTTCCATAGTGTCATCTGGAAAACTATTGAAATCCTTATCTAGAATATAAACAACAACAACTTTCAGGTGGCTTTCCGGGCCCGCTATTCATTGGGACTTTCGAGAAACGGGCCCCAGAACCCAGATTGTGATCAAATCATGAGTGCCAGAACAAGTGCAAATTCGTCATTTGTTATGTCCGGTTCTTGCGACTGTTCCCTTCGTGACACAAAAATAAATTTAAAGTTGACAGCCGTTACACAAACTTTGCTAATTTGTCCTAACTTGAAGTACAGAAAAACGTTTACACAATCTTTGCTGTTTCTTGGTAGAAAACAAAAATGCGGACTACAGGTAGAACTACCCCTGCACTGCTATTTCTGAACTTCTATCCCCTAAACAAGTCACAACTACTGTCTTTTAATTCCTTAGTTAGCCTACGTAGCTGGCGGAATTGTTTTGACGCGTGTGAGAGTTTTGGAGGTGAAGCCAGAAAGGGAAAGGAATTTTTTGCTCGCGCTAATTAACAATCCCGCCGACTACGCAGGCTATTCCTTAGTTAATCAATTGAGGTCGCTGCCCGAGCCTCGTGTCTTTTGTGACGCGTAACATGATTCACCAGTTAACGTATATTCAGCATCTTTCGTCAATGAATAATACAAGATTCATAGAATCTGTGGCAATATCAGAACACTTGTACTCGATAAGCGAAGAGCGTGAAGTGTTACTTTTAATTTCACGCGATTTTCATCTACGGAGTTGTCTTCATGCTGTTACAGTTCCCTTTGAGCGTAACTTCTGCGCGGCTCTTCTTTGTGCCGTAGTCCATAGACACTACCAAGATACCAAGAGCAGCTAGATGCTGTTTACTTTCACTTCAGTTCTTTCCATTTGATGCCGACTCACGAGAGTTCAAATCCTGCGTTAGCGTTGATGGCATAGCGGAGTTTTTCTTTAAGCGTGGTTTTCTTTCTGTAATTTGGAAGTTTAAGCAAATTAAAACACGTAGAAGATGTTGGCAATCTGCTGACCGGATCACGCCTGCGTCCGATGCTGAAAAACCCGCGAAATACGCTACCAACCGTGTCACCATCATCCTGTGGCGGGAAAATAAAAACGGCACCAACAGCTAGGTCAGCAGGCACAACAACACTAAGACTAATGACGGTAAACAGTATTTTACAATGTTAAATTGAGGATTTTTATACAATTTTGAGTTTTTAAGCTATTTGTATAGGTAATAGCATGATTTGTAGTGATATTTGGCATAAATACCACGAGTGATATTTCGAAATTGTTACACGTAATTTTACGAGCAGTTAGGCGAGTGAAATTTGAGACAATTTTGAAATATCATGAGTGGTATTTATGCCAAATATCGGGTACAAATCATGCTATTATTTGTTTATACTACTACCCACAAACGTTTTGTAATTTTCACACGTGGGTATTTCAAATTAAGCTGAAATACCACTACTCTAAGCCAATCAAATTGCAGAAATTTCTGATGTGGTAGTATAAAGAGGAAAATTGCTCATATGTCGGTGGTCTGAGCGTATGTATCTTTGTGGCTTTGTGTGTTGGGATGTGTGTTGTTGGAAAAATGGGCCAATAAGGTTGGAGGTACTATGAGTTGATGCCAGGAACCAATGAGATTTTGACATCCAAACGTCATGTTGCTAATGGTCAAACAAGGGCAATTAATGATGTTAGGGTATCAATCTTAACATTGAATGATGCATAATTTTATTGCAGATGTTAGAAAGGAGGTGATTTGTCAAAATCGTTTGAGCAAAGTAATCTCGTAAACAATTTGCGTTCTTTCACGTTCAAATTGTAAAAGGGGCAAAGTCCAACATCTTCACGTGCAAATTGTGTGCATGAGTTATTTTTACAATCCTGTTTACTGGATTATTGTGTGATAACTCGAAATCTGTATTCGTGTGAAAGGGGCCTTTCATCGCTGGAGAGCGGCTTCACTGCTTTCGTATGGACGGAAAATCGATTGTGTAAAAAAAAGAAAAAACGGATTCGAAAATATCCAGATTCGTATGGATGGAGCCTAAGATGCATCACCTTTCATTTATTTACATTAAATAAACAAAGGGACGCAGAAAACCCGCATATTGACACGAAGGGTAGTTTTAGGCAGACAGTTCTTCTCTTACCTCATCATCATTACACTCTACGCAGCGAATTGAGAATGGTGGCTCAAGATGAGCAAAGCCGAGCAGAGGAGGTTTAGAGCAACTTGTTACAAACTGCAAGAAAATACAAAAAAAGATGATCAGGGAAGACGTCAAAATGGCCTCAAACCGAATTACGTTGAATGGTTGATCAAGTTTAATGATCTGCTTAAAATACCAACTTCCTACTTCAGAAACGTGATAAACAACAAAAATACAACCCAGAGGAAAAGATTTTGGGCAAAAAGAAGTATTTCGACGTTATGCCCGTAACGTCTTCCCGAGGAGTGTGGCCATTTCGTTTCTTTATGATTCTGTCTTTCCAGTTCTCTGAAGTTAGCAGTTGGACGTCTTCAAGGGCGAAGAAGATGTTGCGATAAAATTGAAATATTTTTTATCGTATAAATATTTTGCGGTATTTTGATATTTTTCAATATTTCAAAAACTGTTTGTTTTTTTGTTTAAAATACCTTCAGGAATCTGGATTTCTCCTCTTCATTAAACTCCTTTTCTAGAACATCCCACAACCAGTTGACTACTCTGTGGTTGCTATGGTAGCCGCCGTAATATCGTGTGTGTCGCCTGGGATGTTAAGAACAAGAAAAAAAGGTACATAACCGAGTGATCAAATTTAAAAAAATGTCCAAAAAGAGTTACATTAAGGAACTTAAGCAAAGGCGTTTTTAGCCAACGCACGTCAACTGGAAGTGGCTTTTTTGAATTATTGGGCAGTAAGTTAGTCCAAGGGGCAAATAGTCTCTATAACAGAAAAAACACTAAGCAATTCAAATTTGGTAGCATCAAAGCATGTTAAAAGGTAAAATGCCCCACTTGACGTGCGTCGCTCAAAAACGCCTTTGCTTAAGCCCCCTAAAGAAAAGGAGGACGAAGAAATGATGTCTTTCAAGGAGGTCATGATGTTAAGGGTAACAATATGAGCACGGTTGTTCAAACGTTGGATGGAGACAAATTGAACTATACAGCGGATAGCTTTATCCACCTTGCGAACAACTGGGGCATGGACTATAACAGACTTATTTCCGTGCACAGGCCTGCCTTGTAACATCGTACGAGGTGAAAATGCAAATGCCTAGTTTATATTTGAAGTGTATCAGTTTAGAAGATCTACCGTCAAGGAGGTTGCAGACAGTTCACATGAAAAATCGCAACCAAATAATCCATACCAAAAATAACGTGAATAAAAGCCAATTGACAGGAGACAAACCAGTTACATGTAAGTATTTACAAGCATAGTCCAGCCCTCAGATCACCGAGAGAAAAATCCAGCCATTGGTCGGAGCGATACTTGCAATCTTAACATACTGACCATGATCCCGTCCCTCTTTCAAACGCCAGAAAAGACAATGATAATGACAATAACAAACTATATCTAATGCATCATTAAGGGAGCTGTTTCACGAAATTTATCAACATTCTAACAGCAGGAACTGCCACCAAATTGAGAGAAACATAAAAATAACCAATCAATACAATAAAAAAAGGTATTAATTACACAGTGAGTACATAAGAAGGCAGGGATGGATAAACTCGGGGGAGATTAAAATGGATTGCGGTTGTGGGTTTTTGAAAATCTGTTAGCCTCACAGTTTTTCAAAGTTCATTTTCGTTGTTTATAACGTTTGATATAATGCCTGGGAGGATATTTGTTGGACAAGAAGCTGTGATTTTGTCATTTACACGTTATTTCTTCGCAAAGGTTAAGTTTTAGAACGAATAAGAAAGCGTGATTGGCAACATTAAAAAACTGAACCAGACAGCTGTAACACAGCTCCTTTAACTGCAGCATACTCGGCCAATTCTACCTGAGATCACTGAGATCCAAGGCAGCACTGTCACCGGAAATGAGCCTCTGAAGCTCAGGACCGGAAAACATCTGTAGCCAATCAGGACGCACGATAGTCTTAAAGCCCCGTATGAAGGCTGCTGTCTGCTCTCGGATTTGGACACACATGCGATAATGCGCCATCAGGTGAACATAACTGATTCTTTATGAAGAAAAAAAAAAAGAACATTTACATACAAGTTATTTCTCATCCAAAGTGTTTTTAAAGCTCTTCCAAAATTTAGTTCCAGACGAACAATATAGGGCGTTTACCATTTTTTAAAACTAGTCGATCCGGTTAACGGTAAGTCACTTGGTAAATTCATATCCACTTTCATGACATGTAGTTGGGTGCACCCAGACGTTCTCCAAGAATAGAGGTAATAGTCTTCCAGGGATGTGAAAAAACATTTTAAAATGCCAACTGTTTCTCGGAAATGCAGAAGTGGTGCAAACTCGGCAATTATCAGGCTTCCCATTAACCCACACGTGTGCAAATTTTATGCACAAAAAATGAAAGGGACGTACGCTTCTTTGAGCCGAAGAGTGCCAAGAACGCACAAGGACTGGTTACTACCCATACATCTTTCCAACCTTTGGCCTCATGTAAGACGAAATTCTGGACATTGCTGTGCATTAATCACATTTACAAGGAGAGCTGTGTCAATGTTATTGTATTTACTACAAGAAAGACATAGAACAATGTTCAAAAAAACGTTTTGCTTGATACCAGTCTTCCCCCTCTCTCACTTTTTTAATCACATCCACAGAAAGAACGTCTGAAGATCCTTTAAAAAAAGCTTAAAAGTAAGGGACCCTTAAGTTCCTGGGACTGGAGGTCCTAAGGATCGCTAATTTTCAAAACGATTTGACTGAGTTTACACAAGAAGCATTACTCACTTGTTGTCGTTCGTGACATTAATGGCACCTCCTCCAGGCAAAAGCTGGTGTGTTACCACCTAAAATATACACCAGAAGAGTGTAAAGAGAACAACAACAAACAATACGATCGTAACTTCATAGAGAATAAGAAAAAAAAGAATGAGAAAATAAATAAAAACAAACCAAACAATTCACATCATCATAAACTGGCAATAATCTGTTAAGTATCTCAATCTCTCTGATATTCTCGTCGTACGTATTATTAACCGCTGAATTTCACAGACTAAGATACAAAATAACCGTCTCAACTCCTCTACCAGGAATTCTGCACATTATTTTCCATCGCTATTTTTCCTTCCCAAACCCTCATATTAAATCAAAATCAGTAGAAATTTAAACTTTTTCAGCTAAAAGGTTCAGGTTTAACGAAGCAAATCATGCTCACCTTGCCAAGGACATCCTCATCAAACGAAAAAGTTAACTCAAGATCCCTAATATCACCATCATAATGCTGTGCGATAACAAAAAACAATGTGATCACTTCAAAGCGTCAGAGGATCAAACTTACATAGCCTTTTTACGGCCCAGGCCGCTACCTCTGCTGCCGGGTCCACCCTTAGTTCCAGAGGCCGCTTTCCCTGCAGGGTACCTCCCTTAGTTACCGAGACCGCTGCCCCTGTCGGGTCCACCCTTAGACCCCGAGGCCGTTGACCCTGTCAGGTCCACCCGTAGTCCTCGAGGCCGCTGCCCTTGCCTCGCCTGGGTGCCACCCTTAGTATCAGAAACAGTTGTGAAGGAAAAACCAGTGAGGCTCAGCGGATCTCTAGTAGACCTGGATCATTAACATCTTCAATACCAAATTTTAAAATTACAACAGTAAACTGATCCTTACGGCAGGAAGAGTGATAGACAGAAATAAATAAAGAAAACAAAACTAAAATAGTGAATTATATTTGCTCGATATTTCGGTTTGCAACACACACCTTCAACCGGGGCTAAAAAAGAAAAATGAATACAGATATAAAATGAACGTTACATGTGAGAGATTTGAATCCATAGTAAACAGAAAATTATACTAGGCAACTAAAGAGATAAATGTTACCAATTAAGTTTATCACCCTTAGTCTCCGAAGACGCTGCCCCTACCAGGTCCAAGGCAGGCGGTTTTTTTTATCTACAACTGAAGGATAAGCAATAGCATCACAAAGGCAGGGTTGATCATTTGTTACAAATTGGTACTGATGACTATCAACAATAGTTACTCTGCCTGTGTATTGCTGGTGCTTATCCTTAAGTTGCTGTTGTAAACCAGCCTTAATGCTCACCTAGTCCATGCACATTCTTTGAATTTTCAATGTATTTACCGATAATGTTTTGGACGACTCTGAATTGTTTTCCTTGAAGTAGACAGTTGTCGTCAACAGACTCGGCAGACAAGGAAGAAAAACAAAGATGGAGAAGAGAATAACAGAATTTTGCAAAAAAACTACCATCCGAAAAAGTTATCTGGAAAATAATTCGTTAAAGGTGTGACGAACCTTAATGAAGCACAAACTCTTGTAAAGGGACTGATCTAGCGAAGGCAGTTCATCAATGGAGCTGTAAAGACCAGTGTTTTGACGGCCAAGAACGTGACTAAGAAAAAACGACGCAAAGGGTACTTCAACCACCATGCCCTGGTAAGGAGAAACAAAAAAAAAATGAAAATATGTAAATTGTGAAAAAAAAAAATAACTCATCGTCATGAGCGAAATTTCATGCATGTCATGTGACTTTCACTTCTCGGGAGACCACGGCAGCTGGTCGAGACGACGGTATTTTCGTGGGCGATTCGTCTCGAATAGCTGCACTAGAACTCCGAGGATGTGTGACATTCAGCAGGAAATGATTGAATACATCGAGGCAAAACTGCTGTAACACTTCCTACTACACTCTTTTCTGTTTATAAGAATATGTTTTATAAGAATATCGAGGTTGAAATTTGCGAAATTTTAAGAATATTTTAAGAATAAAGCCAAAGCTGAGATTCTGGGGAAAGGATATAACTTTGTGTGTTGAAACCTGTAATTATACAATACACGTGTACAATATTATACATTTTTAACTTAGCTGTATAAAATTATTCCTTTCTCCAAAAGTCAAAACTAGCAAACAAATTGAAAAAAAAAACTGCACTAGCTATAGCCAAATGGTCAGTGCTAATGACAGTTTGATGAAAGGAACATGTAATACATTAGTACCGTGGATACAGCACAAAAGAAATGAACGAAGGGCAAAGAGTATCATGATGGATTCTTTCTTTTTTAAGCAAAATACAAAAATGTTTTCAGTCTTAAAATGGCAGAAAAAGGAAGAATATTCAGCCTGGGGTGGGAAAAAAACATTCTTATAAAAAAAGAGGTAATTTTTGAGTAACAAACAAGGTTTTTGTAAGCAAATTATTGGCGAGACAAAAAATATAAAAATATGTCATGCAAAAAACAGAGAAGGATGGATACCTCGTATAAAGCTTTTCCCAACATTTTACCCAAGAATTCGAATAATTTCAGATGGTTGTTATGAATGCAGGATGTAGTGGACGGATAAAGACGCTCTTCGTCGCCACTTGTCATCTGAAAACAATAACAATAAAACGGTTTTACAAGATTCGATGAACTCAACAGAAGGGGAGGTTAGGAAAGTAGCATCGTCAGCAAGGATAGTGCATCACCAAATGTTATGGATATAAGAAATTTCAAAGAGATGCGAGGCTACTGACTTCTAGGCGTTAATGAGGATTTGTCAAGAGATCATAACAGGTGAGAGAGCGAGTCTCCAAGTCACACCTTTGGGATATCTTAATTCCAAAAAAGTTATTTTTAGAAACTATGCGAACCATGCGGAAACAGTTTTCAGAGAACTTGTTAACTTTCGCAAGACTCGCCCTCATGCTTCAGTGCGTTAAAGCGGGGCGAAGTCAACAAATGAAGAATATGACGCACTGAATCATGAAAGCGAGTGTTCCGGAAGACAACCAGTTCAACGGAAACTGTTTGCGCATGGTCCACACACCTTTTAAAATTTACTCGTTTGAAATTATGATATCCCGGCCAACGCCCCTAGACTGTCTAAAACAACCGACAGGCCACAAGAAAGTGTCCTTAAGAGTCCGCGCACCGCACAGCGGCGTGCCAAAAGGAATATTTGTATTAGAGAAGTAACAACTAGAACTAATGCGTAACAAAAGAATCGTAAATCCAACCAAAAAGACAATTACATGGTCTGAATGTAGTGAGATGGCGCTCAATATCCTTTACCGCAAAGGTAAGTACAACAAAATTAGGCGTATTTCGCTGAGCGATCGATGATTTTTTTCGAGAATAATGCTATCCCCGCCGCTATCTTGGACTTTGAAACTACCAAAGCCGAGTCAGAAATTGTTTCAAGGGAGAGGTTGGTTGTTTACAGTGAGTCCATAAGAGCGAGTCCTTAATAGTGGGATTGTTTTTTAGTAAAAAGTCTGTTATCATTTCCCAGGGATTTACCCGCTGTCCGGGGTTTTTGTAATAGACACGTGTCCAACAGGTGAAATTCAACTGTAACACGTGTTATTAGCCAAGAGTACAAGAAAAGAGGCAAGAGAGAAAGAAAAAGCACGCCATATTAAATCGAACGAAATGTATTTACATTCGGCGAAGCTAAACGTAGTGGCAGTGACAGAGAATGTAAATACTTTCCTATTGGTATGAACGCACGTGAGCCGCTAAGGCGTTAATTGACTCTATTGTTATTAGGTATATACGGTTTTGACAGTTGTAATGTATTCATCTCAGCTCTCGAACTATCAACTTTTATTTTTTATCTTACTTTATTCAACTATCGATTGATTTCTAACCTTTTTAACCCCCAGAGGTTGTGCGACCGCATCGGTTGGGGAATACGTTCCCAAATTTTTTCCCATTGGGTTTTGGGTTTTCGTATCAGGGGCGCACGTGAATAGTTTAGCCTGAGTGACTTTATTTAGAAATATTTGTATACCATTCTTTAATCATGATGTTGAACTTTGTATGTTATTTGGACGGCATTAAACACTCAGGCTCCACAGTTCGAGCTGCACACCCATTCCCGTCTCTTAGTCGTTAATATAAATAGGAAGGACTTTTTTGAAAGTCTAGGTATCCACAATCCCGCACTTCTTTTGGTGGCGGATTGCAATTTCTCTTTGAGTTTTAATTTACTATTACCTTGAATAAACCAAGCGAAGGATCAAATCCTTTCTTGACCACCTCTTCCAAGAATTCTTTGAATACACCGTCCTGGTCAATACCAGCTTCAGAAAGACCCTGAAAACAGAACAGTCTATCATTTAGGGATGTAAATTTAAACCTCGACAGAAAGGAATGAATATAATGCTGATGGGTTTGGCTTTGCTTTTGACGTTTGAAAAGACAAAGAAATGAAGGGGCTAGTTTCTAAAGGAACTGTAGTGTTGTGTTGGTGGAGGAGTGAAATACAAAGATTTGGTTTTACCAACTCAGTTGACAGAGTAAATTGGCCATCATAGGGGGATCGAGAAGCTGAATTTTCAAGCGCTAGCCCATCGTAAGGTTATTTCACTTTTCCCAAGACGCAACACCTCAGTTTGTTTAGATGCTAACGGCCTAATTCAAACTTATGGGAGCATTTGGGGAACGAGAAAGCCAAGATCAGTAACTCACAGCACTATAAAAGTATTTTGCACATATGAGATATGAACTGTTTGCTTTACTCGTTCTTCACTATTTTGAGGCAACCCTTATTTCCGCGACTGTTGCTTATTGAAGACAAATAAATTAAAAAAACAATCACTTTTATGGAGTGACACGGGGGCAGAGCGAATGCATTACATGAAGTACCTACCTCTCTCTCTACCCCCCAGCCCCCCACCCCTCCCCAGCCCCACCCGACACCCCCAACCCAAACAATTCCGTAATCGTTTGCGCGCCTTCTCTGGATGATCCACGGCTATCACTATTTTCTGAAGTGATAATGGAGTGAGTAGGAGTGCACACCAGTGCACAAAGCGACTAAAAACACGACTCACCTGTTCGTTAATAAATCTGACACGAATAAGACCTTTGAATGTGCGAGCTGGAAGCAAACTCAACTGCTCGTAACCATCCTATGGAGTAAACGGAAACAAATTTTAAATTGCTTTAGAATTAACTAAAACAACACTACAGCGTGCAAAGAAAGTCGTGTCTGATAGCCCGCGGCTCGTGGATTTGACGATCGGGCTAGTGATATTCTGTTCTCAGCTTGCCCAACAAGTTTTTAGGAGAATTCATGTTACATAAGTACTCTAAGACAAATTGAAAATTCCTCATAATTTCACGTGGATTGAAAGCCTTTCTTTCAGTCGATCTGACGAAGTGAAATCTGCAAAAACAAGTGTCGCACTACATTTCATGTCAGAAAAGATGTTGCGTGATCTGCACAATCTACTGGTAAAAATAATTAAAAATATTTTAGAAGTAAGCTCCTACAGCTTATAAAGCTTTCTTTAAATTATAGCTTACTACAAATAACTAATAAAGCAAGCAATTTATTAAATAATGGTGTAATAGATAAATAATTTTTATCTGATCATTAATCCTGCTCGTCAGAAGAATTTTCGGGCTAGGCAAAATGAATTTCAGGCTGGTACATAATAGCAAGTCAGGGTAAAACTGACTTTCTTTGCACCCTTTTAGAAACAGTAAGAAACGCAGAAGGAAAACGTATTTAACCTCTAACAATCTGGAGCGTTGAATTGTGACGAGCGTGCCGTGTGGTAGAAAGTCATCCGTTGGACGGGTAATACCGAGGTCCTCTTTGTCTTTTGCCACCAGTCTTCTGAATAACTGCACTCGCTAGGACAATAAAGAGTATAATAATAGCAGTACAAAATAAAAAAAGGTAACTATCACTCTGTGACATCGATATTCTCGGTTCATTTGGTTCAATAGAGCCACACAGCAGCTGAAAGAACGTTCTTTGGAGCCTGTAAGCAAGGTCTCCAGAGGAAGATATATGAAGGGAGGTCACAAACGAACGGCGACTTAAACTCAAATAAAGTAGCTTGCTATCCTGCAGTGCAGGCGTTTTTTTTGGGCGCGCGAATGTTTTTGCTCGCAAAGCGCCATGTTGAAACTCACGAAGAGAGGAGGAAATGGGGCAAGTCAAAGGGAGCGGGAAGGGGGCGGAGAGAGAGGGTCGAGCGAGGCGAGCCGCCGGTGACTCCACAAGATTAATCCCCCGGATGGAGAGCTTGCTCGCAGGACGCGTACGTGACAGTTATTTTGAGAACTTGGGAATCGGACGCAAAAAATGTCTAAAAGCACAAAAACTTGCACTGGTATGTTAAATGAAGTCCTTCATGTTGGATGAGGGGAGGTGATTGAGTGCAATAAAAAGCTTAAGGCTGCGTGCAAACGGACGCAACAACTCCCAACAATGTTGCGCCAACAATGTTGGGAGTTTTTACGTGCGTGTTGGCAGAGGTGTGCAAACGGACGCAACAACTCCCAACAATGTCGAGACCTGCAGTGCATCGTGGGAAGGATACAACCCACAAGTCTTGGTAAACCATCCGTAATGCGCGTGCGCAGCCCCAACAATGTTGGAAGAGCTGTGCAAACGGATCTAACATTGTTGCACTACGCTTCGGCGATCATGGAATAAAAGAAATGTTGGGAGTTTTTGGCTGAAAAGTTTGACGGGTTTCAAACTTTGCGCAACAACACGCAACAACATCCAACAACATGCAAAAGGGTGTGCAAACGGACGTAACATGTAACATCCAACAATGTTGCGTCCGTTTGCACGGGGCTTAAGAAAAAAGGAAATACTTATAATACTTATCTTACTCGAAGTGAAACCTATTCCGAAACAATTCAAAATCCTGAACTTCTCATAAAAATTCCTCGTAAAAATTTCCGCTCAGAGTTGATTACCTCTCTGTGGGGCAGAACATGAGGAACTTTCTGAATCACTAACATCGCTCCTTTCTTCTTTTTTTCGAGCTCAGACACAAACGTACTCATTTTAATTTTCCTGTCAAAAAGACCAGTGAAAATAACAATTCAACTGGATTATTTTGTTTATAAGCTAATTATTAGAGAAATAAGTAAACCTGTTTGTCGTGTATCGTTAAGTTATAAAGGCACGGGGAAACTTTTAAGAACACGAGAGAAGTAGGAGTGAAGCACGAGCAACAAGCGTCTCTTTCGGTTAAGTCAAGGAATGAAACACTCGATTAGACCAAAATCGTTTGATGCGGCGCCTTTCGTTAGTTAGTTGTTGTTGTTTTCTTTTGGCTGTTGTGTGTGTGTTTTATTTTTTGGAAGGACGGGATGGAAACAAGCTTTTTAGGGTTAGGTTCAGACTAGAGGGGATTTTTCGGGGTTAGTCGTGTTGGTACCGCGGATTCGTTTTGCCGTTTACACAGAGATGCAAGAATTTGAAATACACCTTCCCGGTTTAGTCACATGGCCGGAGATTTTAATCCGGAATCTAAAGTACATCCTTTCAATCTGAATAAATGTTCTCGGATTTACTAATTTGTGTAAACGCTTACGAATCCGAAAACCATAAATGCAATAAATCCGGAAACATTAATGAATTCAGAAAAATCTTCTCTAAGGTAAACCTAGCCTAAAGCAGTTTGTTAGGGTGAATATCCGTAAAGGGAAGATTTCAAGGTCCTCTTGTTTCAGGCCTCGTCCAAACTAATGCGTTGTCGATTGAAAACGCATACATTTCGATGCGTTTAGGCCTTCTGTCCAAGCTAATACAATAAAAACACATGCATCGATTTGAAAACGCTCTTGGAAGTGGATCAAAACCTAAACGCGTTCATATCGCATTTGTGGACGGTCGAAAACGCATTAAAATGAAAACGATGAACGATTTTATTACACGTGCGTGTGTTTGTAGCATACACATAGAGTTCAACTTGCGTCACAAGTCAACGCGCAATTCTATCGTTTTCTAACGTTTTAGTGTGGACAGTCGAAAACGCATTTAAACGGTATAGTGTGGACGAGAACCGATAAATGCGTTTTCGATGACAACGAAAACGCATACTTTTGAAAACGCATTAGTGTGGACAGGGCCTCAATTAGGCGGGCTTACATTCTGACTATTTGTTGGTTTATAACTAACCTGATCAGCCAGTGATCTGGGGTGGTGAATTTTCGTCTACAGTCTCTGTCGTAAAGTATCATCAACAATGTATGAGCTGAATTTAGCATCTGTTCTCTGGTTTCTATAAAAACAAACACAAAATTTCAGAATTTTAGGACGGTTCTCTTAAAATTATACAAGCAACACCTACCATCCACCATGTCGTTCCAAAGCATTTTGAAGACCAAGGTGTTGAGGAAAGCCGATATTTGAACCAGCTCGTCCAAACGGAATGGCTTTTGTTGTTCGTACATTTCAGAGTCATCGACAATACTGCGAACAGAAAACCAAAACAATCTTTGAATTTGCGAGCCAAGAATTCAAGTCCAAAAACGTTTGGACAGTGGAGGACCTAATTAAGTTTGATTATTCAAATAAACGCTAGTGATAAGTAGGTGGAACACGATCGTGCGGGTGAGCGTAGTCCTGAATAGGACTGTTGTTGCTGACAGTGACTGACCTTTTGACAACCTGTGCGGTAGTCATCTTCAGAGTCAAAGAGTGCTATATCACGTCAGTTGGTGACATTAAACTCTACTTATTGACCTGATTGGTCAATTAAGTCGCGATGTTATTGGTCGTCTGTCAGTCAAGCCAGCCGTGATATTAGTGGCTATGAAGACTCTTAAATGTCATTGGTGCGTTTTGATCCGTCTATTTAATTGTCACAGTTGAACAGTATTGGGTAGCGTTTGGGTTCTGTATATTATCCTGTCACATGTGATTCACACGTTTGAGCCTTTGTTTAAACTCATATGGTTTAAACATTCAAAAGAAAGCTGATGATCAGCACTTTCGGTGGTACCCTACTCCACTGCAGTGGCTCCCGCTGCAATTTCATTTGAACAAATTTCATTGGGGACGATATGCTGTCCTATAGGACAGCAGGCGCAGATTCACATCGGCTTCCACAGTTGAAATCTGAAAATGGCTTGGACTCGCCTTGCTCCATATCCACTGCGTGGAAATTGACCTTCAGGAAATAATCCGCCGATTTGCAAGGCTTCATCCGAGGAGAATGGAACTGGCCACTGGCCAGTATCCTGTCTGAATGACTCAGACACCCAGGAAAGAGGACTTTAGAAAGTTAAAATCCAAAAAATTCCTGGGCGGGGTGGGGGGTGGGGGGAGGGGCATGAAAGCTCCAGACCCCCTAGAAGCTTGGGGCTTCACAGTATAACTGATGACTGAAACCCTTAACGAATCTGTTAAGGAGTAGATTACTTTGGTCATGTTATTTATCATAGTGCACGATATGGCTTTTACTTTTAAGTTAGTAGAGACCACTAGACTCGAGGACGAGGACGACTGTGACTGAGGACGAGATTGAAATTAAAGTTTTTTCACCTCTTCTCAAAAAATCAACACTCCGGAAAGCTACATTGAGTTTTTTTATTTTTTAATTACTAGAAAAGTTAAGCCCTCTCCCGATGGCAAAATGATAAAACTTCTAACATTAGATGACTTGTTTCCGCCACTATGACGTTCTCGCTAAACCCGTGGTAGAATGATGACGGCTACCATGTTTTCCCGCCAAAATGACGCTGGTCCCCGTAGTCGTCCTCGTCGTGGAGTCTAGCTCTAGTGAGTAAGATCCGAGATAAAAAACTCAATACTCACGGTATCAAATGACTACAGCAGTCGCAGAACAGGATAAGAGCCGCTTGCAGCTCACAGTTATTAAAAAGACCTATTTTTTCCAAGGTCACCAAACGCGCTTCTGCAGTATTCTCGAAACCAAGTGATTCAAAGAACTTCCAAAGACGCACAACGAAACCCTCTTGGTAACTCAGCCCTGTAGAGAAGGAACAGAAGCGTTTCTTTTGTGTATTCCACTTGTTCTATTTCTGGAGCGAGTTGCATGACGCCTTATCAGAATTCTGGCTTTAAGTCAGACGAAACTGTGAACGCCTGGCGTTAATGTTAAGAGTCGTTAAAAAAGCTGCCTTTATAGTGGAAACACAATTAATGGTAAACCAGTAGAGTTTTCTTGATTGTTTATTTAACAACACAAACCTGTTAGTATGTCCAGCTTGATTTGGGAGAAAGTAGAGAGAACAGTTTGATACATAACGCAGGCTTTCAAAATGAGGTCTGTTTGAGAACTGGATAAACTGGCTTGTCCTGATCTGGAGCGACCCCTCATACGGGACCATGGCTTTTTATTACCTGACAAAATAAGTTCAAAAATGTACATATATTGGCGCCTACAATACAGAACACTTAAAAAGCCAAGACAAAATATCACTCTGAGTATTCACAAGCTACCAAAAGAGATAGAGTACGAATTCAAAGACACTCATGACAGCTGATTGCCAAGGGGCTCTAGTTTGTCACACCAAACGCACCAACATTGCTAAAGTGGTTAGAAAATAGAAGAATAGCGTCGAAACAATTCCTCGTAAACGTTCACATTTTGACTGTAGGGAGCTTAAGCAGCGCAACGAGGACGGGAGTGAAAACGTCGCTAAAAAATGAATTTGCATCCTTTCAATTTCTATTGCGTCTTTTTGGACCCGCTCAATTTGACAAATGTAACCGGCGATTTTTCCTGGAGTTGAATTATTAGAATTATATATTTGAATTATTATTCAGGTTCAAAAAGAGAAAAGAAAATTCGTCGTCGTATGTTCCCGTCCTCCATAAAACGTCGTATAGGGAGGTTTCACGTCGTAGTCGTGCAGTTGACGTCAAAGAAATCTACTAAAAAGCGTGATGCACGTGCAGAGCTGTTGTTTTGCTCAAAAACCAATAGACCAATTCCGATATATTAAACTTCATACTTGGCTCCGAGGCTAGGAAGAATAAAACAAAGAAATCATCTTGAGGCTCAGCAATAAATAATACATTTCTTTTGTTTTATTAGCCCAAGCCTCGGAGCCAAGTATGAATTTTAATATATCGAAAATGGTCATTGTTTTTTGTCTCAGCGAAAAAAAGAAAAGATATCAGCGAGCACACTGTTCACATAAAATCTAGGCATTGTATTTTTGACAATAGTTCCATTTATTTTCATGCATATGAACTAAACATTTGATTAAACAGCAGTTCGTTGAGGAGATATAGAACGCTAAATCATATTTTTTCAAACCTTTGTCCTCCCTGTTTTTTGCCTCCTGGTTTTCTGTTTCCGTCATTACCATTAAATCTTCAAATAGAAGATTTACAACTTTGCGACTCCACAAAGACTGTAGTTGTTGCCTCACATGAGAAATAGAACTGTTTAACCTGTCAAATGAAAAAAAACTCTGGCAAATGACAAGTCCGTTTTGAGAAAATTGACAAGAAGAAAAATAACAACAGTAACAATAAAAAGTGTTAAATTAAATTTCCTAACTGTGTAAAAGGATATGTGGTAATCGGTAACGAATTCTGTCCACATGTAAAGAGTCACCCTAAATCCTCGAATTTGCGCCCAGGACGCTTTTTTGATTTTACAGAGCTTAAGTAACGACGAATTTTAGGGTCTACTTTACATGCCTTTTCCCGTTTTCTTTGGTATGTTTGACTGAATGTTTTTTCTTATAGTTGTATTTTTAATCAGGAAGAAAGCGTCTATAATATGTCACATGTAATAACCTAAAATTATCTTATTTTATACAATTATTTCCCCGTTTGAACTGAAAACTAACCACAAAAATTTACTGCGCTTTTCAATAGCACGTGAACTCCTAAGTTTAAAAGCCGCCTTCACAATTGTGTTTTCCACAAGAAATGAACCTTGAAATACAGAAACATACAAAAAGGATCGAAATCCACCAATCGCAAATCACAAACCATGACCTCGTCATCTCATTGCAGAAAATTTCTGTTTTCTGAGAGGACAGCTAAGATGATTGACGGCAGCAAAGAACGCAAACGTCGGTTGGCTTTTGAACTTCAGAGTTCGCGTGTTTTTGAAAAGCGCAGTAAGGTAAGTAAGTAAGTAAAAGCTTGATTAATGTGTCAATGTATTTAGTTTTCACAACTTGTTGGGGACACAAGTAACGTTGAGGCGCTATATCAAGAATTTTCTTACCTTTCATCTGTGGGTTGTTTAAACCATCCTAACACTGGATGCCAGTTTGTAAGATTAGACTGCTTTTTGGCTACATATGACTGACAGTAATAAAGCAGCTTTGTTACAACTTCCTGTGCAAATGAATAAAAATAAATAAAACGCAACTTTAGTTGGCTGGCAGAAATAAAAAGTCATTACTAATCACTGACGTCAAAGTAGAAAATATAGCGGATCTTGATCCAGTTAGATTAGATTTCCGACACTCTCTCAGGGAGGCGCGAAGGCTCATATAGGAAGTAAAAGTGTAGCTTGTGTGTGAAGCGTTAAGCGTTCTTATGTACGAAAAAATACTAGACTTTTAATATTCCAAAATATTCTTGTTATTTAGTGTAAAGACCACCAAGACACTCTAGATACTAGAAATGGGGAATGGGTTTCTTTTTACCAACAACTCTTTTAAAACAACAGTATTATCAAGACCACCTCTAGGAACACTGTAAGCGTTCAGAATCAAATCAGCAGTAAAACGTAATTATTACATCAGCTATTTAGTAATACTTACAATGAAACTTGTTAGCTTCTGCTTAAAAATCTGAAACAGAAGGAAAGACCAATGCAGTAATAAATGGACCTTTGAATAAACTGAACATCCAAATAGTGATAAAACTGACCAGTTGTTCTCTTATAAACAACTGCGATTTTCTACCTTACATACCGTATTTCCTTTAATAATAGCCATCCCTCAATTAATTGCCTCCCTCGAATAATCGCCCCCACCCCCTAAAACAGAAATATTTAAAATAATCGCTGTCCCTCAAATAATTGCCCCCGTCTATTATTCAAGGAAATACGATAATCAATATTTATTATTAGTAATATCATCATCATCATCATCATCATCATTATGATTCATTTGCTAACTAACCTCAACATTTTTACAATCACGTAAAATAAAAAGGGGATATTACATTGGGTTGCGGTAACAAGTGGTTTCACTACTTGTTGAATTTGCTATACCTCTTGGTTCGCAACACGTTCGCTGCACATTACTTTCTGTAAACCATTGAAAATAATTTGTTAACCACACTAGAAAAAATGTTTCAATATATTTGTCGTTCCTTTAAGCCTGCCTCTCCACAGGTGCAAGTTTTGGACTTTGTCAATAGGCAGCAAGCCTGGTAAGTTTTTGACACTAACCTCTTCCTGCAGCTTGGAGAGCTCTATTAAATTGGCTGCAAAAAAATCATGACAGCACTTTAATTGCCAGTCAATGTGATGTCAACTTTAATATTAAATTTATTAAAAATGAATGTTGCGCAGCTTAGAGAGACTGAACTTACCTAAAAGACAGAGGGTGTAGCTACATTCTAGAGAATTTAAAACAATTCTACTGCTCTGTTCTTGTTGAAGAAATGACACGACTTTCTGGTAAATGACATGTGTTTTCAGTGGCTTTAATCCCTAAAAAATTAAAATTAACGACGACTCCATAAATTTATCTTTGAAATGCTCAATAAACTTACATTATTAAATCATTAAGCAGCTTTGACAATTTGCTCCCAGTTTTAAATTTTGTGTTGAATTACTTGATTTTTTTAGGCTATAGATATTTAGTCCAAGCGCAGGCCTTGGTGTTTCCATTGAATCTACTCTATCAAATCCAAGCTTGATCTCCACTTTATATTCTATTATCCTCACTGGATTCAAGATTTAGAGAATTTCAGGCTCATTCAGGTCTGAGATACTTTTTCCCCAGATACCAAGAATGTACATACATTTATTGGAGGTTATGTCTAGAAAGTGCATTTTAGCATGTGAAGATTCAGCTAATGTACATGACTTTACTTACATCTGAAGCTATTGCTGAGAGATGAAGGGTAAGTCCGGGCACAGATAGGATGTTTAAAATGAACAGACTGCAGAGATTTTCTGAAAAATTGCTCAGCACAAGAGGCCTGAAAGAAAATACGTTAGTACATAATTAGCATACTACCAAAAATTGTGTGCCATGGGAAGTGATAAGTAACCACTAACTCCAAAAGTGTTTCTTTTTTTGCTAATCAAAATCTCCTTATTGTTCTGATTACTTGTGCTCAAGGAAAAGCTTTGGCCTCAGGTGTCTTTCCTTTATTTTTTATAATTTGTCAATGTCTTAAGGTGGCTCGACTGGATTTTTTGGGGTTGATACCTCCCAACTTTGAGCATTAACTACGTCGGCATGAGTAAAGATATCGAAAAAAGGTTACCCACAACTGTATTACATAAAGATGAAAATTTCTTAAAATCTGGGTTTTATTGCAATCGGAGTCGCCATGGCAACGTAATGACGCCATTACGTTTTTCATTTATCCTTGTGTTTCTCTGTACCAGGAGTTTTTTGAAGAAATCGCTTAAGGGAGTATGTACCTGGCATAATTGCCTCCATTATGGCAAAGTTTAAAGAAATTCTATGAGAGCGTTTTCGAAATATTTTGAAATACACTTTTAAGAATCATAAAAACAGTGAAATAGCATGCTAGCCGCTCAATTCGCTAATATATTAAGAAAATGATAAGCTTTGGGAACGCGGCTTCATCTCATAGTGGGTTGATTCCATTGAAAACTGCATACAAAAAAAGAGGGGAATTGCTCTGGGCGATCGCGAGTAAGAAGAATTTTATTAACTTGCATTCAGCTACTTTTGATACAGTTTTTGGAGGTAATTTGGTCCATGCCTAAAATTTCGCATTTTTCCAAAAACCGCTCGATAAATTTTTTTATAAATTCGACAATTCCGAGATCAATTGTCAAGAAATATTCCCTGCAAGTTTCAAGAACATTGAAAACAGGAAGGCTTTTAAATAGGGACTCAAACATGACCAATTTTCCCCCAGATTTTGTGTTTTACGGTGGCGTCTTCATTATTCACTGGCATTGTTTTCAAGTTTCATATGCGTGCACAACTAGCAAAAATATAAATTTGCATCAAAAGAACTCTCGATTACTTTCCGAAGAAATATCCGGTATATGCTCATAATTGGCTTGTCATCACAGATAGCAGTGAGAGCCGAACCGGTGAACGTCTCGGCTCATCGTGTAGGATGCAATACTTAATATTATCTTACTCGGGTTATAACATCACAGAAACTCTCACAAAGAGTTGCTCTGATGTTATAATGTATCATAACCTCTTTACCCGGTAATTAGCATATCCGAAGATTTAACCGAGGGTCTTTTTGATGCAAATTCTATCTTTTTGCTAAAATGTGCGTGTATATGAAACTTGAAAACAATGCCAGTGAATAATGAGGACGCCACTTGTAAAACACAAAATCTGTGGGGAAAATTGACTATATTTGAGGCCCTATTTAAAAGCCTTCCCTGTTTTCAATGTTCTTAAAACTTGCAGGGAATATTTCTTGACGATTTATCTCGGAATTGTCGAATTTATAAAAAAATTTATCGAGCGGTTTTTGGAAAAATGCGAAACTTTTAGGCATGGACCAAATTACCTCCAAAAACTGTATCAAAAGCAGCTGAATGCAAGTTAATAGAATTCTTCTTTACTCGCGACGCCCAGAGCAATTCCCCTTTTTTTGTATGCAGTTTTCAATGGAATCAATCCACTATGAGATGAAGCCGCTGCTCCCAAAGCTTATCATTTTCTTAATATATTAGCGAATTGAGCGGCTAGCATGCTATTTCACTGTTTTTATGATTCTTAAAAGTGTATTTCAAAATATTTCGAAAACGCTCTCATAGAATTTCTTTAAACTTTGCCATATTGGAGGCAGTTATGGCAGGTACATACTCCCTTAAGCGATTTCTTCAAAAAACTCCTGGTACAGAGAAACACAAGGATAAATGAAAAACGTAATGGCGTCATTACGTTGCCATGGTGACTCCAATTGCAATAAAACCCAGATTTTAAGAAATTTTCATCTTTATGTAATACAGTTGTGGTAACCTTTTTTCGATATCTTTACTCATGCCGACGTAGTTAAGGCTCAAACCTGGGAGGTATCGCCCTAAAAAAATCCAGTCGAGCCACCTTAAATTTGGGCAGTTTTTACGGCCATTACCAAGCACTGCAAAGAATGGGTCCAAGATTTGTTGTGACATCATCAAAGCAGTTCAATTTCATGTGAGCAGCATGACCTTCTCTGGAATCAGAGCTGGAATCATGCCAGATACCTTCGTTGTTTTCGGGGGTCCATAAAATTCCATTCTGGGGTGATATGCTTGCTGAATGTTTCCAGAGAAGAAAGATTTGACTCACATAAAATGCTCTCCCCTTTCTCACTTCCCAGACATTTGCTTATGAGTAGGCTACAATGGTCTTCTTCCATGACGTCACAACAGTGTCATTCCCAGCTCCCACAAATGCTCAATAATGGGACATAAGAGACCTAACTTCAAACAGCCCCGGAAACACAGGGATTTTATTATCAATCATGATTATTTTTTGCACAAATCACCATTAGGGGTTAGTTGCCCTTTACAAGAATTAACTCTTAGCCACAATGGTGAACATATCTTGAAACTGTTTCCTTGTAATGTCAGAATTTAAATGTCATGATATAGTGGCAGTGAATATATTATGAAATACTTTATGTGCAGTACCTGAGAGCCAATGTGATGACTGCCATGAAAGAAGCAGACTTGAGAGAGGGATTACTACAGGCAAGGCCAGACATCAAGAGCTCCTAGAAAAACAATCAGCAATGAAATGTTTTGTTCTAGAAGATTAATGTACCCTTCCCTCAAACACAGGGCTTTTTCTTTAGCCTCACCCCCAAACCCACAACTGTGGAAACCCCAGTTAAACTTCAGAGTTTCCAAAAATATTTTTGGATGAGGCTGAGTACGATTTGAAGAACTACTGATGCAGTGCCTGGATCTGAATTATCCTTTAGATACACTCAATAATATAAGGTCAAATCCAATAATATTGTTTTATTAATTCAAAACCTTGTTATATGTACATCAGTAAAAAGATGGGGAAACGCACATGTCAAAAGTGGATGGTCCAAGTAACTCACAGAACACACAACCCTAAAACCAAGGGCGACGCTGTTGAATTATAGTATAAAGTTTTGTTGTTCATTACCTTTAATGATGGGTATAATCCTTTAGTGTTCAGATGTCCCAAAACATTTGCACAGAGTTGCTGTAAGCTTGGTCGCAATGCGTCACCTAAAACAATGTTGATAAAAAAAAACATGAATGGAGCCTTAACTTGTCCAAAGCATATCTGCACTAAGCATATTAGGTTTTGTGCAATAAACCTAGCTGTAGAAACATTTCTCAAGTGAAGAGCTAACCTCATGTCAAATTTGACACTAAACTTGTACTGTCATGCAACATACCTCCCTTAATGCTGAAAATCTTCCAGTTCCCACAGTCAGTAAAAATAATAAGCTACAAACAAACAGAAAGTTTAACAACTTAATAATTGTCCCCTCACCTATATTAACTACTGCAATAGAAGAAAAAAAATTGTGTACTGCATGTAAATGCAGAGCGTTGTAAAATTTTTGCTTTATTCAAGTGTCAATACATTTATAACCACAAAACACTGTATTGAGGATGCTGTTCGTACATTATACATCCCCAAACTACTGGTCGAACAAGACTGCCATTTCCATACTACGTCAGGCTTAGGATAGAGATTCCTTTCTCTTTTCTGTTTTTAGGTGCGCGTGAACAACATACTTCATTTTTCAGCAATAAACTCATTAACAAGAACCATTTTGATGCAAAAAAAGGCTCAAGCAACCACAACAGTGATGTCGACAAGAATGGCAAAAAAGCAATAGCTTTAGATTGACAAAACAACAACTTCTGTACATTTCTTTTCCATCACTGCACAACTACTTTTACAACATGAAAATACCTATTTTAACGTTTTGTGGATGACGTGAACACAACACAAAGACTTTCTTTTTTCTTTCCTGAACTTTGATAGTCTTTTTAGTTTTACAATTCAACCTCCAGAAAAGTTTGCCAACATTTGACCAACTAAACAAGATGGAATAAGGGCTATTAATTAATTTTAATTTATCAATTTATTCCATTTTCATTGCAAAAAAGAAAACTTAGCTAAATTACATAAGAGAACAATTAACTACATACTAGAAAAAAAACTAAGTTCGAAGAAGCGTAATTTCACTTTTTAAGTCACATTTTCTTAACTGTCATAGTTGTCATTGCTTAAGCTTGTTACAAGGAAAGATGGCAAGAGGTACTTATAGGAAACTACAGTACCACAAACCACATATTCATTATATGAATGTATTTTTGAAGATGCCAATCAAGCATGTTTGTAAGCAGCAGTACTCTTGTAATAAACTGTAATTCAAAGTAAACCATATACTAACAGGTGTACTTAGTTCCTCTCACTCATGGGTTCTCAGGATCACAATATTGACCCATGAGATTCCACTCTACAGTCCTGTACTCTATCCCCTGGGCTAATCCTGATGCAATTACTTCTCAGCAAGATCTTACAAAATAATAATGACAACTTGCAATTTCAAATAAATTACTATTCAATGACAATTAATTTTCTTGCCTACCATGTTTAAATAAATACTGATCTTTTTTGCTTCAGTAGAAACATTAGGCTGCATGTAAAAAGGAAAAAACAAATACATTTTAACAACAAATCATCAATAAATATTCTTGTAGTTTCCTGTAGTCATGGAAAAACTGATCTCTAATCTTTAGGTAGGGCCTTCATTACAAACAACCTACAACTTAGAATGAAACCATTCACCACCTGGAAATTTTGTAAAAAGAATTACAACAATTTGAAGCCAGTTTAACCATTTTCTGGTCACTACCTGGCCAAAAACAACTAAAAGTGCCCAAAATGTTGTTTATAACTTGAGCACTACGCTGCCTTTTACTCCTATTGGTAAACACCAGCTTTTAAAGTTCACACTTGTGCAGAAGGCAAAATTGCAAGATTTTGATCTCTCCCCCACCTGCTTCTTTTGCTTTTCTTTCCCTATCATTTTTCTTTTGCTGAGCATTAACTAAAGCTTCATTACTGTGGGAAAAGTTTAGGGAAAACTTTTAGGATCATAAGATTAGCTTTGAAGGAACTGATAATGGTTAGTGAAAAAAGATTTTAACTGTAATCTTCTGAGATGATTTATTTGTTTCCATTTTTCTTTTGTCCAATTAACTGAATGGTGCTCAGTGATTATGGTTTGAGATATCTCTTCACTCTGCACAAGTTAGATACGTGTCAAAGTTGTCTGTAACCATTGAACTGATAACTTGATAAGCGGTGCAAAGGCAAAGAAGGCAATTACTGGCAGTCCACGTACTGTATGAATGAGTTTTTGGCATCACTATAATTTTATTTTTTTCTAAAAAAAAGTAAATTATAGTTGTGATCCTAGACATGTTGTTTTGAACATATCAGGGTGCAAAGAAAGTCAGTTTTTTTTATGGACAACTGTAGCTAACATGTACTAGCCCAAAACTCATATCAACTAGCCCCCCAAACTTTTTGATGACCAGGATTTATTACAGTTCTTCTATGATTTAAATTCCTCAAACAACTTCACTTGCGCACCAGGCAAGTTAAGAACAGAATTCACTAGCCTGATAGCAAAATCCACCAGCCCCAGGCTATCGGACACTAGTCTTCTTTCTTTGCACACTGCATGCAATTTAATATGATTTATGCACACCTTCAATTGACGAATCAGTTTGCAGCAAATTAGTAAAATATGTTTGAGCTGCTGTAGCCAAAGAAGAAGGAGATCTTGAGACAGCACAACAGACACATAGCACAACTATAAATAAGAAAAAAGAAAGGACCCAAGCTGAGAATATCATCTACAAAATGAACCTAATAAAAAATTAGTCCTCAAAAAACATTCTGTTGAATGAAAAATTATATAGCAAACTAAGAATTCAAAATTGATCAAATGCAGACCAAAGGGTAATCAGGGAAATACAATAGTTCACATCATTATATGTCTTAATTAGCAGTGCTGTGATAGGTCAGTTTTGTGGACAATATCCTATTTAAATGCCATGGATGCGCTAAATTTGAAAGTTTACTTTCCTGTGTGCTCAATTAACCTCAGAGTTATAATAAAATAATACCTTCAACAGAAACCTAGTTTTCTAAGTTTATACTGTAAGTTATGAATACAACACAGTGTAGTTTTTTTCCTGTTTATTTGTTGACCGCACACTTTGCACGTGGGTTATAAAACAATGGGGAAAAAATCTCTATAGCTTACACCAACTGACCTTGAACTCAGTTAGAAATTCTATTTAGACTTATTGCCACTTCAATACATGCTGCAACCTTTATCTCAAATCAAAACAACAGAATAATAATGTAATACCAACAGATAAAGTAAAAATGTCGCAGTGTAAAACGTTTAAACCAACTCACCTTAAGTTCATTCTGTGCTGGCTCCATACTTCCAAGAATGAGCCTACATAGTGTCTCAAACCTCTGAAATACATAACAGAGTTAGTTAGATCTTTAACAACATAATAGTGCTGCTTTCAAGAAACAACCATAGGCAGAGAATCACAAATTAATACAAACTGGTTTAAAATGACAATTATTTCATGATCATTAGAGTTTTGTCTACCTTTTCATCATCTTTCAACTGGAAAGTGAACAGAAATTTTCGAGCAATATGAAAGACATCTATTGCTAAAAGAGAAAAGAAAGCAAAAACCGCATGATATGATCAGATGTATTATAATTTGTACATTTAACCTGTATGCCATAGCACTAAATTACCATAATTAAACAAGTCTGAGGTCATGGAAAATGAAATTTAAAAATAATTAATGTTAACTAATAATGACTAAAAATTGTATGATTATTATTCAGTGTTTAGTCACTAACAAAGAAAGAAAACTTTGTGACCTGGAAAACATTTTTGGAATGTTCAATTGATTAATTAGATTTGACTAATCTGTGTCTTTGACCAATCAGAAGGAGATTACTTGGGCCAGAGTCATGCAACGCTTCCCGTCTGAACCATTGCAGTGAATCTGGCATATGGGCAGCTGCACGTCAGAGGAATAACCAGTCAGAGTTTTTCTCTAATTATTAATTAATTAATTAATCTACAGTTGACTTCCGATAACTCGAACCCTTGCTAACTTGAACCTTGCACTAACTCGAACTAAAATCAAATTCCCCTGCATTTCCGTCATACATTTACGGTAATTTTACCCTGATAACTCGAACCCTCGATAACTCGAAACTCCCACTAACTCGAAGTAATTTTTGTTTTCCCTCAGATCATTTCTATATAATTTTACCCTCGATAACTCAAACCATGTTTTGAGCCCTTAAAAAGTCGAGAAAAAACAGTATACTGCCTCTGAAACATTGAATTTTGAATTTCCCATTGATGTGTTGTAAGCATATAGTTTACTAGTGGATCGATAGTGGAGGCTGATGTTGTTTGTCACAAATCTAACGTGAAATAGCTTTACTACTCAAAAAGTAAAATGCATGCTCTATTTAGGCAACGTTTTGTTACTTTACGTTTTAATTTATAATCTAAAAGTATCTTTCAATTTTCACTCAACATTTCTACAATTAAATGTGATTAAATTGTTCACTGCGCAGTAAAAACCTTTTTTTTCTTTACTCCCAGCTGTTTTCTTTGAACTCCCGATAACTCAAACTCCCGATAACTCGAACCTTTTTTTATTTCCCTTGAAGGTTCCAGTTATTGGGAGTCGCCTGTATTCATTTATTTATTTTCATATATGGGCAATGACTTTCTAGAAATACTAAATACTGGCATTGAGTCATACCTGGAGGTTTCTTAGTTGTACTCTGTTCCATGAACCTGTCAAATTCATCCCTGCATGTACCAACAAAACATAAGAGATACTGAGTGAAAGGGTAAAGAGGTCTATTTATTGAAGGGGTACCTGGTAAAGCAATAAGAGACTTTTAATCAACTTCTAGGTTCTTCTTTCAAATTGTCTCATATTTGCTTAGAAACAAGAGGAGAATTGCCTTGCATGAGATGATGAGTTAGTTAACGCTTGTTTTCCTTGCATCCCTCCTATTTATTGTACAACCTGGGATCAACACTTGTCTTGTTTTGAAATTATTCAAATAAATAACCGGTAATACAAAGACAAAAAAAATGAATTTCATTGAATGAAAAAAAATTGAGCAAAGAATCCAAAATTGGTCTAGATCAGTGGATGTCAAGGAAACAGTTTGCGTCATAAGCTACAATCAGGGACAAAAGAAGTTGACACACTTGTTTAAAACGGGTGCTTTCATCAAACATTTAGTTCATTTATTATTTCATTCCTTTTAAACTCTGTAAATCTCCTAACCCCCCGAATCAATGTTGTCTGAAGTAAAAGAAAGACTTGAGGGTCCAAAATACAACAATGATTTTGGGGGAAAGGGGTTGGGTAGACAGGGGAAGGGGATAGGTATGTCCACTATGCAAAAAGTGGCCATTTTACGGAAGTGTCTCAACACTTTTGTCTCTTATTGTAGATCTGCTGTGATTAATCAGTTTTGTGGACCATATCCTACTGTCATTGGAGCACTTTCCTGTGTGCTCAGTTAAACTCAAATAAAATTCTATGGCATAAGTCCTTTCATGTTCAAAGTCACTTAAGGTGTTCAAAGAGATTTAGTGCTTTTCATCCAACAGTTGTGGATTTTGGTTCCATAGCAATGCCTAACACTTTGGGAATCACAGGACGGTATAGAGTTAATTGACCAGAGCTGATGGGACAAATTGACCACCAAAAACAAAACTCTGTCCAAAGGGCTGGCCAGTGCTTAAAAAATACCATGAAATATTCCTGGTTTTGAATATCTGTCAATTTGGAAGGACACTTTATTAATTTTACAACATAAAATTGCTCTTATTTATATCTTTTAACATTAAATCTAACTTTAATTTTTGATACCTTATTTCTGCCCTCAGCCGTCCAACACAAATAAATCTTCTTACCCATGCCTACAAAGCACCAAAATAAAACGATACAAAATCTGAAGGATACGTAAAATGCAAAAAAAAAAACACATTCACTCGTGTCAAATATAATAACAAAATATGACAAAGTTCTGAAGTGGAAAAAATAAAATGAAACAAACCTGAATCTGTATGGCAGCTTTTTCTCTCTCCTTCTCCTCCGCTCGCTGCTGACGTGCAGCCTGAACTTTTCCAACAAACTCTGCATTTTTATTTTTACCACTACTGCCAAACATTACGTTTAAAACTGGTCGATTTTAACGAGCGAACACTGACATTTCACAAGATGTCAACTTTCCGCCATGTTGTTATTTTTCTGTCTTTAGCTTAGCAGCCGCGCCAGTGTTCAAATCGCGGGCTCAAGATAAGTAACTTGGAAACGAAACATGGCGGGTGTTGACAGTCGAGATAGTTAGAGAACTTTCTTTTAAAATGCCTTCCTTAGACGAGGTATAAAGTACATTTAGTTCCTTTTTAATACTAAGTGTTCGTGACGCTCGAAATTTATTTAACTTTCTTCTTCTGGGCCTATTTTTGTAGGGAAAAAAGTTCAAACCAAGGGTCTTAGTTTGGTAAGTCTGTAGGGTTAGCAGTTTAATTTTAGGCAACAATTTTTACTCATTAACAGTTAAAGGTGACTTAGAACTTCTTTTTAATTTTTAATATTTTTTTTCAGGACTGACTTGACCCTGGACAATGTAGTGAATATCCAAAGAAGTGAAACCCCAGAAGAAGTTCAATGGTTGGTATTTAATTTAAAAGTAAGCTAAAATAACTGTCTTGCACAGTACAAGATAGTTACACAATAAAAGAATGATATAAATATACTCATCATGTAGAGGAAGGCGTTTCTGTTGCTCAGCTAATTGGTTATAGCTGGGTTCAAGTTCCTCCACATTAGTACAATATGCAGCTTTCAGCTGAATTTGATTCTCAGTTACCTGAGTTGAATTCAACTCCTCGTTACAGCCTGCGTACAAGTGAAATCTAATTTTTATTATTTCATGTTTTCTTATGTTATGATATTTTGTTTTACCTACTTCTTATAAGCCTTGTTGCATAAGTTTAGGTGGGAGTTAATCGATACAACTAGCATTTCCACCCTGGGCACCAGAGGTTTTTTTTCTTGTCTGTGGTGGGATGCTTTGATGTAGACTGCAGGCCAACATTTCTTTGACCCAAAGAATGAAATGAAAGCTGGATTGGAGAAGTTGCAAAATAAATTGCTGGCTTTTTTTTCTCTTATATTTTTCCTTTCCAAAATGGAAGTTTACTGGCAGATATCTTCCACCTAAGTGACTGGAAAGATGATCTTAGACAGGGGATTTTAGTGGATCTCTATTTTTATACATTGCAATATCCTTTTGTAAGTGCTGATTAAGGGCTGATGATACTGACAGTCTGTGTGAAATGATGTAAGTAGAGATTGTGTATCTGTTATGTGTCGTGTACTGTACTGCTTAACTGCATATATGCCAACTTTCTCAGATCACCCAGGAGTATCCCAGATACAGCAAAAAACTCTTGGTCTTTCATACTGGCCAGCAAATCTCCCAGATAACATCAAGCTTTAATTTCAGAGCTTTTCTGTGCCTTAGTTTGGAATTTAGCTCAAATTTTTCCCTGAATTCAAACCTTTTATTTTACGTTATAGTATTGTCGTTTCTAATTTGTTTTCCCATGGAACACTTCTTTAAAGGAGTTCTAAGAACGTTTTAAAATGTGTCTGTGCATTCCAGATCAAGGTAGAATTTGGAAGTGTTGGTTTTTAAGGAGAGGTGAAAACAGGTAGTACGCGGAGAAAAACCTTTGGAGCAAGAGAGAGAAATAGCAACAAACTGATCTCAACCTACCCCTAGTGTTGACATGGGGATTCAAACCAGGGCCACGTTACTAATGAAATATATGTAAACATGCCACCAGAAACCATACTAAGAGCAAGGCTGGCATAGTGGTAAGAGCACTCTTCTCCCATCAAATTTTTATGGGAGAAGAGTGCTCTTACTACTGTGCCAGCCTTGCTCTTAGTATGGTTTCTGGTGGCATGTTTACATATATTTCATTAGTAACATAGATTATTTTACCATTATAAGACTGTGTATAATATCCTGAGACACACCCACAATTTGCGGGTATCAGTGGAGGGGTGGATTGATATTTGATGGGGTAACTGCAAAAAAAGACTGTCTCCAGTTTTTAGTTCTTCTGAGGCTGACATAAATATATCTAGAAAAACAAAGTATTTGTCAATAACATTAACTGATTTTACTTGCATGTAGGTTCTTTGACAAAATAATAAAACCTTGTCTTAATTAGAAAACAGACCCTTAAAAATATTGCTAAAAATAAAACCTGAAATATTTAAAGTAATGGTGGCAAAATGGGAGCAATTGGTTATGACAGAATTTATGCAAAATAATTTTATATTGTTGTAAGTTATAGTACATAAAAAATTAATGCTGGCTAGGAGCTGAAAAGTTCAAAGTCCCCTTAGGCTCAAAGAAACATTGTCACCTTCGTAGTCATGGGCACTAATTGCATGCCTGCACGGCTTTAAGTAAATATGAAGACACAGAGGTTAAGAAGTTTAATTGTGCAAAGTACCCAGAAGAAGTACAGTTAATTGTAATTTGCTACAAACTGTATTTTTCCTTAACCTTTAACAAATTTGCAAAGGACAATGAATTTTCAACTGAACAGACATCAGCGTGGTTCTCTGTTATCAAGTCTGTGCACGAGATGACTGTGGGTAAGTTTGCAATATTATTTTGCTGTATTTCTACATTCTCATTTGAATATTTTGAGCTAGTGGCAGTGACTATTGTTAAATTCATTACAATGAAAAAGGTGGATTTTTTTCAGTACATTGTAATTAATATAAAAGTAATATCTTTATTGCTTATAATGAGTTGCAGTAACACAATCATCAAACATAAGATGCAATGTTTCATCTGATATTATTCAGACACCACAAAGCACTGACTTTGAGGTGGCTGGATATCGGGTCAAAAACTGAGTGGAGTGTTTTGATGTAGCTGCTCAAGTGAACAGTAATTCTTGAAGAAATTCAAAAGAAATGTTTCCAGAATTCTATCAATGGCAATTAGCGTGTGATATCAAACCTCTGTCATGGCAAATTTGATTTTGTTTTCCCTTCATGAGAAAAAATTATGCTAGTTTAGGTCAATTCTGTGCAGTGTTTCTTAGTGCCTGTATTTTTTGGTGATTCTTTTTCAAATTTCAATGTGTGTCCATCCTTACCATTCATTGCAATGTTAACACATGGCAGGAAACAGTTTCGATGCCTTATTATAGTCAAAAGACCACATTTGGACCATTTTAAGTTTTTGGAATTTAACTGATGCAACAAAAGTTTTAGCTTTTTAAAAAGATAGCAAATAACATGAAATAAGCCCCTTTAACTAAATTTGAGCCTCTTCATTGACAGATACCCCATATGGAAATGTGGATCCAGTGTTTAAGTACTTCAAGGAGCTACTGTTATGTCACTCTGTGAAGGTCAGTTAATTGCTGCTTAATTACCATCTTCGAAATAACTAGGTTAGCATTTTTGTGGCCAAGATAATTAAACTTTCAGAACACTACAACTTGTTTTTACAATGTGATTGATACACTATGCATCCTTTAAATTTATTCCAGAGGCCTCCGTACAGTGTTGCTCTCTTCTCTGTTGATCAAGTAAAGAAATTAACAAGCTATGCGGTTAATACGTAAGCATTAAATGCAATTTTTTTTTGTTTGTTGTTTGATCTTATGATTTTAATAATAGAGACGATGGCTGGTCTATTTTTTGAGAAATATACGAGAAAAACATTAAAGTCAAATCTTGTACTCATAGTCTTTCTTTTCTTTAAATCTAAAGATCTCTATTAACTATTTTTCAGAAACAAATTGATTCTTTTTTCCTCTTTACATCAGGTACTTTAGGCATTTTAAAATGTACAAGTATGCATTTACACCAAAGGTAAGGAAAAAATATGACTTTTTTTACTAGTCCTAAAACTGATGTCTGATATTAAAGTTAAAATGATTTCTGGTTAGGGCTTTTATTTTATTCATTTTCATAGCAAACAGCCTTTCATGTTGTCACACCATATAAAACCTAATGAGAAGTGAAAAAGATTGATGTATTACCAACAAAAAAAATTATTATTTACTCATTCAAATATCAAGCCATGTATGTCGTTTTGCCATGTATTTTTCAGCTCCTGAATGTTCAGGTGCTCATTTAGGATTGCCATAATGATTGTGATAATATCTACATTATTATTTCCTTTGTATTAGGTTCGTTTAGATCTCAGTTTTGAGTATGTTGGATTACCCAAGACACCAGAACCTTCTGAAGGTAATAACAACTTTTATTCATTTGTAGGCTATATTTTTAAAGTACTAAAAATTTAGTAATTGAGTTATAGGTAGCTATCCATCGTGCTTTAAGGCTGAGAAAACAACTGACATTTTGCGATTCCTCCACTGGTTTGTTGACTCTTTCCTTACAAAGAGCCTGTTACAGACAGTACTCTAGGTCTCAAAAATACCAAACTTCATTCATTAAATCTCTATGTCTACAATAAAGTATACCTTTGGGATGCAGACATTATACACTTGGCTCATTCCTTTGGTGTCTGTATTAAGGAGATTTTTAATGGCATTTAATTGCTTGTAATGAGTTCATCAGTAAGTCAATATTTGTACAGTGCCAATAACCGCTACCTTTGATTTAGTGGTATTCAGTTCTAGGCTAGTAGACATGCATTCTTTTAGTAGTCTGAAGTAAGCATAATACATTTAGCAGACTGTATCCCAGCCAATGTGATGATTCATAAATAATGTTACAGCAAATTGACTTGTTTGTGAAACTCTGTTTTAGTTGGTGATGAGGAAGATCAAGGCACAGTAGGGACTGAGCAGGTCAGATCACTGTTTGGTCAATAATTTTATAAACTAAGTGAACTTCAGTCATTGTTTTTTTCTCAAAATCAGTCTTGCGAAGTACAAAGTGCTGGCTTGAGATTCTTGTGCAAAGTGCTTGAGCTTCATATGGTTACATATTAAAGAGTCAACTGCTCTGTGAGTGCGACCTTGTGTGGCCTGTTATGGGTAGGTAACAGCACAGTGTAACCAGTTTGGGAGGAATGGGTAAAACATTTTTAACTAGACTGATAAATTCTTGTGGAATATCAATACATAACCAAAAGTATGGAAATGAATTAATGAAGTGGAAACCAAAATTTTCAGGACAGAACTGCTTATAAAACAAAGTGGGTATGATAAAGTGTATGCGTCAGTTTGTAAACGTTTTGTTTTAAATGAGAGAGGTCATTTTGGCAGTTGGGACTGCAAGTTGTTGTTGTAGTGTTGAAGAAGGGAAAATAAGATTGAAATAATGAACTGTGAACACAGACAGTTCGCCATCAGGGAGTGGTGGCCACTGAAGAGAGCTGTTCATTATTAAAGCGGGGCCTGTGGATTATAGAACACGGCCTTGTACTCTTAGGAAAGATTTTGATCCATTAGGCTTGCCTAGCTATGACTATTTTCCTGTAACATCACTGGCATTTCTGTAAGTTACCATTGTGTTTTCAGCCCTTTTGTTCACTATATTTTTTGTTCGTCTACATGTAGGGCTATTATGGTTTAATGTTCTCACAGGGCCTACAGGAGGAGAGTTAGGACGGGAGCAATCCCTTGAAGTTTCCCAAATGATAAAATAGATATTCAAGGATGATTAACATGGACTGAGACAAAATAGTTTTTGCAGAGCTGAAAATTTATTGTCTATAATTTTCTTTTTTATTATGTTGAAAAGGCTGCTGACGAAGCTAAGAAAACTGAAGAAGCAGTAGCTGAAGAGGAGGAAGGTTTGAATCATATTTTTACAATAAGTAATCAATTTTTCACATGCTTGTTGGTAAAGAGCCATGGACGATCAGAGCACAGGCCGGAAATGATATGATGGAGCCGCAATTTGCCACAACAAGTGCACTTTATGTGTACTGTAGTCTGAAAACAGTACAAGAACAGGCTCAGAGTACTAGGTTAATAAAATTTAGAAGGAATCCATCAGGAAATTGAGTAATTTTAATTTTCAGTGGACAAAAACCTTGTACCAGAATAATTTAAAGCATATCGCATTATTTTATACATTTCTCAAGGGCTAAAGATGTAATTAGTCATCTGAAATAACACCAAAAAAAATTTCTTATGGGAGCCTGAGAAAATGAATGTCAAATTTCACAAAATTACATCGTACTCATGAAATTTTTAGAATTTTACCTGTGTTTTCACAGTTCTTGTGAAATCAGACATTCATTCAGTGTAACCTCGTCTAACTGTCGCATAACCTAAAAATGGCCAATGTTGGAGAGAGCAGCTGTCAGCAAAGATTTCAGATTTTTTATTGTTAATTTTGCACTATTAAGAGGTTACTACGTAGATTACAATACATTACAAAAGCAAGAAAAACCAAATAGAACAACAAATTACATAAATCATGAAAGGTGAAGTGTGCACAGTGACCAAAAGAGCTTAGGCTGTCAAGTTGGTTACTGCCACGTGCAATTAACTGGCGTAGATGATATTTGCATAAAATTACAAGTAACGTACAACGGAGAAAGGAAAATTAAAAGTGCAAAACGCCGTACTTACGATTTTATATAAAAAACAATAGAAATGACCATTCAGTGGTAGTATGGGCAGAGAAATCAAATTACTTTAGTATTGGGTATTTAAAAGGTAAAGTTTGTATTGCTTATAGAAGTCGTTATAACATAGTTTTTGTAATTGGGAGGACGAGTGAGGAAAACCTATCAAGCTAGATCATCAGAACGAAATTTGATGAACTTTTATAATCCACTTACGTCCATTTAACCCTTAATACACGGACCAGTTGGACTGTTTCGCTGTCAAAAGTGCCACCGATAGTCAAAATTAAGGGATCAGTTTTAAAGTGGGAGTTTTAGCAAACAAACCGGGTTGATTTTCTTTTTGTCAAAGGATTTTGATAAGTTTATAAATTTTAATATGTTTGGGTTTATTTTCAGATCCCCCAGCGGTAAAGGAACTCAAAGCAATAATTAACTCCGCACTTTCTGAACAAGTTCAACAGGTATTAATCAACTTTGTACATATACTGTAGTGGAATTAGCTTACTTGTGATTTAATCTGGCCTAAGATGATGTTGTGTGGGAACTTCATACAGTCAATCCTTCCTTACAAACACAAAGAATATGTAACGATAAGTTCATTTAGTGTTGAATGACAACAAAGAAAACAGTTTTGAGGTTGAAGCGCAACATTTTCGGTAGCGCAAGATAGAAAGGGTTTTTCTTCTTCGCCTCATCATTGGCCCGAGCTGGCCCGCGCCTCGCACGCACTTCCCGTCGACCGTTAAAATGAGGGAGCTTTCAAAATAGGGAGCTTAAGCAGCGACGTTTTTGAGCGACGCACGTCAACCGGAAGTGAGGTATTTTCCCTCTTAACATGCCTTGATGATATAAAATTTGTATTCGTTAGCTTCTTTACTGTTATAGAGGCGATTTGACTGAAAATTTGCGCGAAACCACCGTCAAAAAATGAAAAAAGGCCATTTCCGGTTGACGTGCGTCGCTCAAAAACGTTGTTGCTTAAGCTCCCTAATAGGCAACGATGACGTTGACGACAACGAGAACGGCAAAAAAAGTAGTTTTGATAAGCGAAAAAGAACTTTGAACGTCCAGCAAGCTTTTTTGTTCATTTCTTTGCCGTCACTGCACGACCACGACGTGAAATTCCATCACGGGGCCTTTTATGGAGGTGGTAAACACAAAACGACCATGTTTTCTTCCTACTTTTATACTTGGATTCAGTCTCCAAAAGTTCAATTCCTGGAAAATTCACTTACAAAGGACATTTTAAGCAAATCGGAATAATCGTGACAAACTTGGTAAATCTTTGAAAAAAGTCCTTTTAAAAGTGGCATTTGATTTCGCTGCCGCTGCTGTCGTCGATGCTAAGGCTCCATTTTTAATACGGCGGGGGCGATCACTGGAAGTTTCTCTTGGCTAGAAACGAGATGGTAAAATATGTCAATTTGAATAATCCTGGCTGATAGTAACTTACCGTCAACAAATGATTTTCATAGGGTAATTCTGATAGCTTTTTTAAAAAATCATGTTACCAAAAATTTTGATGCTAGTAATATGGACAAAAAGGATACAGATTCCCGTTTTGTTTACCTGCTCCCCTCCTCCAAAAGGATAGCGCTTAAACTGGAAGAATCAAAGATGGCTGATGGGCTTTGTTAGGCTCATAGAGTTCATTATCTCCTCTTTTCGATGATATAAACGTGAGACCAGTCACTGTTTGCTAAACCTGACGACTTGTGTTTAACTTTCGCCCTTTTCTTAGCTCAAAACCAGTGTGGACCAACAGATAAAAGCAAAAGACGAAGAAATGGCAAAGAAAATGGGTATTTCTGCCGACGCTTCAGGCCCGCCTAAAAGCCCAAAGCCGAAAGGAAAAAAGGGAAAATAGCTTGTAGCTACAAGATAAAATGCGCCGAAACACGTGTACATATTGTCAGCAATGTGTGTTGCAGTTATGAACGGGGAAGTTTCTTAGACCTTTCTGTATTCCGTTGATGTTTTGCATACCACAAACAATTAAATATTTGTTTAATGACATTTTTATCCCATTTATAGGCATTAAACTCCCAATGTGTTGCATAACAATTAAAATTGCCACTGTGAACGAGCGAAAAAAGAGAAAATATATACTTTGTTTGTTGACAGTGATACTGTTCTTAGCAATGAGCTTGTTTTCAGATGCAAAGTTTCCAAATTAAAGATGGTTGACACCAGAAAAATTCCTTTCCCAATATCAGGGAGCTTAATCAACGACGACGACGACAACGAGACCGTCGACAAAAAAAAACAAACAGTTTAAATTAGCAAAACAATAGGTGCGCTTACACTGCACCCTTTTCCCTATAGCTCCCCTTGGAGAAATAGCTTGCCTATGGCCGGGTTGGTTGGGTTCGCTCTGGGTTTTGATGACTTCCATGTTTGTGGTTACACGAAGATAAAATGCCTAAGGGGAAGAACAAACTTGAACCCCCCGGGGAAGGGGGTACTTGGGTTAATATTTGCTGGGTATGTGCCGCTGGCCTCTCAGAGCCCCTACCCCAATATAGTCTATTTTTTGGCCAATTATAGACCCCATCTTAGTTACTTTTTGGAGAATGTAATTTATGCGATCCCAACTTATTTATAGTCACTTTCTATTTACTCATCTACCTTATCAATGAGGTTTCAAGAACAGAATGCAATGTGGTCAATGTGAGGTTATTGTTAAATTTAATAAACAACAACTTTCTGATTTTTTTAACCGAGAAGCTTCCCATTTTGAATCCCTACTTACCCCATTCTAGTAACTCTATTGAAAGTGCGACCCCATTATAGTCAATCCAGTCGTGAAAATGCGACCCCATCCAGCGGCACATCCCCATTAGACTCTTTTAAGGGAATACCACCGCCCCGCCCCCCCCCGGACTTGAACCCGCTTTCATCGTAAACGTCCCTGTAAACAGTTGTCAGTTAAAATTTAGGGCCATTTGTCAATTGAATAACAACCTGAAGCCGGTTCGGTTTTGGCCTCTTTTTGAACCTCCCATAATGACTAGGGAGGTACACTTGATTCCTATTTTTACAAAATGAGATATACCCAAGATCTTAGTTTTGCAAACAAAATGAACACTGATTGCCTAAGTACTCCTACGTGTTAAGTTTTACCATTTCCGTAGCCATAGACGCCTCTGATCATGTACCTAATAAGTCCTTGCGACTTTGTCGACCGGATCTGGGGCCCCGTTTCTATAAAGTCCCGGTAACTTTACGGGCCCGAAATCAAAAATTCAAATCGAAATATAAAGAATAAGAGCGCGGGTCCTGGCTAGCAAACTACTCCATTTAGTTTCATTAACTGACAGTTTTATCATGTTAGATGTAAAACTATTGAAACCTCGATCTTTAATGTAAACGGAGGCAGCTTACCGGGCCCGTTAATTATCGGGACTTTCGAGAAACGGGCCCCTGGGGCCCGTTTCTATAAAGGCCCGGTAACTTTTCGGCTGCCGATGCTTTGATTGTACAGCTGCTCAAAGGCGAAGAGCGTGTCATTTACACATCATCAAACAGATCCATTATGGAGAAAGGTGCCATATCAAGATCATGCATAAATTTATCTTGGTTGAAATTTTTCAGGCTACGAAAACATATTTTTCGTGAACGCGATCTGGGCGCTAAAGACCGTAACACAGTAAAATCCAGCGAATGATCACTGATCTCAGCATCCACCACACCAGATGCCAAAGTCCTTGTCTTATCACTAGTCGCGGCGAGATCGAGTGGTGTCTCAGTTGTTACGGTCTTACGAGTTGCTTTGGTAATTAAGCAATGACATTATGACATTGTTGTCATACTGCTTATACATTTTTATTAGGCCTCAGCATTTTAATATGACTTTTGGGGAGGCGACCGAGCATCTCAATAGGAGAAATGAAGCTTTAAGGTGGAGCATTTTGGTGCGGAAACTAAAGCATAAAGTGCAAAAGCCAATTATCAGTTCTGAGTACTCGTATAATTGTGGTCAACAGACCTCACCAACAGCCTCAGTCACGGAACAGTCATCTTGACTTCATTGGCATAAACTGCTGGTGCCAGAGTCCTAACCTTGTCTTTTGTAGCTTCACTTCGAATAGTCCCCCCTTTGACAAGACGATACTTTTCAGCTAGTTCGTTCACTGCTATTTCAATTGGAACACTAACTGTGCAGACGGATCGGAAAGGCTCTAAGAACCCTTACACTGGCAAACTCCACGTTAGGCCTAGGCCAAACGTCGAACTATTCATGACACGAACTAAACTCCTGAATTTGGGTAGACCTAAACTAAGTCAAGATTGTCTGTTGCCGGGGTTATATTAGGACGCGCCGAACCAATCAAGTGAATCAGACCAGGAGCTCCTGATCAGACCAAAAAGCAATTTTAGCCGGCCGGTTAATAATAATCTTTCTCCCAAACGAGGTTAAATATACATTATCGTACAAATTTTTAATTTATTAGTTTAGTTCGTCGCATGTGAAGATCGACGTTTGTCAAGGAGACGATCTTCAGACGTTCTATCCGTTTGAAGCAGACGGATAGAACGTTTTGGACGATCCAAACTCATCCAGACGAGACGTCGAAGGGCTTTTTATGAACTTTGGTCGTCTCATGTAACTTTCGACTTTTGGTCTAGGCCGTATTCATGTTATTTTTTTGAGGAAAAGGGTAATAGGACTTAACGTATGTGAATTATTCGCTCCCCAATCGTTGTTCTCTTCATGGATGTTATGGTCCCAAAATATTGCGCATACTGTAATGCAGCGAAAGTCTCGTGCTTATGTGAAATTGCATGGAAGCTTTCGTCAGTATCAGGAAGAGTGCATATTTTTCAGCTTTGTTAGGGTAATCTTTGTTAATCAAGTCACGTTCTCCGTCAACTCTCGCATTCCCTACTCTAGGAGCGTTAAGGATGTTCTCAAGTAGACTAAGGCCTGGTTGTAAGTCATTTGTGATTTTTATGCAAAGTTTCCAAAAACCATTGTTTAAGACATCCCCCAGGAATAACAGATGGTAAGTTCAACTAACCTTTAAAAAACTTGAAAAAAGAAATCAAAATTATCAGGTCACGTGATCGACCACGCCCTCTTCTGTTCGAAAGTTGCAACTAACGATGCCCACCACTTGCTAAACGTGTAGCTCCAGTTTCTCTTAATCAAAAACTTTGACCCTACGAACAGCCCTCTCTCCTCTCCTCGCTCCTCGCCTTCCGGCGAAACGTCTCAAGCGGCTAAGAGTGAGGAAAAGGCTGTTTTCGCAGGCTAGTGCCTTTCAGCTCATGATAATTAGTTGCTAAATTTTAGGCTTTGATACTGTGCTTTTGTTTTACTTCCGAAAGCCTTCTTATTTTGCTTAAGTCCTCCTGTGTTGTGACTGACGTAATCGGAATCACTATCATTCCTATTCACCATTTTCATATAGACCATAATGAACTTTGTTTACCCCCCGAACTATTTTACATGAATAACCATTGTTTCCAATTGGATATTACAGTTGTCCCAAGAGAAATCGAAGACCATAGTCATGCAAAATTTTGGGAGGTAAACAAGGCCTGGTAATCTTTCATTAATTTTTTTATCGTTCATAGACTACTTGAAATGTACGTTTAGTCCCGGGAAGATGAATATGTTAATTAGACTAAGTAATCACATGATTTACACAAATTAAAAAAGTCCTAAATAAGCGCGTGTGAAATTTCCAGGGACAAACAAAACTGAGTTCCTTTCAGAGGAGCCAATCAAGACGACTGAGTGTTTTTTTTTTTTTTTATTTTTTTTAATGTAACTTTTTACGCAGGAAAAATGATCTTAAATCGCTGTTTTTTGTTGACGTTCTGGGGAAATTTTGCCTCTCTGTTATTTCTTTTCTTTTTTTTCAAAATGATCCACTGGAAAGGAGATCGGGACGCAATGCCTCAAGTATTACTATAACTATTCATTGAATTTTAAGTGATTTTTTCGGTTTCACATTTCAAGCCGGTTGCATAACCTTGTGCGATCAACCAGAAAAAGATTTTAAAACAAGGAACTACAGTACAGATGCAATTTGGTCCCTTTTGACATTATTTTTCAGTAATACGTCAAAAATAGGTCATACTGGCAAGGATTTTAATCCAGCGTAACATTCCTTTGCGTATTTTCGGAGCCGGTCACAGCCGAAAAGATGAATGTTCAGAGATGTTATTGAACACGCTGATTGACACATGTCACATATAAATCATAGAAAACTAAGAATGTCAATCGCATGTGTCGAGCTGTCATAAAAATTCTAAATGAAACTTGCCTGAGGTTAACTCGCCAGCGAGGTAAGTCTGCTTTCTCTTTCAAATAATTCCGATTCTTTGTTGTTTTATTCAATAATTCAGCTCTTTAAAGTTACATTTTATAATCAACAAGAATATTATCAAGTACCCCAGGCCTAAAAAGATGGTTGCGTTAATCATATCGGAGTTAAAGTCACTGAAATGTTTTCAGTGTTTTCAGGTGTCACGAGTCGTATGAAAAACCTGAAACGTTCTGTCGGCTTGAAGGAGTTTCTTTTGCTTCGAAATTTCAACTTTCTATCTATTAGCAGAAGTTTAGGGAAAAACTCTCATTAAGAGTCGACTTATTTCATCATAACGTTACCAGTTTGATCGACGACTATCATGGAGTCCAGTCGTTCATGTATACGTAAGGTTATATTTAAATCGGCTCGTGCAGTTATTTTTCCTTTGACAGGACTTGCTGTATAGTAAAAAACAAAGTAGAATTCCTCGCCTTTGTTTAACACGCATTCTTCCCTGAATAGTCCTTGCTGGTTACATTAGAAGCTATTAGATTTTGTTTGGCAGAACTTTGACAAAGCACTGCTCACAAATATTCGACTCACCACGGATCACTGAATCCAGACAACCTCTTCAATACTTCAAGCGTCTTCATTTGGTTTACGCGCAACGAGGAATATAATTTACATAAAAAACCAACCTTGAATGTCTATGTCACCAGATTCAAAAGAAGATACAGAAAACAATATCTCCCTTTCAAATGGGAGTATTAAAACTAGCACGGAAATTCTATACGGTCTTGCAGCCGGCTGACTGACACGACTTTAAAAGCTTTTAGTGATGTACCATATGTGTTTCAAGCGAGCTAAAAGTAACCACCTTGAAAAGTCTTTGAGTGAAAAACTAGGAATGGAAATGACCCAAACCATTTCCAGCATGATTTCTAATGCCGCATAAAACAGCAAAGCAACATCGCTCGTTTTTGTTTTTTGTCATTAATTTTTGATTCGGCAGCCTAGCAGGAAGGCAGTTTAGAAAAGTTGCAAAAGTCGGACCCAGTCAGGTTTGGTTTCAAGAAGAAACATTAACGCTCAAGAGTGTTGGACACTTAATTAATACCTCTCTGACATGGTCAAATGTCATTTTGACCAAACCGTATTTCCTCGAATAAGCGCCAGCTCGTTACGTGTTCCTTTAAACCAACTAGAGAATGGTCTAGTTGTTCCTGGGAAGTTCACAGCATTTACCAAGAGCTCGGCAATCCGACAAATTTAAAAGAAAAGATAACGCACCTAGGAACTCTGCAAGCACATGGATATAGAAATAACTGGAAGTGACTTAAAGAAAAAGAAACTATTCTCCTTTACTGATTCCAGTGTAGTCGAAGCCTGAAAAGTTGAAATAAAGTGGCAATAAAAGCTGGTTTTAGCTTGAATCCCTTCCCTCCTATTTAAGAAAGTGAGGGGGAGGGGAGGGGTGCTTATTCGGTTGGGGGCGCTTATTTGACATTATGGCGGGGGGATGGCGCTTATTAGAGAGAGAGCGCTTATTCGAGAAAATACGGTATATTTTGACCGCGTTAGCAGAGCGCGAAAGTGCACGGCTTTGTTAGTTTCTCTGTTAAACCCTGGTATTTCGCGTAGGTGGCCGAAAAAGACTGTCAGTTAGCAGCGTAATTAGAATTGTATACAGTGGTTTGTATCTAAAGTGTTCACCTTGTATTTACCTTCTGTTTCCCTTCCAAAAGCGCGAAGAGAAGACTGAAACCGACTTCCGGTGCCCAGTTTGCCCCTGGCATGTTACTGGTCAAGTTGTCGTTGTCTCGTTCTCGTCCCCATAGCCACGTGACCCAAAAGAAACGACGGGCTCAGGGGACGAGAATAGCGACCTTAAGCAACTACGACGCACGACGACAACTTCAAAAAACAATAGGTTTAATGGTCAAAACAACAGCTCTGCACGTGCATCAAGCTTTTTAGTACATTTCTTTGACGTCCACTGCGCGACTACGACGTGAAACCTCCTAATTTGACGTTTTATGGAGGACGTGGACATACGACGACGAATTTTCCCTTTTCTTTTTGAACTTGAATAAAATCCTTAAGAATTCAACTCCAGGAAAAGTCGCCTGCATTTGACATATTAAGCGAATCCAAATAGACGGGATGAAGTTTGAAAGAACGCAAATTCATTTTTTTAGCGACGTTTTCACTGCCGTCGTCGTCGTCGTTGGTAAAGGTCCCACGGTCGTTGGTGATCGAGGTTTCTTTGGGCGTGTCCGGTTGTCCAGTTTATAAAGGTGTCACTGTACCTTACTGATTATAACGTAGTTTACACAAAAACATAACAGACCTTCAGAGACTTCAGAAAATTCGCGACATATTGTCCCTCTTAATATTAAAAGCAGCGTTTTTTCTCTTTCGTACTTGCAAAATTAGCTCTTTTCTTTCTCGATCTGGTTTGGAAAAGACGAGTTCAGTTCTATCAGATTTTACCTCGGTAAATTTGTATGATCATGAATGTTCCAGTCGTGGGTTCCTGTAATGAGTGCATACGATAACTTATACTTTTGCCGTTATTTTTGTCCACCAGTATGTGTGATTGAACACTCCATTCCAACACGGGAGTCACTCAGTCGTATATCAATACAACAAAAAGAAGCTGGGTGGAATGGCTAGGAGTGATTTTTGTACTAAAAGTACCAGCAGTGTACATTTACGAGACCTGGATAAGCTAGTTTCTTCATTCAACGAGGAGCGAAGAGCTGTTGATATGAAAAATCGTAAACTTGTCTCGGGAGATTGCCAGAAGAGGGATCGAGTCGAATATATGTCAGTTGGGACACTATCGTCCACAAATGAACAAGAAGCTGCATCCTTTGAAGAACGTTTCGATGGCACAGTTATTGAAGGAGCAATAAAAAATGAAGTTGCCTTCGACTTGACATTGGGATCAGAATCAGACCCTGCGATTGATATCCAATATTCAAAAAACTCTTTAAACCTGATAAGTGAGCTTTGTGACAGGCTTATAACAGCCTCTCTCCCAAACAACAGCAAACACTGTGTCAGTCAGCCATCACGGAATGAAACATGGGCCACACCCATTGCCAATGCGACTCGAAAATTAGAACCAGCTTATGACCAAACTATGCTTTCACCGGAGGGAGATGGACCAGCTAAATGCTCCTCTTGTTCCCGAGGCTCTGCAACTCAAAACGCAGCCACCATGCAGGTTTCTCCACTGATGATTAGAACGAATGTTGCTATGAATAAATCGAATGATGGCATTACGGCGCCTCTCGGCATGGAGCTTTCTAAGACTGAGGCAGACAAAGAAGCGGAAAACAATTCCACCAAGGAAATTGGTGATTACGCAGATCAAATGCCTTTAGATTCGTGTCCTCAGCCGATTGCAGCAATTTCTCGCATGCAGGAAATGCTAGAAAGGATATCACCACCACTTGGGAGAGGAGCAATTACAAATCAGAGGACTGCTGAAGATCGCGATAGTGTTTCATCTGATGATTCGTTGCAAAGCACCTCAGCCTGCGAAATAGGTATAATGTAATGCATCTCCAGTAAGGTTGATCATAGTTTTTACCCTACCTTAAATCAAACAGGCGTCTTGATTATTTAATGTTAGACTTTATAACCGTGGCCGACTGTATAGCATGCTTTAGGGTCATGTTTTATGTCTTGGAGGTTATTCTAGGGACCTAGGATTTGATAGAAATACAGTGCGGGATTCAGGAAACGCAAAATGTGTTGACTTGGTTGACTGCTATTCTGGAAGCGGGATTCGCCAAAAGCTTGGCACTTAACGCGGGAAATAAAACGGTATTCGGGAAGAAGTTCAAGATGCGGGATTTTCGTGAAAAACGAGCGGGAGTGCGAGATCAGGACCCCCCACTTGCCCCCCCGCCTTCCTGACGACAAGAATCGTCTTGCAGACGGATAAAACATGTTGGTTCAGTGTTGGATTTCGATGGATTAGACGCCCGCGAAAACGTTCTTAGGCCTTCTCACCCCTTCCTTCCTCTTGAACCTAGTGTTCATGGATCCCGGTTTGACCAACATCAGGAGCCACTTGTAATCGGGCTACATATTTCATACTATTCGAAAACGATGCGTACGGACGGGAACTTTTCTTTTCTGTTTTCATTTTTTTTTTTTCGGAAAACGGAGAAAATGTTCAAATCAAAGACAGACACACGGGACCCTTCTTAGTCCCTCCCCCACCCCTGCTGGTCAGAATATAAAGAACTCCCAGCATTCTTCGCGCCCGTAGTAACACGACGCCATTTTGATTCACAAAGGACATTTGACCATTGTTCAAGCTTTAAAGATAAAGAATTCGATTTTCCTAAATGGAGAGCAAAGCACAACAACCTGTGCAAGGTAGAGATTCAAATGAGAATGATATTACTCTCTTCTGATTCTTTTACTGATCAAAAAATTTTGAATTTCAGCGGTCGGTTCTTCTTCTGCCACCCCAGCTTCTGTTCAATCTTCTGTTGCACCGAGCCAAAATTCCCCTGGAAAATACTCTGAACTTTTAGCCGTGATTGAGGAGTTAGGCAAAGATATTCGTCCCACGTATGCTGGTAGTAAAAATGCCGCGGAGCGGTTAAAGAAAGGTGAGAAACGGTAGATCGACGTCACCTGCAGGCGATTTGCACAAAACATTCTTTTATAAGTATTTCTTGGGAAATATGCACGATAGTAGTAATAATGTTTATGCGCTTGATAAAATACATATCAAAAGTTACAAAATTCATATTATATCATATTATAAGAATAATATAAAAAAAGATGCACAATTGCATTAAATAATATCTGATAATATCTAACCTCCCCCGGTTTAGTGCATCCGTCAATTCCAGCTGCGCCCTGGAATTGACTGATGCATAATTTTCTCAAATCTCCCAGCAATAGACCAATATTTTATGGAAGTCTTCAGGGATTGCAATATTATATGTAATCTTTAGGGGTAAGCAGAAAAAGTAAGTCTTCAAGGGAAAGGAGGGAAGGGTACAGATATCATAAGCAATATAGTCCAGTCCTTTGTTTCAAAGCATTTACATGTATTTTTGTCTTTCAGGCATTATGCATGCACGGGTACTGGTGAGGGAATGCCTTGTAGAAACTGATAGATGTGCAAGACAATAGGACTGACAATATCTCTCATTAAAAAAAAAAGGTTACGGCATAACAGCTGCTAAAACTGCAATAAGTCATCAGAAATAGCGTGTTTTGCCTCCAACATTTAAAGTTTGTCAATCATCATCTAGAAAAGCAAACCACCAAAGGTTCAAGTCGTTGATATGTTTTAGATCAGCGCGGTCCACTAATGTTTTAGGAATGACTTTCATTTTTCCGGAACAGACGTCATTTATTGAAGTCAAAATTCCTCAAACTTTTCTGAGGGCAGCTTCTTTCGAAGTAGCAAATGTTAATTTACACGCTGTAAGCGCAAAAGCTCACACGCGAAATACAAAACTGTAAGTGGCTGCTTCTTTTGTTCGCACCAATATGCAAGCTATTTTTCCCCTTTCAGGAATATTTATCACTCAGAAAGAGCACAGTTACTTTTAGGAATTATTCTTTGGAGCTCTACAACCCCAGAAATTCTTCTTAACACCTAGAAGTTCTCGCGAGGAATATCCTTATCGAGGGAAAACAAAATAAGTCAGATGCCATTTGCATTAATTTGATTTTTACAGTCAGCATTTCCATCTACAGGATTTCGTTGTCTAATGTGTGACTTTTAAATTGCTTCTTTGCTGGATCAAATAGTATAAGAAAGCAGGGTTGTCACTAAGATTTCAAGTTGCCGGGTAAACACAACAAGTAGGCGGGGAATCAAACGGCTAGGGATTTCTTTTGTTTGGTTCTATTTTTCTTCTATTTTCCAATAAAAGTAGCCGGGTGCTACTCTCTTAGTAGCCGGGGAAAATCCCCGGCCCCCGGCTCTTAATGACAACCCTGAGAAAGGATTAATAAAATTATACTATCCTGATTGGAAGACACTGCCAATATGGTTTAAATTAGTTCAAAGAGTATAGAAGAAGGCTTAAAGCATCCATCACCAGCAGAAAAGGGGAAAAAAATTTTAAACCAATGTTATTTACAGTCAAACCAAGTCAAGCGTACCCCCCAAGATTCTATCAGTGAATTGATTATTTGAAAAATGAATCCGTTAGTCTTTCCCGTAACTGGTGTCAAATTCAAAGCGACATTTCTGCATGCGTAATGAGCAGTGAATATTTTACGAGAACTTCTCTGTATTTGGTCAGATTGGAAATCTTTGAATGGATTAAGCTTGTTAGAAGACATTTACATCAATTTCAGGAAAATGGGGCTGGTAGAAATTTCATAACTGCCTCGCGTGTGAATGCACGGCTCATTACACATACAAGAATGCAGAGATCAATCTGAAATCTACAACTAGCAACGGATTCAACTTTTGAATAATAAATTCATTAATGGGTTCTTGGGGGGGACGCTTGACCTGATTTGACTATAACTTATACCAGAAGTTATGTCAACTGACTAGTCTCATTGTGTTTTCTCTACTCCAACTTTTATGACCTTTTTCTTTATATCTACTTCACTACAATAAAGTGTAACCTATCTTAAGGTTATTGGTGCTGTAAAAAAGTTATGGTGATAGAAAATAAAAAATAAAACAATAGTACTTTAATATTTATCCAATGTTTAACCCAGTTGCTTTTGTTACATCACAGTTTATCTTCTGGAGACTGATTGGGGACATGTTTGACATAAAGGGACATTATTTTATTTTTATCGAGGGGATTTTTGATAGGTGTTAAAAGGGCTATGTCACGCTATTTGAGATTCTTTTAAAAAGCAAAAACCTTTTTTAAACTCAATTATTGAATTCCAAAAGTAATGATCCATTTCTGTCATTGCTAGCGTGTTTCCATAGGAATGGTTGAGCTATAAAATGGGCTCGGGTTTTTCTTTCTGGCACAAATCGCCCTCTGGCATCTTCAGTGTGAGTGCACGACATAAGAGTATGCATAAAATAGGTCATTGGACTAAACCAGAGCACATGGTAAGCGAAGAAATCTGTGTCACCAGTATTCAGTGTATAAAACTCAGTGATCACAAGAATGAGTTCTGGCATCTCTTTAAATGTTCTCAAAACATAGCCAAAGCCTTAAAGTCTTAATGATGCTGACAGTTACGATGACTGTCGGCCACCTTTGTCAAAACTTGGAAATCGTCAAAGGTGTTAGAAGCCTTAAAATAGGCTTCTGAAGGTGTTAATTATTGCGATAAACGTGCCGTCAAAACTGTCAGCATCATTAAGACTTTAAGACTGTGGCTATGTTTTGAGAACATTTAAGGAGATATTAACTGTACTAGCCTGATGAATTTCTTCAAGAATGAGTTCTGGCATTTCTTATCCCCGAAATCTTCATACCAAATGCACACGCTGTTCATCTCTAGACCTACTGTAAAAGATTTTTGTTTCAGTTCAATCAATGACAGACTTTACAAGACCAGTTTGCTAACAAACTCTTTCCAGTGAACCTTATCAAGAAGCCCTCTCAAAGTATTGAGCTACCAACGGAATTTAAACGGAGTGTTTCTGAACTAGGATTACCTGCCTCCTTACTTAAGCTTAGTTGCCTTGCAGAATAAGAAACAGGGCCGAGTTGTTCAAAGCTGGGTTAAGATAACCCAGGGTTAGTGCAAGATTTGAATTCAGATTTGAACGTCTAAAAAGCTTTTCAGTTTTAATTCTTTTTGTATGCAAGTTGGTGATTGGAAGCTCTTAAAATAACAGATAAAATTATCCGAGGAAATGCTTTTGAACACAAGAAAAGGAAACCAGGGTTAAAATTAATGCTGGGTTAAGCTCTAATCGGCCTTCGAACAACTGGAACCAGAACTTCAATTACCTTTTGTGTAACTATAATCTTGCTCTTTGTTTTGATGTCATGGAGTTTATTTTCCTGGCTTTGTTTTTATGACCTCTACTATACAATTACTGCAATCAGACTATTTGAAGCAGTTTATATGCATCTAGTTTAATAAATTCTGGTTTCCTGTTGTCTGTTGCAACGGACCACAAGGATGGGTGTGGATTTGAAACTTGAAAAAATTGGGCCAACCAAAATGATTATTGTGGTTTGTGCTCCCTGATAAAATTTGAAGAGCAATATCCTCATGACAAAGCCCCTTTAATCGACAGAATAATTTGTGCATAACAAGTCTAGTATTTTTGCATGACTTAAAATACAGTATTTCAATCCATATGAAATCTGTAAATCTCTTAAAGGCTGCATGAATAGGTAATTTGCACAATGACATGTTTTTACTACTAAGACAAGAATTCATTACAGTTTTTGTTTCATATGTAAATTTGGTTATCTCAGTGAGGTTTAATTTGCACAAGAAAGCAAAACCCTGAAGGATTCTGGTAGTAGTAGTAAAATGCCGCCACTAGGCAAATGGCCTATTAATGAAGAAATAACTCTACTGACCATACACTTAAATGATATTATACTTTTTCAAGGTATGATGCACTGAAATGTGCTTGGTACAGCATCTCATGATGGCCACTGGGCTTAATTTTTTAGTATGTTGCATTTGTCCCAACCCCAAGCACCTTTATTTTTTCCACTGACCAGCCAGTGTGACAGGTTCCTGGTTAATACTGACTTTGGGGCTCATGGCTGGGAAGTGCAGATTTACCAGTCATGGGGGCATAACTCTGTCTAGGGCATGAATTTCAAGGCTGTGCTCTAAGGAAAACTGAAGGGAGCCCAGTGTTCTGAAACTGTGAAATCTAGGGTGCCCAGCATGTGATTTGTATGAAAAATCTGAGATTTTCTAGTCGCCCGAGGGCAACAGTTAGGCGCCAGGGGCCACCGGGCTCTGCTAGAGCACAGCCTTCACTTTACTGGAAAGTAAAGTTTCTGGATATCCTAGCCATCCTCGCAATGATCCACATTTCGAAAATACTGGTCATGTGGTGAAGCACAGTTGTCAAAAATGTTGATAGGACTACAATACATGATGCCATCCTTGAAGTGCAGTGATCATATAAAGGTTGGTACAAGATGGTTCACAGCTGATAAACCTTATTCTGAATGTCCTTCTCTCTTCAAACCATGATGAAGAGAGGACCTGTGAATAATGTTGTTGTAGTCATGGAGACAATGGTAGAAGGACTGCCTTACAAAGGCGTTAAGTTTGCATCTGTCACACCCTAAGCTTGCAGTGGTTATGGAAAATGTTCAAGGATCATTCACAAAGGCAATAATTTCGTTACTCTTATTTTAAACATCACATGAATCTGCTGGTCCATCTTTCACATTTTGCAAGCCAGTAGCAATAGCTTCCTCACGTAGTCTCCTTTTTCTTGCATAATTTGCTTTCTTTTTCTTTTTCTTAGCAACAGCTTGAGCAAGTTCACTTTCCTTGCCATTGTAAAGAAAATCAAGTTTCTGTCTCAAGATTTCTCTGGCAATCACTCTATTTCTTGCAAGGGATCTACTTTCATGGCACTATAAAAAAAAGAAAAGAAAAATATCAAACAATGGTTCACTGAGGATGGGGCTACCAGCAAGTGCCACCGAGGTCTCCAAATTTAGGCCATGTTCACACTAAGGCAGATAGCTATTGCGCCAGCACAAAAACCATATCAGATAGGGCCTTTGTTCACATATAAGAACAGTGATTTTGTCATGAAAGATATTGTTCATTGTAGATAATGTGTATAAAGGGTTTCTTTTATTGTTTGTCTTATGATTGTCAAATAGATATTGATCGTGATGTTTCGACCACGTACTACAGATCTTCATCAAGCGATAGTGTCAATTCACTGCTGAGTATTTGTGCCACCATGCTTGCTGATGAATTTATTTTGCCAACTTAAAACATTTACAAGAACAGCATAGATTAACATAGATCAGGCAAAAAAATTACTCAGACTACCAAAAAAAAACTAAACAAGCTGAGTAGTTACAATAATTAAATTACATTTTATAGGGTTGCAACACTCAAACAACACTCGAAAGATAGTGAGGAAAAATATCATAAATTTAGAAGAAAAACCGTAATAAAAACAAATAAATTAATTTAATTAAGATAAAATATAAAGAGCATAATTGTAGCATATCATAGAATTATGTACAGAATATAAATAATTTTTTTTACTAAAAAGTATGTAGTCGTACCTTAATAATGATACCAGTAGGTTTATGTTTCAGATGAACACAGTTACTGCTCTTATTCACTTTCTGTCCTCCTTTTCCCCAACCCTTGATAAAGCTCTCTTCCATTTCGTCTTCAGTTAGATGCACTTCATGGTAAAATCGAGCAAAATAAGCAGTTTTGTGGAATCGCCAACAGCTCGATGCCGCTATGACAAACTGACCAGTTTTAGGAGAAAGAGCTGAAAGGCGAGAAATTGTCAAGGTGAAACTCTGACATATTCTAGCTGCCGAAACAATCATTGCTCTGTTTACTCATCTGCGTTTGAAAGGTATCAATAACAGGCATTCTGAAATTAAAAATTTCAAAATTGTTCCTTCCTTCGTACGTGTAAGCCAACAAAACACATTGCTAAGAATCGCTTCTACATCGCCGCCATGTTGAAAGAAGCGAGAAACTGTCAGCTGTTATCTGTCTTAAGCATGCGCTTTAAACCTTCAGTCAGTGCAAGATGGCCGCCCGCGAGAGCAGTGTTGGGGCAAGTACTTCATGGCTGAATGCCATATACACGACAAGCCCACAATGCCTTGCTAGTACCTGCAATGCCCTGCCAGTACGTGTACTATGAGTAGAAGGTGTACTAGCTCTAGTAGCTGCAGTAGCTGTATTATGTGTAGTACGTGTAGTAGCTGTAGTAGCTGTAGTAAGTGTAGTAAGTGTAGTAGCTGTAGTAGCTGTAGTTGGTGTAGTAGCTGTAGTAACTGTAGTAGCTGTAGTAGCTGTAGTGGGTGTAGTGGCTGTAGTAGGTGTAGTAGGCGTAGTGTCTGTAGTAGCTGTAGTAGGTGTAGTATCTGTAGTAGCTGTAGTAGGTGTAGTATCTGTAGTAGCTGTAGTAGCTGTAGTAGCTGTAGTAGGCGTAGTAGCTGTAGTAGGTGTAGTAGCTGTAGTGGGTGTAGTATCTGTGGTTGCTGTAGTAGCTGTAGTAGGTGTAGTAGCTGTAGTAGGTGTAGTAGGCGTAGTATCTGTAGTAGCTGTAGTAGGTGCAGTATCTGTAGTAGCTGTAGTAGGTGTAGTAGCTGTAGTAGGTGTAGTAGCTGTAGTAACTGTAGTATCTGTAGTAGCTGTAGTAGGTGTAGCATCTGTAGTCGCTGTAGTAGCTGTAGTAGGTGTAGTAGCTGTAGTAAGTGTAGTAGGCGTAGTGTCTGTAGTAGCTGTAGTAGGTGTAGTAGCTGTAGTAGCTGTAGTAGCTGTAGTAGGTGTAGTAGCTGTAGTAGGTGTAGTAGGCGTAGTATCTGTAGTAGCTGTAGTAGGTGTAGTATCTGTAGTAGCTGTAGTAGGTGTAGTAGCTGTAGTAGGTGTAGTAGCTGTAGTAACTGTAGTATCTGTAGTAGCTGTAGTAGGTGTAGTATCTGTAGTCGCTGTAGAAGCTGTAGTAGCTGTAGTAGGTGTAGTAGCTGTAGTAGGTGTAGTAGGCGTAGTGTCTGTAGTAGCTGTAGTAGGTGTAGTATCTGTAGTAGCTGTAGTAGGTGTAGTATCTGTAGTCGCTGTAGTAGCTGTAGTAGCTGTAGTAGGTGTAGTAGCTGTAGTAGGTGTAGTAGGCGTAGTGTCTGTAGTAGCTGTAGTAGGTGTAGTAGGTGTAGTAGCTGTAGTAGCTGTAGTAGGTGTAGTAGCTGTAGTAGCTGTAGTAGGTGTAGTAGCTGTAGTAGGCGTAGTAGCTGTAGTAGCTGTAGTAGTTGTAGTAAGCGTAGTATCTGTAGTAGCTGTAGTTGGTGTAATAGCTGTAGTAGCTGTAGTAGGTGTAGTATCTGTAGTCGCTGTAGTAGCTGTAGTAGGTGTAGTAGCTTTAGTAGGTGTAGTAGGCGTAGTGTATGTAGTAGCTGTAGTAGGTTTAGTATCTGTAGTAGCTGTAGCAGGTGTAGTATCTGTAGTCGCTGTAGTAGCTGTAGTAGGTGTAGTAGGCGTAGTGTCTGTAGTAGGTGTAGTAGCTGTAGTAGGTGTAGTAGCTGTAGTAGCTGTAGTAGGTGTAAAAGGTGTAGTAGCTGTAGTAGGTCTAGTAGCTGTGGTAGCTGTAGTAGTTGTAGTAAGCGTAGTAGCTGTAGTAGCTGTAGTTGGTGTAGTAGGTGTAGTAGGTGTAGTAGGTGTAGTAGCTGTAGTAGGTGTAGTAGCTGTAGTAGCTGTAGCAGGTGTAGTAGCTGTAGTAGCTGTAGTAGCTGTAGTAGGTGTAGTAGCTGTAGTAGGTGTAGTAGGTGTAGTATCTGTAGTAGCTGTAGTAGCTGTAGTTGGTGTAGTAGCTGTAGTAGGTGTAGTAGCTGTAGTAGCTGTAGTAGGTGTAGTAGCTGTAGTAGGTGTAGTAGGTGTAGTAGCTGTAGTAGCTGTAGTAGGTGTAGTAGGTGTAGTAGCTGTAGTAGCTGTAGTAGGTGTAGTAGCTGTAGTAGGTGTAGTAGGTGTAGTAGGTGTAGTAGCTGTAGTAGCTGTAGTTGGTGTAGTAGCTGTAGTAGGTGTAGTAGCTGTAGTAGCTGTAGTAGCTGTAGTAGGTGTAGTAGCTGTAGTAGGTGTAGTAGCTGTAGTAGGTGTAGTAGCTGTAGTAGCTGTAGTAGGTGTAGTAGGTGTAGTAGCTGCATGACCTCCGTATTATTATGCGTGGCGAAAGCATATCTACAGTAATTTATAACAAAACAAGGCTAACAATATTCCAATAGTATTCTAATAAACTTATGTTACATCACCTACATTTGACAAAGACAATGTTTCCCGGAGTAATGGATTACGACTTTGTTCATACATGAGTCAACGAAATTCGTTACCAACTTATTCACTTATAATAGTCGTTAAACTTCATGTGAAGTTAAATGCTTTTAAAGGTTGATTTCTTTTGATTTTTGGTACCATCACATTGATTCGTTGTTAGACTGAGTTGTTGTAATTGTTAATTATTGGATGAGGTTGAGTACGGTAGGAAGAAATATCCTGGCTGAGGTTTGTATTATCTTTAATAATTGTTCTGTTACCGAAAGTAATGACTCCCTGACATTAGCGAAAAAGAGGAAACTTGGAGGATTGCGAAGTTATTTTGAAGGAGGTGAGAAGTGGAAAAATATTTCGATGGATTTTTTTTTTCTTGTCAAAGTTACACGTTGCGCTGTCTCGGTTTGGTTTGAAATATCTTGTCCAGCTTCACAAGATGGGTACAACCTTTGTGAGGGGGGTGTAAGGGTTTGCGGTGATACGGTTTTGCTCGATTTTTGGTGCGGTTTTGCGGTGATTTTTATTTTAAGTTGCGGTATTGCCGTTTTACAAAACCAAGCGGTTTGTGGTAATTAGAAATTTTCGGATAATTTCAACGCGGTTTGCGGGTTTCTTATGTTATTCTGTGCGGTATTTATACGTATTTCTGTGCGGTTTTGCGGTATTCGTACCCCCCTTACGCCCCCCTCCTTTGTCTTCGACCTAATCTGTACTATGTCGTAAGAAGGTGGTACAGTTTACGAGGGTTCACTCGAAAGGTTGACGGGTGAATGTATGAAAATGGAGTACGTTTAAGGCTCTAAGGAATATACGAAAGAGAATTTGTAGAGGAGAAATGTTTAATGTAATATAATATAATGTAAGTGTTACGTAACCTTTTTCTCCTAAAAAAGCAGTAGAAACCAAGCCAAGTGAACAATAGCATAGACAATAGATAACAAAAATAACCACTTTATTTGTCGCGAAATACAAGATGAGAAAAATGTTTTTTGGTCTCGTTATAAGTGAAGACATTCATTTTGTTGTTTCTGACAAAAACATTACTGACAATAAACAGCTACAGCTTGTTGTTGTTGTAATTAAGTCTAAATGCCAGATTCGTTGTTATTATTACACTTCAGAACTAATTCTCCGATACAATTTCTGCATTGTGCTCAAGTGTCGATCCATTAGTTTTCTATAATGAATGAGGAACGTTTATCTGGTTAACAGCGAAATTGAATTTATTCACCATTGAGGATGCTGCTCATTCATCTTGGGAAAGATTAATCAAAACTGGCGTAAAAATAATTAAAAATTTTATTGTTATATAGCTATGATTTTTTCCCCAACAGCGCGCGCCGTGCAGATTACTTCGAGTCACACTAGCCACATCTAACAATAACACTGTTTCCCTCCAAAAGTTTCTGAGCAGGGAACATTACAAAATATATGACGTTAAAAGCATCCACGCCAAAGGGAAGTGCAGGGTCAATTTGCATCTCGGGGTTTGTTTGAAGGAAGACAAACTCCTGAGCCTTAATCTGAGTCAATTATATTTCCATCTTTGTTGAGTTGGAGCTGAAGGGGAACAAAGCTAATACATATTTTTTTCATCACTATAAATGCTTCTTTTCATAGCTAGTAAGGGCGAATTACTAGAAAAACTACACAACATGGAGCACACTGCAGAAATAAAGCCCGTTTAAGCTTAAGTGCCTCCCTCTAGATTATATACAAGGCTGCGCTGCTCCCGTCTCAATTTTTAATTCGGCTCAATATTTCGGAGAAATCAAACTTAAACAAAGACCGTTACTCGTTACGCCTTCACGTAAATCACACGGAAATCACTTGTTCAAAAAAGATAGTTAAAATCTCATCTAACGCATTGACGAAAACAAATGTAAAGAACATCATAAACTAATCTGGTTAGAAAGCGATACATCGATTATCAAGCCTTACTTTCTCTGCCTAAACTTGAACTAAACATGCAATACAACGTAAATACTATTGACGAAATCAAGAGTATATGTGCTTGACGTAAAAGCGCATTCTCTGTTTCTTTTTCCCACAAATCCAAAATTGATAAAACACCTACGCTATTTTCCTGTTTTTTTTTTTCTTTCTTTTTTTTAATCCGATAAACTCCCTGCTAACCAAAGCGGGGAGACAAAACAAAAAAAACCGTCGTTTCCACGGCCTTTCCCTAGCTTCCATCCCCTCAACTTTTCATGGATAAGAACACTCTCTGAAAGGGATCACTTTGAAACCAAATAGTACAGCAATTCATCCCGCAATCTTGAGCTTGCATCCTTTCAACTAGTTTTCTAGTTTTCTCAAACGAATACATGCGGTGGATAGTTTTTAATTAAAAATAAAATTTTAAAATAAAAATATTAAGGAAATTCTCGTAATTATCGGTTGTCTGTTAAAGTAAATATCTCTTGTTTTAATTTCTGCTTTTTATCAACTTTATGAATTTTAATTTGTACTGGATTTTTCTAAGCACGTACTAAATCTTGGTCTAGTTAATTCATGGAAAAGTTTAGCCAATCATTTTCGATGAAGAAGCTTGAGACCCTCTATAAATGGACCACAACCTCTCATTTTCAAACTGTAAATTTACTATACTTTCCTTTCTGCTATTGTCAAAAGTTTATATACTAGTATTTAATTTGTAATTTTTACACTGCTCTCCTTGTTTTATATTGGCCAGTTGACCTAAGCTTATTATAAGTGAAGATCGAACAACCATTTTGACAGAGTAATCATCTCGAAGGTTGCATTCTAGTCTCTTCAAACCAATCAGAGAAGACTTATGTCAGCATAAGTTTACATTAAGCAGTTGGTTTCCTGGCTGATATAAAAAGAGGTGCAACATTGAGTCACCAGAGAATTTTACAAATGCAAAAGTCTAAAGAAGTTCAACTCGTGTGGAATAAAAGTCAGAGTCAAGAATACAGTCGACTTATCTTTGTTGAAAGGGAAGCTAGTCCCCAGAAAAGCCCTTTCAACAGGATGTGCAACTGCAAATTAAGAGTTGGCCGTGAAAGGCAATCGGAATTGGTTCTCGCTCACGTTCAATATTGGTACAGGACCCACTAACTGAGTATTGTTGGGTGCGGTTCTCTAAATACGACTAAAACCATTTTAATGAATTCTCAGATATCCCATTAAAGTCAAGCTTAGATAAAAGAATCTTGTGGTCAACGGCATCGAAAGCTCCATTTAGATCTTGAATAATACCCGCGTTGATTTTCCCAAAGTCTATATTATATGCCCGGGGGTCAGTTGCCTCAAGCAAAGCTGTGACAGTTGAATGAATAGCACGAAAACATGATTGATGTTGACATAGTATACAGCTACTACAGCTACTACAGTTACTACACCTACTACAGCTACTACAGCTACTACAGCTACTACAGCTACTACACCTACTACAGCTACTACAGCTACTACAGCTACTACAGTTACTACAGTTACTACAGCAACTACAGCTACTACACCTACTACACCTACTACAGCTACTACAGCTACTACACCTACTACGGCTACTACACCCACTACAGATACTACAGCTACTACGCCTACTACAGCTACTACAGCTACTACAGCTACTACAGCTACTACACCTACTACAGCTACTACAGCTACTACAGATACTACAGCTACTACGCCTCCTACACCTACTACAGCTACTACAGATACTACGCCTACTACACCTACTACAGCTACTACAGCTACTACAGCTACTACACCTACTACACCTACTACAGCTACTACAGCTACTACAGTTACTACACCTACTACACCTACTACAGCTACTACAGCTACTACACCTACTACAGCTACTACATCTAATGAATTCGAAGGAACATCATGTAAATAAGTTAGTTATGAAGTTTGTCTCCTCCTGCATGAAAATACGTGATTCATTGTTAGTAATGTAACCGAATTTTTCTAGATTGTTATTAGTGCTGTTTTGTTTTTATTTTGATTGTCATATACATGCTTTTGCAATACTGTAAAGTGATGCGGTCATGCAAATAAAGCAATTTATTACTTACATCTACTACAGATACTACAGCTACTACAGCTACTACAGCTACTACAGCTACTACACATACTACAGCTACTACATCTACTACAGCTACTACAGATACTACACATACTACAGCTACTACAGCTACTACAGCTACTACAGCTACTACAGCTACTACACCAACTACTGCTACTACACCTACTACACCTACTACACCAACTACGGCTACTACACCTACTACACCTACTACACCTACTACACCTACTACAGCTACTACACCTACTACAGCTACCACAGCTACTACGGCTACTACAGCTACTACACCTACTACACCTACTACAGCTACTACAGCTACTACAGCTACTACACTTACTACAGCTACTACAGCTACTACAGCTACTACAGTTACTACACTTACTACAGCTACTACAGCTACTACAGATACTACAGCTACTACACTTACTACAGCTACTACAGCTACTACAGCTACTACACCTACTACAGCTACTACAGTTACTACACCTTCTATAGCTACTACAGCTACTACACCTACTACAGCTACTACCTAGCTACTACAGCTACTACAGCTACTACACCTTCTACAGCTACTACATCTACTACAGATACTACAGCTACTACAGCTACTACAGCTACTACAGCTACTACAGCTACTACAGCTACTACAGCTACTACACATACTACAGCTACTACATCTACTGCAGCTACTACAGCTACTACACATACTACAGCTACTACAGCTACTACAGCTACTACAGCTACTACACCAACTACTGCTACTACACCTACTACACCTACTACACCAACTACGGCTACTACACCTACTACACCTACTACACCTACTACACCTACTACACCTACTACAGCTACTACACCTACTACAGCTACCACAGCTACTACAGCTACTACAGCTACTACACCTACTACACCTACTACAGCTACTACAGCTACTACACTTACTACAGCTACTACAGCTAATACAGTTACTACACTTACTACAGCTACTACAGCTACTACAGATACTACAGCTACTACACTTACTACAGCTACTACAGCTACTACACCTACTACAGCTACTACAGTTACTACACCTTCTATAGCTACTACAGCTACTACACCTACTACAGCTACTACCTAGCTACTACAGCTACTACAGCTACTACACCTTCTACAGCTACTACAGCTACTACACCTACTACAGCTACTACAGCTACTACACCTTCTACAGCTACTACAGCTACTACAGCTACTACAGCTACTACAGCTACTACAGCTACTACAGCTACTACAGCTACTACACCTACTACAGCTACTACACCTACTACAGCTACTACAGTTACTACACCTTCTACAGCTACTACAGCTACTACAGTTACTACACCTACTACAGCTACTACAGCTACTACAGCTACTACACCTACTACACCTACTACAGCTACTACAGCTACTACAGTTACTACACCTTCTACAGCTACTACAGCTACTACACCTACTACAGCTACTACAGCTACTACAGCTACTACGCCTACTACGCCTACTACAGCTACTACAGCTACTACAGTGACTACACCTTCTACAGCTACTACAGCTACTACTACAGCTACTACAGCTACTACAGCTACTACGCCTACTACACCTACTACAGCTACTACAGCTACTACAGTTAGTACACCTTCTACAGCTACTACAGCTACTACACCTACTACAGCTACTACAGCTACTACACTTACTACAGCTACTACAGGTACTACAGTTACTACAGCTACTACAGCTACTACAGCTACTTCATGCACTGCAGGCACCACATGTACCTATACATGTAACGTAGCGTTCACCTACTACAGGTACTAGCAAGGCATTGTGGGCTTGTCGTGTATATGGCATTCAGCCATGAAGTACGCGCCAGTGTTAGCGCGGTTTTTAAAAATTCTTGCAAGATTTTTATCTTGTATGTCTGCTTTTTTCTTTGTTAGAAAATAAGCCATAAAGGTAGTTTATTCTAAACAAAACCATGGCTTGGAAAAGACCTCTAGAGAAAGATAACAGCGAAGAAGTGAAAACCTGTCCGTAAATCGTGCTTCATGTAGCTGGTGGAATGAGAATGATGAAAAATGCCTAACAGAACAGTGCGAATGTGGTGGACTTCTGGATGAAACTTTGCAACAATTGTTTTAAAGTGGAACTTTTTATAATGCAGTTCCCGTCTGCGAAGGAAATCGAAGGTCTTTGGTTGCGCGTGGAACTTCAATTAGCGACGTCATTTTCACGTAGCAGATTTAGTACGTCAACAATCAAAACTCAAAACGAACAGATGTCGATGCTACATACTGAGATAAATACGTACAAATGCAAATACGTATTTTGTCTATCCATAGAAAAAAACTAGAAAGCGTGTGATATGGAGAAGGTTTCTTAACGATCCAAACCACCGAATTGAGAAGGCGCTCGTGTAAATGTAAGTTTCTCTCTGATGCAGCGCTCTAAATTTAAGGGTGGTGACAGGAGTAAAGGACAAACTCCACGGCGGCTGGATTCCGATGGAAGTGGCTCTGTGGTCTCCCTACAGTCATCCTCTTCAGATGATGGCAAATTTCCAGGCAACCAGATTTCCGAGGGTGTGAATCGTCCACCAGTGTTCCAAGTGGATTCTTCTGATGAAATTGGTACACAGAGGTTTTCAATGAACAGAGGAGGTGATGACTCGGCTCGAAAAAATTTAGATAAACTCCAGCAGAAGTTGAGCACACAGCCAACCCATGATACCTTGGATGAGATAATTTCAACCATGAAACACCATGGTGGTATTAAGGATCCTTCAGCTGCTGGTATGTCCTTTCCTTTGCAAAGTGATTCAGCTGTTGGAGGAAAAGCATACACATCGGCACAGTCCTATTCAGGTAGCTTAGGGTGGAATTCATCAACACCTTTGCAAATGAGGTAAGTAAATTAATAAGGTTATAACTAACTTTACCTGAGTTAGATCTTACACAGTACTCTCTCTCTCTCTCTCTCTCTCTCTGCCTATTTTAGTAACATATTTTATTCCATTGGCCTCTTGCACATCTCCCATAATATATCTGGTTTACCTTACCCAAATTTTGCATAAGTACTATGTATTGACAGTCTTTAATTTCTCTTGGGACAACTGTGAAACCAACAAGAAATTAAAAACAAAGGTTATCCAAAATTTTTAAGGGAAAACAAGTTGCATTATTGAAGATATATGTCGCAGTTAATTTTTTTATTTTGTTATTGTTTTTGGGTATGATAATGTATGCTAATGAATTTTAAACAAAAGAAAAACAAAAACTAACTGCAACATATACAAATGGTCATTGAATGCTCAACCCGATAAATGTGTCAGTGCAAAGAGCAAAATTATGCAACTGAAAATAAGAAAAATAGAGGGAGTGAAATTGAATCTCTGTTTCTTGAGATTACTATTTCTAACTTGCCCAGTTTCTATCCTTACCCTCCTACAGTGAAACCTCAATATAACGAAGGGTTGAGGGACTGGGGAAATTTGTTCACAATAACAGTGCTTTGTTATATCAAGGTTCTTTTTAATATATTTTATTATTAGTGGGGCGAAGAAAATCATTTATTATTCCAAGGAGCTGGGACTTGTCATATTGAGGTTCCACTGCATATGCTTTGTGCTCATGCTCATCTTTCTTGTAGCCTGTATGGCAGGGATTCGAAATAGAAGGGGAAGGGAATTGGGAACTAGACCACACTCTAGCACACCTTTTGCATTTCTCACACCTTGGAGTCTCCTTTCCTTTCCTTTTCAAATGCTTGCCACACAGGCTATATGTTAAAAAAAAAAAAGGTTAAAGGCATGTTTATAGTGGAAGGTGCACTTAGCTAGTCAGCTAATTTACAGGCACTCCACTCAAATATTTAGAAACAAATAATTCAAATACAACATAACAGGATTAAAAACCCCAACTGGCAGAAGGCAACCAGTTGGCTATTTACAAGCATGGCCGAGAATTTGAACTCGGAATGACCGAGCACAAATCCAGCAAGTGGCCAGAGCGGGACTCGAACCCGGGACTGCCGGATTGCGAGTCCGACGCGCTGACCACTCGGCCATGCTGCCTCCCATATGTGAAGCTTAAACTCTCTTATTGTTTACGTACAAAGCATTATTTTTACTACTTTGGAGATACAAGATAATTGTAGGTTAACTGCCAGTAAACCTTCTTTGTTGAAAAGGTTATTCTTAGTATGTGTTAACCTATTTTAGATTTGGCAATAACTATATTTTTAAAATTGATCTCCTTTTAGTGGCCACCAGAAATTTGGCGAGAAACATACAAGACAACTCAAGGACATAACAACACACTTTGAATCTGCAATAGACAAGATTCGCGACCAATTGAATGGTGTGGGAAATAACCTGTCAGCTCTGCAAGATGCATTGCCTGTCAAGATGCTTGAAGCTGCTAATCATAAATTGGAAGCAAGGTGTAATGTTCTAGAACAAGTTTGCGAACAGATGAAAAATAAATCAGCCAGGCTGGAACAATCCAACCATGACCTTGATAGCAACTGTGCACAGTTACGACAATTTAATCAGAATCTTGAGGTCCGCTGCTTATATCTGGAACAAGTTTCACAGGCAAATGAGAAAGAGAAAGCTCACTTACAAGAAAATTGTCGAGATCTTGAAGCAAAGGTTGTGGAGCTTGCTGCAAGTAATGAGAAAGCAATCGGAGCTTGTTGTCAACTTGAAGAACTTAACCAGAAGTCTGAGAATAAGCATCAGGAGGTGGAAGAGTCCAAAAAGCTTCTGGAATCACAATACAAATCTTGCGTAGTGGATAATCAAAAGCTTGAGGCCCAGATTGGACAATGCCAAAAAACTTTGGAGCAATACAAAAAGTAAGGCATACAGTCATGCTAGGTCAAGTGCACCCCATAGATTCCATTTATGAATTCATTATTAGAAAATTGAACCCATTAGTCGTTGCTGCAACCAGCGTCAATTCAAATCTGCATTCCTGCATGTGTAATGAGCAGTGGATTTTTTACGAAAACCTCTCTGTATTTGGTGGGATTGAAAAATCTTTGAGTGGGTGCAACTGCTTTGAAGACATCTACATCAAATTCAAGAAGACTGAGCTGGTGGAAATAATTATTTCATAACTACCTTGCATTGGAATTCACTGTTCATTACTTAGGTATGCAGGAATGGAATCTTGGGGGGTTTGCTTGACCTAAATTGATTTTTGCGAAATGGCAGGAGATGTTAAGGGCTGTGTTTCAACAAAGTAATATTAGTAAGTTCAAACTTCCTCTAGCTCTGGCAAGTAAGGTCATAGAAAGCATTTGAAAAAATGCCATAGATTGGATCCTTATTATATTATATTTTTAAAATTTCTCAACTCATGCCAAATATAAAATTTGTTTTATAATGTAAGCTGTGTCTTGGAGCAGAGGAAATGCCAAAAAAATGCAGTGAACAAAGATGAACACTGATGTAAAGTTGTAATAATTTGAGTGACAAGTGGAGTTGATGTTGAGATTCAAATAAATATTCTTGGATTTAATGTAATTTTACCTTTATCTCAAATTCATCAATGCATATTCATTATCACATCCAAAAGCTAGAAAAAATTAAACTGTGGATTAAATTAGGCCCGCAACATCGACCTGTTGTCAGAGTTGTAATTGTAATTTGTTGTATTTTGTTTGTAATTTGTTAACCAACGAAGCTCGTAGGTCAGAGTTCTTAAGAAGTCGTTGAAACTTTTCTGTGCATTCCAATTGAATTGGAATTTGGAAGTGTTGGTTTTTAAGGAGAGGGGAAAACCATAGTACCTGGAGAAAACCCTCTCAAAGCAAGGGAGAGAACCAACAACAAACTCAAGCCACATTATGGCGTCAGTAATGCCAGGAGTCGCACCTGGGCCACATTGGTGGGAGGCGAGTACTCTCACCACTACACCACCCTTGCTCCAAATAATTAGTTTAATATTATTATATTATAAAATCACAATACACAAATAAATTTGACTTTGATTGACTTCTGCTCAGGCAACTGAAATGTCAGGTCACAGTTATTAAAACTAGTCTTATTCAGAACTACACTTACCTGGACAACAACAGTCAACCTGTTCACAAAAACTAATCATTGTTTTTGTAAATGTGTAGGAAATTTAGAGACTTTGAGGAGGCAATTAACACATCAAAAAGAGAAAAGGTATGTTCTGAATACCTTTTTTAGATGTGAATTTAACGTCCAAATATTTCTTCAAGGGCTGATTGTTCAAAGTGCTCTCTTGCATTGCGAGGTTGAAAACCCTAAAAACAAAATTCCTCTACAAAAAGGAAATACAAACACTTAAAATCCTTTCTAAGCTGTTTGCGAGCATGAGCAAAGAAGTTAATTTGGGGCTGCTTGGACAACCTCAGTGTTAGGGCGCTTTCCATTTGTCAGAACTGACCGGCCAAACCATTCCCGTTGCAATGATAATTTCCCTTTTAATCAAAACTCTCTAGCCAGATCAGTCACATCCTAAATAGTATGCACTGAGGAGATGGTTTTTCAGCAAAAACTCTTGGAAAAAGCCTATTTCATTATCAAACTGACTGGTTGGACAATGGCCTGGCTGGTCAGTTCTGACAAATGGAAAGCGCCCTTAGTAACTGGAAAGTATCAGAGTGTAAATGCCAGTGCAGTGGATTTCAACACCATAATCAAAGAGTTCCCACTTGTTTTGAGTGTTAGGGGTCCATAGGACCTCCAGTCCCAAGAAATTGAAAGTCGTTTTTGCTTTTAAAAGGTTCCAGACCATGTGTATGTATTAGGTATAAGAGTGTGGGAAGGGGGAATTTGTGGTCTACAATTTCTTCTTTTGCTATAAACAGAACCATTTTTACTTGAGCTTTCAAAGTATAGTCATACTTGATGTGTCTGCCACATGTTACATGACCTTTTTCCCAATTGACCAAGATCTAAGGCCCATTGCTGAAAAGAAGTTGCATCATGTACAAATCATTGGGATGGTTTTGCCTAACATCTGTATGTCTCAAGACGTGTTTTGCATTTTCATGTGGTCATCAGTGGAAACTTGCATTAACCATAAAAATTCTTCAAGCAATTTGGACTTGAAGACATGCTTTTTGAGGATCTACATCAGTTTTTCTTTTGTGTCATATAGGCAAAGCATGTGTTTGTTTGTTTTTTTTCATCATTGAGGGCTGTGTTTTCTAGGTGGGCATAATTATTCCCTGAGTAGACAAAATGGGGGATTGATATGGGGATTTCCAAAATGATTGAAAAGATGTATGGGTGTAGTGACCAGTCATTGTGTATCCCTGGAACTCTTGGGCTCAAAGAAATGTGTGTCCTTTTTTTTTTTATTTTTGTGCAAAATATGCTCACATGTGCATTGATGAGAACCTTGCTTGATTCAACCAGTCCTGTAATTTTCTTTCAACAAATATCTACCACTGACCATCAGTCTACGCCACTTTTTTAAAATTTAAATTGAATTTAAAATACATTTTCTACAGTATAGGGAACAAATCTACTTGCAGATTTTCTGTGATTTTCTGTCAGAACACTTTGCCTCCCCCCACCACTGCCCTTCTCATCCCAGTCAAGGAACGTGAAAAAAGACTAGAAGAAAATTGCCTCAGGTTAGGTGGGAAACAATGAAAAATGAGGTTGTTGGGATGTATTTATTGAAGTCAGGATAGTTGCTAAGATATAATTATATTTTTCTATGTTTAAACAAGGAAAGCTTAGCTATGAAGCTAGAATTTTTGAACAAAGGGCTCACTCAGGTCAAACAGAAGTATGAAGAATTGAAGTCCATGTGTGCTGCAAAGGACGAGCTGATTACCAGGCTGGAAAATGAGATGAGGGAACTGTCTGTGTTTGTGGAAAAAACAATCAAGGTATTTTAAGTTGTCAAAAAAAAATCTTAAACACCTGCAAGCTTGTATTAGGCACTTAAGTCATTATTTTTTTTTATTTAAAGTACTAATAGTAATAAAACTGATTTCAGTGGTAGCATGTATGCTAATGTATATTTTGCATCGTTTTCCTTAGTAATATTTCCTGTCAGTGTGCTCCTACTGTGGATGGTTTCTCCTAAAATTTTCTGCACTATTGCTATGGGATTTTTTATTGAGCCAAAACCAAATGCGCGATTGCATGCATTTTAGACATCCTACTGATGAATGGTTATTATAATTAGTAGTTAAATAATAATTACGGGAGCAATTGTGTCATTTTTTTTATAGTCTGCCCCTTTGAAATATCCCAATAAAATTTGAATTTGGAGGAAAAAATACTCGTAAAAAACTGGATTATAACTGGAGTATAACTACAACTGGAGTAGCCAGAGAAAACCCAAGAGCAAGGACCAATAATAAACTAAGCTCAAACCACATAAGTGACCGGCACCTCTGGGATTCAATGACATGGGCATGTTGGTGGGGGCAAGTACTCTCACAAAGCTTGATTTTGGGATGTATGCTTGACTTTTTGAGGCTGCATGTTAAAAAAAAATTAACATACTGATTTTTTCAAGCACTTGACATTGAAGGAATTTGAAAGCATACAGTTTTGGCAATTTTAATAATATTTATATAGCCAGTAAGTTTATATGTGACAAGTGATTGAAGCATGATACTGTATACAGCTGACATTCTAACCAAGAGTATTAAGTACCGGTACAAGTACATTTTACATAATGCCAAACATTCAAAACTATGGGTTGGCAAAATCAATTAATTTAAGACCTTTTTTTGTTCCGGTGTTGTTTCAATTTATTACTGGCTTTTATTAGGGGGTGGAAACACCAGTTTTTATTACAGTCAAACCTCTCCACAATGGCCAGCTTGGGGACAGAAGAAAGTGGCCGTTGTAGATGGGGGCGGTTATGGGGAGGAAAGGGTGTAATATGACAAATTCGTTTTAGGGAGCGCAATTATTGCTAAGTTCATGCTTGTAAGTACTGCCCTGTAAACATGTAAATTTGCTACTTTTTATTTATTAAAAAAAATCACATGGAATCTATTTTATTTATTCCGAGGAATTTTTTTTTCTTTCAATTTAGCCTGTGTAATTTTTTTTCTTCTTTGCTTTTTACTTGCAATAAAATAGAATAAAACAAAAAGTTCATGCTTGCTGTATCCCATAGTGGTATTCCAGTCACATATAATACCATAAAATTCCGAAAATAAGCCCCTCCAAATATAAGCCTCCCAAACCGGTAACGCAAAAAACCCTCCATTAAATCGCCTCTCCAAATATAAGCCCCCCAGGGGCGTGTACTTGGAAAATTGCCCTCAAATACAAAGTAAAACAAAGCAAAAACTTTAAATTTACTTCCAACTATAAGGCTAGCCCTATCGATTTTGAAACGCAAATTTCCCTACGTACATAAGCCCCTCCCAATATAAGCCCCTCCAACAATAAGCCCCTCGAAAAGGGCCTTTGAAAAATATAAGCCCTGGGCTTATTTTCGAAATTTTACGGTATATGGAGATAAAATACACAAAAACATTGAATAACGTTTTGAATCAAAATGTTAATGTGACAAAACAAGCAGTGTTCTCAACATTTGCTATACGTATTGTAGACAAGTTATGCTTACTGCAGCAGTATAAATCACACACAAGTAAAATACGATTGCTGTGATTAATCATCAACACACCACACAGATTAAATTTCATGACCAGTATTGACCTTTTCATCAGTTGCTGAAAAAAACTGGCCGTTGTTCAGAGGTGGCTGTTTGTGGAGGTTCAATATTACATAACGTAAATTAATTGCTCCTTATGATGCTTTACAATCTTTTTGCAGGAGAAAACAGAAGCTGAGAAACACAGCAAAAAAGATAAGGAGCTTCTTCAAAGAGTAAGTCCTAAAAACTGCAATCAGAGTTGATTTTTACTATGACCAAGCAGTACACCATCCTCGGAGACCCAGGGCGGTCAGTCGTACACGACCACTATTATTTTGCAACAGTTGCCCGGTTCGTTCACCAAGCTTTCCTAATCAGAAACGAAGGAATTACTGATGAGTCGAAAAACGTTCCGGATGCTATCAGCAGGAGCAATTCAATTTGCACTGAGACAATTCTGCTTCTGACGCATCACAATTAAATAATGAAAAAGAGTGTAAAGATGTAGCGGCGACAAGAAAGTATTACAAAAAGCAATAGCTTGACGAGGCAAAACAACACCTTTGCACGTGCATCAAGCTTTTTTGTACATTCCTGTGCCGTCACTACACGACTACCACGTCAAAATGGCTATTTTTACGTTCTGGGAAGGACGTGAACAAGCAACATGACAAAATTTTCTTTTTCTCTATGAACTTGGATATGGTTGATAGAAATTCAGCTCCAGAAGAGTTTGCTTGCACTTGACAAAGTAAGCGAGTTGGAATAATCACGATAAAGACTGAAAAAAAGCAAATTCACTTTTCATGCGACGTTTTCGTGTCAGCTGTCATGGCATCTTTAACTCCGTAATATATATGAAGGCATGATCGAGGCAAGTGTGAATACCTGTTGTAAGCTCAAGCTTGTATTTTTGGAAAAGGATCTGTAGTTTTCGGGTAGACAGTATTTTGAAATGGAGAGTTTATATCAAATTGAAAGTTTCCTGACTGCATGCAATTCTTTGGTGCATGAGCCAGACAAGCTGTGATCGAGTCAATAGTGGTCATGTACGAACTCACGAAAAGAACTCAGGAGATGCTGTTTGTCGATTGGGCACAATAATACAAAGCGTTTTTTGTGCCCAATCAGGAGCCAGCATTTGCTTGACCATTTGGAAATGGTCTGATGACAATCGGTACCCAGGGGCTTTTCCGCCTGTGCTTGAAAACTTTCGTCGCGCCTTTTCTCCCGGCCCGACTGACCCCCCCCCGGGTCTCCGAGGATGGCAGCACACTCACCGTATTTTCTCCAATAATGGCCAGGGGTGTTCATTGATTTTTTTTTCTGCACCAGAAGGGAGCGATTATTCGAGGGAAGGAGATGGTTTCCAATATTGCTCATAGGAAGTTGTGATCGATCCAAATGTTTTGTTTTATTTTCCCGTTAATTAACCCATTCGCCCCTGAACCGCCCGTAACCGCCCGTGCCTATCCAGGTCCTCTCTACCCTTTGTGACGTCATCAGTTTTAACGGTCAAGGACAACCTTCTTCGCTAACTTGTGCAGAGTGAAGAGATCTTTCAAACCATACCAGAATGAGCACAATTTAGTCAAGGACACCGGAGAAAGAAGCAAAAAACCACGTGACAAGGACCTGAAAATCTCCATGAAAATCTTGTTCCATTACCCACCTACCTTTCCTTTCACCTAATCCTAAGACCCTAAAAGCTTTCCTAAAAACTCTTCCCACCAAAATGAAGCCTACTAAATGCCCAGCAACAGAAAAAAAAAATGAGGCAAGAAAAGCGAAAAAAGAAGGGAGGAGAGAAAGCGAAAAGTAAAAGTCAAGACTGCTGTGTCACTTTTAAACCCAAAAACTATGTCGAAATTTTGCTTTCTGCGCATGCCCGAACTTCGCAAGCTGATACTTTGCATCTGGATCAGAAGGCCGCCAAGTGTACGACCTGTAAACCGGTTTGTGGTAAGTTTTAGCTCTTTATAGCACGACAGTGACCAGAAAACCACTCGACTAGCTTCAAAACGCGTTTTTCGGCAAAATCTCCAGGAGCGAATGGGTTAAAAAATAAAATAACCACATCAAATAAAATAAACATGGGCATTTTTAGTGTTCCAAATTTAGTTCCTTGATTAATTTTCAGTGTCAATATCTTGGTTGTCAGACCGGATGTTGAATTGTCACTGATCAGTTTTGCTTATTGTAAGTGCAATTCGAAATATTAAACTCGATAAAACGGCTTCCAAATGGTTCCAGAAGTGAACAGACAGTAAAACACAACACAAACACAAGTTGAGTCATTTTATTGCAAATTCTTTCAAAAATTGTAAGTTAGACGGTATTTTGCTTGTTTTCATGCATTTTTGTATCATAAAATTCAAATTCCAACAAACTCCCATATAGAGTCTGGGCTGCCTGTGTTGTAAACTGGCCAATGTAAAGACCCATTAAATCACAAATAACTTGTGATTATATGACTCCTTTGGTATTTAGATGTTTGTTTTTAAGAGCACAGAAAGCCAGACATTTAAACTCACCACTAGCAGCTGTGACAGTATTAGTACTGTTGTAAACGGGAGTTGATTTCGTGGCCAACAGATAAGTGTCGACTGCTTGAGTATCTCTAGACTTGGCCGGTTTCGGGCTATCAGTATTCTAAGGGACTTGTAAACACTCAAGTCCTGATCACATTCATATTCATCGTTTATTGCTAAATCAAGGTACTTTTATACATATTGGTAGCTAAATCATACGTGGGAAAATATCGTAGGGAATACGTGTGGTTTCCTTTCTAGTAAACACCCTAATTCGATTGAAAGCTTAAAACACTATTACACCTACATTACTTACGTAAATCCTGAGCGGCTAGGTTTGAGTAATCATTCCATCCTACACAAAATCCTATCAGTTTAAAGGGTGTAGCTTGTAGCTTTTACGCTATTCCGATCGGAAGGCACATCTAACTATCTACTTTACACGCTGCACATTTTTGCACGCTTGTTTACACAATAGGGATCATATTTCCGGTTCCTATCAAGCTAGTAATTGATCTATTGTTCACTTAAGATTAACTAGTCACGATTCATTGTACAAAGTGTCACGAATTCTTTAACTTTACTACACTATCCCCCCCTTAGAAAAGGGCATGTCCCCATGCCATGCAACAAAGGAAAGGAAAACTACTGGATTCTAAAGCAAAATATAAATCACTGGGTGTACAGCCACTATAAAAAAATATCAACTCTGAATGCAGCTACAGTAAGAAAATTAATCAAAGTTCATTCAAAAATTAAGAAACAAAGTCTCTCATCCAAGCAGGAGCATGAACTTCTCTTCTTGGTCTGTCTACGACAGGGGGAGGCACTACTTCAGCTACTGGTTCTGGAGCTGGCATTTCTGCCTCTGTGGAGTCCTCTTCCTCAGCTCTTGCTGATGTCTCGTTCCCGTCAGCTGCAGTACCGTCTGCATACATGAGGTCAGTCTCATCCGGAACATAGCGAGGGGGAAGATGAGGTCTCCGCACTGGCAAACTGGATGGCTGGCCAGTAGGCTGATCAGGTTGCTGGGCCCTCTGTCGTGGCTCGCCACACAGCTTCAGTCGATTGAAGTGCACAACTCGCCGTTTTCTGGGGTTGTCCACTTCTTCTATCCGGTACGTTACATCGCTGATCTTCTTTACCACCACGTGTGGACCATGCCATGGCGAATGCAACTTCTTTGTCCGTCCTGACTTGATTACAGGAAAATGAAGGTACACATGATCTCCAACCTTTATCTCGTCTCCAGCAACGCGGCGGTCATAGTAGTCCTTCTGTCTTCTCTGGGCAGTCTTCAGGTGTTCTCTAGCTCTCTCATGGGCTTCTTCGAGGGTGGATCTGAGGTTCCTTGCGTACTCAGAGGCTGCTTCCGGCTGATGAGGTTCACGACCATACATAACATCCAAGGGCAACCGTACCTCATGTCCAAACAACAGGTAGTGGGGTGTGTACTGGGTAGAGGAATGGACACTGGACCGGTATGCCATCATCACCATGGGTAGGTGAACATCCCAGTCACGCTGGTGCTCGGCGACGTATTTTGCCAGCATGTCCTGTATCGTACGGTTCATGCGCTCAACCATGCCATCACTCTGTGGGTGGTATGGAGTTGTTCTCGTTTTCTCGATACTGAAGAGGTTACACATTTCCTTAAACAGCTGGGCTTCAAAGTTCCGGCCCTGGTCAGTGTGGATACGCTCAGGTGCCCCGAACCTGGAAATAACCTCGTTCACCAGCTTTTCTGCGACTGTCTTTGCCTCTTGATTCGGGAGTGGGAATGCCTCGGTCCACTTCGTGAAGTAGTCTCCAACAACCAGAATGTACTTCTGACCAGATTCTGTTGTTGGTAGGGGACCCATGATGTCCAAAGCAATCCTCTCAAATGGGTAACCGGGACAGCTGCTGACAGGGGTGCTCTTCCTGGCTGCTGTGGGGACTTCCTCCTCGAGCACTTTTTCGCACTGTTGGCACCAATCTTCGATGTCATGCTGCTGACCATACCAGTAGAAGCGTTCTCTCACTCGCTCCAAGGTCTTGGTTACTCCCAGGTGGCCAGCTGAGGGTGCATCGTGAAGGGCGGAAAGGACTTCGGATACCATAGACCTGGGAAGTACTAACTGCAGCCCGCGTGCCATGACCATCATCTGTTTCCCACCGGCGGTAAAGGACACCATTCTCCAACTGCAACCTGTTCCATTGTGCCCACAAGCTCCTGGTTGCCTTACTGGTTCCTTCTATCTCCTGGAAAGTCGGTTGGCTGGTCTGGTTCTGCTTCCAAGCCAAGATCTTCTTCAAGTCAGGATCCGCCGCTTGACTGGATCGCAGGTTGGTCACTGTCCAACTGGGTACCCAGGTACTGGTGCTGCTGCCCACTGCATTGGTCTGGGTTATCTGGTCAGTGTCCTCAGCAACCACCAGGGGTTTTTCTAAAGCGCGTCAGCATTCTGGTGTTTTCGTCCTGGTCGGTGTTCAATCTTGTAGTCGTACTGGGCCAACAACTCGAGCCACCTGGCCACCTGTCCCTCGGGTTCCTTAAAGCTCTGAAGCCACTTCAGTGCGTTGTGGTCTGTTCTGACAGTAAACGGTCTTCCATACAGGTAATGGCGGAAGTGTCTGATTGCGTAAACCATAGCAAGCATCTCTTTCTTGGTAGTGCTGTATCGGCGCTCACGATTGTCCAGCACCACGACTTGCATACGCGATCACTCTCTCACTCCCGTCCTGCTCTTGAGAAATAACTGCTCCGAGGCCATAGTCACTCGCATCACAGTCCACAATGAACTTTGCGTCACTTGGGAAAGGCCAGTACAGGAGCTGTCACCAATTTCTCTTTCAGGCTACGGAAGGCCCTGTCGCACTCTGAAGACTACTGGAATCTTTCAATGGATTTTGCTGTCAGGCGATGCAAAGGGGATGCAATCTCTGCAAAGTCCTCGATGAACCTGCGGTAGTACGAGGCCAGACCCAGGAAACTTCTTACATCGGACACATTGGAGGGGGTAGGCCACTGCTCCACCGCTCTTATCTTGTCTGGATCAGTACTCACACCATCTGCTGAGATCACATGGCCAAGAAAAGGGACTTTCGGTCGCAACAGGAAGCACTTTGAGGGTTTCAGCTTCAGCCCTGCCTGGCGGAATCGCTCGAAAACTTCTCGTAGCCGCACCAGGTGTTCCTCAAAGTCTCGACCAAACACAATAACATCGTCCAGGTAGACCAGGCACGTCTGCCACTGCAGTCCAGCAAGAACAAATTCCATAAGCCTCTGAAAGCGTACTTGGCGCATTACAGAGACCAAAGGCCATTACCTGGAATTCAAAGAGGCCATGACGGGTCGTGAATGCTGTCTTCTCACGGTCAGCACCCTCCATCTCGACCTGCCAATAACCGCTGGCAAGATCCCACGTACTGAACAGTTTCGCACCTGCTAGGGGCGTCTAAGGTCTCATCGATTCGGCGGAAGTGGGTAGGCGTCCTTCCTGGTCACATCATTCAGCTTGCGGTAGTCCACACAGAAACGCAGTACCACCATCTTTCTTCTTGACCAGAACTATGGGTGAGGCCCACGGGCTAGTAGATGGACGTACAACCCCATTCTGCAACATGTCTTCCACGTGCTGGCGTACAACCTCCTGCTGGTGCAATGGTACCCGCCTTGGCGCTTGCTTTATAGGAGGGGAGTCACCTGTATTGATTTGGTGCTTTACCACGCCGGTTCTACCGAGGTCTGCTGGTCCAGATGAAAAGATGTCTGCATACTCATCTAAGGCGTTTTCAGTGCAGTCCTCTGCCCGCCAGTCAGGTCTAGAGAGTCAAGGTCAAATTTACTGGACACCTTTGGCTGCGTCGTACTACGAGGCGCTGCAGGCGTAACGTGATTACACTCAGGGGGTCAGGGCTGCTTTCCTCCAACTCACTGAGGGTACCAACTGAGGTGTTCTTGTACAGGGTAACAGGCATTGGTGACGGGTTGACCAGGCGGATAGGTACTGTGTTGTTCTTAGGGTGGGCTACCACACGAGCAAGCAAAAGATCGTGTTGTTTGGCAAAACTTGGAGATGGTTCCACTAGACCTAACAAACCATCACCACAACCAGCCCCCTTAACCTTAGCATGCAACACTATTTCATGACGTCCAGGAACAACCACAGTCTCCGCTAAACTTATCCTAAAAACTTTGTTACCACCACTCTTAGCCTGAAGGTTAACAATTTTGCTCCCAATACTTAGTGACTTAGCCTCAAAATCAATTTTGCAACCATGTTTACCTAAGAAATCTATACCTAGTAAACAATCCTGGGTAACATCTGCAGCAACTAAAACTGAATGAACAACATTCACCCCATCAACGCAAATTTCCAGGTCACACTTGCCCCTAATATCCAAAGGTTGGCCATTCGCTGAAACCACTGGTTCACCAACCACACTTAACCTAAAATTTTGGGGGGACCTGTTAAGCACCCGCTGATGCACAAGAGTCACTGCCGACCCAGTGTCGACCAACATGTCAATAGGTTGCCCTGCCACTAGCCCTGCTACATACACAGCAGTGTCACTAGAAACACTATGAATACTTGAAAACGAGTTTGCTACAACTTTAGTTTCTACTTTCTTACTTAAATTATTCTCCGATACATTTCGGGTCTCTCCGATTTCCCCGACCGACGCTTGACCCGCGGCGCCGATCACTTGGAGTTTCCCTGCTGATCCCGTGCTGGTTGAGGACAATCGGCAATGTAATGGCCCCGTTTGTGGCACCTAAAACAACGGCGTTGTATTCGATCTTTTGTATTCGGCCCCAGTCCCCGACCGTTTTGTTTACGTTCGCTCTCGCCCGAAGTTGAAGGCGGCTGCCGCTGTTGCTGGTGTTGCTGGACGAAGTGAACCATCTGATTCATGGCGGCTGTGTTCTGTTTGAGGAGTTCTGCAAATGCACTGCGCTCATCCTGGGCTGGTTCTTGTATTACTCGGACAGACCGACCCTTAGTCCGCCGAGACTCCGCTTCGTACATTGCCTCGATTTGCAAGGCTCGACTGACCGCTTCATCGAGCGTTTTTGGACCCGATTCTCGGATCTTCATCCGTATTTCCCGGTCCTCCAACGCGTCGATAAATTGATCCTTCGCAAGGCTGTCTTGCAAATCAGGAATCGCCTCGGGATACGCTTTACCGACGAGTCGTCGCAGCGAACTAGCGAGATCCGGTAGCTTCTCGTCCCGTTCCCGGCGTCTTGCACGAAACTCCGCCTTGTGGAGCTCGATCCGTTCTTTCGGCACAAATTTTTCGCGAAGTGCTCTTTTTAAACCCGTATAATCTCCCCGCACGTCCGGTGATAAACTCTGTAGTTGGAGCAACGCGGCCCCACGCATACGAACAGCGAGAAACTGAGCTTTACGCGCGTCGTTCCACTCGTTTATCACGGCGCAATCTTCGAAATGGGAAAGCCACGAGTCCCATTCTTCGTTCCCGGCCGCCGAAAATGCCTCCGGCATAACTATTGGCCTATTACTACTAGTTGCCGCTTGTGCAGTAGCGCCTGAGCTAGGGGCAGGAGTTTCTCCGTCGGGATTAACCATAATAAAATTTAATCAATTACGTACACAAGAATAGCGATAACCCAAAACACAACCAAGCCAGTACAAGTCCCGCAAACCCAATTGCGACAAACAGCTTCCCGACAACTTATCAACTACAAACAAGCTCTACTTATCTCCAAGAATCGCCAAACTTCTCGATCCTTGTAGAACTGATCCACGAAGACTTGAATTCGATCCCGCCGCTTGCCACCAGTGTTGTAAACGGGAGTTGATTTCGTGGCCAACAGATAAGTGTCGACTGCTTGAGTATCTCTAGACTTGGCCGGTTTCGGGCTATCAGTATTCTAAGGGACTTGTAAACACTCAAGTCCTGATCACATTCATATTCATCGTTTATTGCTAAATCAAGGTACTTTTATACATATTGGTAGCTAAATCATACGTGGGAAAATATCGTAGGGAATACGTGTGGTTTCCTTTCTAGTAAACACCCTAATTCGATTGAAAGCTTAAAACACTATTACACCTACATTACTTACGTAAATCCTGAGCGGCTAGGTTTGAGTAATCATTCCATCCTACACAAAATCCTATCAGTTTAAAGGGTGTAGCTTGTAGCTTTTACGCTATTCCGATCGGAAGGCACATCTAACTATCTACTTTACACGCTGCACATTTTTGCACGCTTGTTTACACAATAGGGATCATATTTCCGGTTCCTATCAAGCTAGTAATTGATCTATTGTTCACTTAAGATTAACTAGTCACGATTCATTGTACAAAGTGTCACGAATTCTTTAACTTTACTACAGTACTTTTTTGGAAGGGAAAAATGTGCTCTTCAGTTAACATGTTTGTTGTTACGTAAACTCTGTTGTGACTCTAATCAATAAATTTTTTTATAATTTATTTTTAGTTTAAATTTTAGCTGTCACAATCTTATTATCATACATGACAATTCCCGAAAACAAGTGAAATAAAATTTAAACCTTGGCAAGTAGGATATTGAACCACGTACAGCAACTAAAATAGTGCCTTTTTTACTTTTTTTAAACAGATGTTAACAGAATATGATGTTTTAGTTAAAGATCACCAAGAAGCACAGGTAAGTTTTAGAGTATTTTAAGTTAACTTTAGGTTTGCGATTAAAGTCAAATGTTCTAGATAATAATGGACATCCAGGGGTGAGAGTCAATTGGCTACATTATAGAAGTGTCTGTTATATAGAGGTAAGGTTTTCTATTAAGCTTGGTGTCTTTGGGACTGTTAATACAACTGTCCGTGATTGAGAGGTGCCTGTATTATAGAGATATTTTTTATGTAATAAGTTAGGTATCCAGGGCTGTCAACCTCCCATGTGTTCAAATATTGAGAATTGATAAGAAAGGGGTGATAGATGATGTCAAAATGTACAATACGTGACATCATTCGTGCAAAAAATACTTGTTGATTCCAATCGTCACAAATTTGCGATGACCACAAAATGCAAGTAAAAGATGTTGTTGGCTTTGTAACTTTGACCTGATTGGTTTACTTCCCAGCAATCACATTGTTGCTTATATTACAATGGCATACTGGAGTTTGTGAGGAAACGTTCAATGTTAACATTAAAATAGCTCAAACAAAGCAAAATAGTTGAAATTTTATTGTTGGAAAGTCGAGTCTACTGAAGAAACGGCAAACTTCGATGATTATCCAGGAGATTTCATACTCTAATCTGGAGACCGGGAGATACGTTCCAACTAAAATCTGGTGTCTCCTGTATTATCTGGGAGAGTTGACAGCACTTGGTATCTTGGGACCAAGAGAACTGTTTGGAATATAGAGATGGTGGTATCATCAGGGTTGTCATTAAGAGCCGGGGGCCAGGGATTTTCCCCGGCTACTAAGAGAGTGGCCCCCGGCTACTTTTATTGGAAAATAGAAGGAAAATAGAACCAAAAGAAATCCCTAGCCGTTTGATTCCCCACCTACTTGTTGTATTTACCCGGCGACTTGAAATCTTAGTGACAACCCTGATCATGGAGCTGAGGTGGAGGTTCAGGAACTATAGAAGAGGTTTGACTGTCGGTGTTGTTTTATTAAGATTCTGAGAGAGAAGGAGATACAAAAGAATTGTATTAAATAACACAAGATGGTGTTCTTTGTTGTTAATTTCATTTAACTGCATTTTAAATGTCATAGTGATATTAAAACTTGACACTTTTCAGCGAGATGGCAAAGGGTTAGCACATGAAATGTTTTTTTGCTTAACTTTTTCCAAGCAATTTTATAGTCTTTTTTTTGTAGCACCTAATTCAATTATTTTGTTTTCCCAGTACTTTGCAAAAATTTTCGTCACCATTATTGTGAATTGAATGGAACCAGGCTCATCTGAAGAGACTTTTAACAGCTATTTTATAGTGTGTTGAAGCAGATGTGATCAGCAAAGCAAGGCTTTGAGACATTCAAATGAAATTTGAATAAAATCATCTTCACTAATCCATAAATATAATAATTAATTATTATTATTCTACTAAGTGCTATAAAATAATTATATTAAAATTAAAAGCTGTGACTGATAATATTATTTACTTTTAACAGGAGTACGTAAAGTCTATGCATGATAAACTCGAGTTGTCACAAAGTGAGATGGCAAATCTGAGGGAGTAAGTTCACTGTTGTTAATAGAGAGCTTTAGGTTTGAGGACAAGAACGAGTATGAGTATGAGATTTAACGTAAAGTTTTTGGGCATGTTCTAAAAGAAAGACTCTCCAGAAAGCTTCAGTTTACTTTTTTTCACCAAAATAGTTAGTACGGTTATTTATACTGAAGGAGGTTAAACCCTCTCCCAATAGCAAAATGATAAAACTTCTTACATTTGATAACTTGTTCCCGCCACTACGACATTCTCGCTAAAACTCGTAGTAGAATTAGGATTGCTATCATGTTTTCCTGCTAAAATGATGCTGATTCACGCATGAGCAATAATCAGTATTGAGAAAATCTCGTACTGGTAGTCGTCCTCGTCTCAGAATTTAAAGCTCTCCATTGCATTATTGGAAAATATTGAATGACTCCCATATCATGCAAAACTGACAAGGGAAAGAACTTAGAAACAAATAAGGGCATTTTTTTTTTTCATTATTGGAATGGTTAGTAGAAAAAACAAACAGTCAAGTCAAGTCATTTTAATTTAATTCACACAAATATTTACAGATACCTGCCACTGTTATCTGTAAATAACAACTGACTAATAACTTTCATACTTGCCATTTTTTAAGTCAATGTGGAGCTGAAGCAACCACGACCATGACAGGGTCAAAAACAATTGGTTTTATGAGCAAAACAACAGTCTGCATGTGCATCACAACTTTTAAAACATTTCTTTGACATCCACTGCACGACTACAACATGAAACCAACGTTTTATGAAGGCTGCGAACATACCGCTGCGACTTTTCCTTTCTCTTTTTGAACCTGTATAAAGTCCTTAAGAGTACAACTCCAGGAAACAGAAGGTCGCCTACATTTGGCAAATTGAGCGGGTCTAAATAGACACGGTAAAGTTTGAAAGGATGCAAATTAATTTTTTAGCGACGTTTGTGCTGCTGTCTTCATCATCGTCGTTAAACTCCCTAATAATGTTGCACCTACTACTTTGTGTGACCTAATAAAGCTGAGATACTCCTCATTCACTCTCAGAACTGGATCTTCCAAAGGTAAATTCGACCATCTATGGCCTAAAGTTGTAGTGCATTAAAATAATAAATTGTAGGACAATTTACCAGTTGGCTTTCTTTTCTATATTTATTTGTATGTTATTCATTGTTTTCTCTTGCTTTCAGGACCATATCAAAACTAGTTTCAAGAGGTAATACTAAGGAGGATGTAGCAAAGGAGCATAGTTACGTCCAAGAAAACAGGTTTGCATATTAAATCTATTTATAATAATGGTTTCAATACTTGTACATGCAGCGGATGAGTAGCTACTTAACAGTTTTTTTTCCATTTTAACCCTTTAAGTCCCAATAGTGACCAACAGCAATTTTCTCCTAACGATATCCATACATGGTCATGAGATGAGGTTATGAGAATTAATAAAATGATCACCCAGGAGAAAATACTTTGATCGTTTATCAAATTCTCTTAACTAATTCTTAAAGGAAATGTATAGAGATCAGTTTGGAGAATTTGTATGTGGATATGGGGGCTTAAAGGGTTAAGTAGACAGAGGTTCCTGAAAAATACAGGCTCCAGTTGTTCAAAAGTTGGATAGTGCTATCCACAGGATAAATCGCTATCTGGCAGATAAGTGTTAAGGGAAATCAATTGCATCATCTATTGGATAGAGATTTATCCACTATCCAGTGGATAGCGTTATCCACCTTTGGAACAACTGGGCCCAGATGTAGACAGCATCCAAATGACCCACCCTTTTTGTGGTGGGGGTCTGGGAGCTGAGAAATGTGTTTCATAGGCATTTTTGAACCAGGAAACTCAGATATTAGATGGGTTACCTAAACCAGAATTAAGTTGTCAAAATAATTTTAGATATGTTACAATTTTGAACAGCACATAGAGGCGAATGTAGTGTGTCTACCAAACCCAGTGATTAGTGTGACAAAGTTTTGTTTTATCACTGTGGCTCACTAGTAATATTATCAGATGTTAGATGTCAGAACATTTTGTCCAGGATAACTGCTTTAGTTTTAGAGAAAACTGCTGTCAATGCAGCTCCTTTCCAAAAGACCTTTTTAGTACATGCACTTTTCCAAGCAAACAATCCTTCAGATGTCTACTTCCTTTTTTGTTTGTCTTGTTTCACTTCAAATTATACCTGCTTGTTAACACTCGAAAACTTCTAAATTTTCTTGTGGCAGACGACAAATTTCACAATACCTTCTTCCAAGCCACTAAAGCAAGATTTTTTAAACAAAGCAGCTGTAATCATTATGTTTCTTAACTGTCCCTGGGCAGTGTCAAAAGGTCTTTTATGTGTTTAGCTATAACAGGTAGCTCAAACATTGATGACAATAACAGCTGTGAAAACGTCACTAAAGAATGAATTTGTGTCCTTTCAAACTTAGTTGTGCCTATTTAGATCCACCCAAAAAATGCGAAAGGAGGTTTCACGTCATAGTGTTGCAGTGGATGTTAAAGAAATGTACTAAAAAGTGTAATACACTTGTGGAGCTGTTGTTTTGCTGACATAAAACCAATAGTTTTCTGATGTTGTTGTTGTCATCGAGGATGCTTAAGCTCCCTAACTTGTTATTTCTTATTTCTTCTTCTTACTATTCTTATTTCTACCAAGCCCAGCTAAGTTTAATACACAGTTGACAGTTTCTCATTGTGAAAGATTGTAGCCGGCAAACTTAATACAACCATGATTAAACAATTGTTTGTTTTTTCTTTTTTTTTTTTTATCAAGTCACATTGAACAGTCCACGGGTAAAAATAAACTATTTACTGGACGGAAAACTTGGGAACAATCAACTCCCATAAAAAAGCGAGATATTCAGAAAGCAGACCAGAGCCAACTTCCTTCATCCTATACAAGCCCAGAAATTCCAAGAGATGTACCGAGCTCTGAACTGGCAGCCAGCTGTCATCCATATGCCACTTCGCCGATACATTCTGGCAGTCCAGCTGTAGCAGATGTTTTGAAAATTCCATCATGCCCTACAAAAAAGCAAGATTTGTCATCTAATGGGTATTTATGTTTAAGTTTTAATTATATATTTTTTTTGGTTGTTCCTGCTTAAATATTTGCAGGCCGGTTGAAGTATTTACTTTGTAGCTTTGTCCCAAATTTAAAATATGGTACAAGCAGAGCTAAAGATAGCCTGAATTTCAGCTGTCTCCTTAAGTCGCAAACTCAGGCTAAGCTAAAAAAATAATGCTTAGGTATGAAGTGATCTTGAAATCTTAGTCTGGGTAAATTAAGAAAAGTAGATGGTGACAGGAAGAATTATGTATTATTTCAAAACCAGACTGTGGTCCCTGCTGCCAACAACATTGGTTTATAGTGCGCTACCATATTATGCCTCGTTAAGTGACCATTTGATGGAGGTGCCTACATAATTATGCCATGAATTAAGCAAAAAATTGAAAAAAACCATAATCTCTAAATTACTATCCTATGACCTATGTTGGCAAAACAAAACTTATTTAAGATGAGGTCAGTTTTCTGGGTAGGCTATAAATTATAACATTATTGTTAAGCTGATTCTTATATTTCAATTCATCAAGACTCAAGTCCTCAACCCCCTCCAGTCAGGGTAAAAGTGGTCAAACAAAACCTGTCACAAGTAAAGAAAGTCCGGACACTGTAATGCCAGCACCTTGTACTGTTGCAGGAGGAATGGTAGTCAAGAAAACTGATCTTCTTACCAGGTTGGAAATCAAAATCATTGAAATAGAGTACAATATGCATGTTTGGTTGGTCTTTATTGTTTTGCTTTGTGATTGGTTATAGACTAGCCTAAGGGACGGACCATTAGAAATATTATGGGGGGGGGGGAATTTTCGAGCCGCAGGAATTTTTTTTCGTTATCAAATTCCTTGTATGAATTTTTTTTAGGCCATAGCATGAATATTTTTTAGGATTAATTGGCGTGCATGAATTTTTTTTCATTTAATTTTCCCTTGCACAAATATTTTTTTTTTTTTGTACGTCGCCCGCCCCCCCATAAGTTTTCTAATGGTCCGTCCCAAAGTAGAAATGGGAAGGGGATCAGGAGGAAGTCACCGTGAAAAGAAAAGGCGTGTCCGGTAGCCCAGGATTAGTGGATTTTGCTAACGGGCTGATGAATTCTGTTCTTAAGTTGAGGGAAGTTTTGGGGGGAAATTCAAATTACAGAAGAACTGTCATCAATTCTGCTTATCAAAAAAAAATTTTAATGACTCTTGGGTTAGTACATTCTAGCTAAAACTGACTTTCTTTGCACACTGCTTACCAAGTAGTAATAGATGATAGTGCTGATCATCATCATCATCGTCGTCATCATCAGCATCGCCATCATTATCTTGGCTACCGATTCTTTCATTTCTTATGTTGTTTTATCTTTGCGCATAAAGGTTTGACGTGGTCTTTGAAGATACTAAATCAGGTGAAGAAATGATTCGCACTCACACCGGAAGGACCCGCCGCCTCTATGGTGAACCCGCCCAAACAGAGTCTAGTTTTCTAGCAGCTGGCGATGAAGCCGCTGGCGGTTTTCCAGAGTCAGAGTTTACTGGTGCACACGATGCGAGACTGTTAGCAGTAGAAGATTATGACAGGACAATTTCTGAACCAAGAAGGACCAAGGATAAACAAAGTGGGTGGTGGTGACCTGTATCGATTCTTTCTGGGTGTCAGTAAAACACCAACTTGGGCTTGAGGCAACCCCATCTACCCCGGGCTAGAGGTTGGGTTTGCCGTTGTTAACCATTGTCTTTTTGTTTTTGCACAAGTTCGGGGAAAATTATGGCGCCAGGGCCACTTTTTTCTCGTTCAATGGCAGCTCTGCTACCAACATTTTTCCTGAACTAGCACAAGTGAGCCTGCTTGCAGGCTGCTTTTTCTGTCTTTCTGTAAAGCTTTAACCAACACATCAAAATTAAAAGAAAGAAGAACAAATGACTTCCTTGTTCCACTATCTGAATTTCAGCTAGTGGAGCATGGGCGAAATGAGATTAAGCTAAAAAAAAAAAACCGGGCCACCACTTTTCATTTTCACTCGCTCTATGTTTTTTACCCGTGCTTCACTATCTGAAGCGGGAATCAGGGTACGGTTATATTTATAGGAAGAAGTATTTTTAACTCATTTTGCGGTTTCTTATCTACATTTTTTGTTTCTTTATCATAGGCTTATCATTTTCTGATAAAGCTTTTAAAATAACATCTCTGAATATTGAAAAAGCAGAACAATATTACTTATCTCTGAAACTTTTTAACCCAATATACCAAGTAGTTTCGGAAGAAATTCGTTATTAAACACTCGAAATGTAATGGGCTCATAAACGTATTTGTCACCCAGCAATGTGGCAGTATTAGATGCCTGATAATTCATTTGATGTTGCCTAAAAAGAGCTGAAAATGGCACAAATTGCTGAAGTAAAGCAGCTCTTTCAACTTTTGAACTTTAAAATTTGTATATACGGTGAAGCCGTGGTGTTTATCTAAAAATGTCCTTGCCCTTGGCTATTTATACCTTTCCCGGCGGGATATAAGCCATATAGGTATGTGCCCCCCAAGGGTATGGTTTGTGCACCGTTTTGGTCTAAAAACGGGTATAGACTTTGCCCATTTAGGTCTGGAATCGGGTATAGTTTTCGAGGGAACTACGGGAATGTATGAGGCTATCAAATTAGAGGCTTTTATAAAGACTGGATTTATATGGATAGTTTCTAGCAGGAAAACTGAAGGTTTTGAGCGTTGTTTTACATTCTTGTCTGGTGAAGCGTGTCCTTACAGACTCTATTAATGAATTGTTTATTGCCGTTATCGCATCTTTTCTGTATCCCTGCATGAGTAATGTCAGTAATGAGTGGTGAATTTGCACGCAACGCGGTTAAATATTTTAGCAGCTCAGCTTTTTTCTTAAATTTGATGTAAAAGTCTTCATCGGAATTTTATTCACTCAAAAGTCCGAATTCTTTTCAATATGAGAAAATAAAGAGAAGCCCCAGACCAAAATAAGTTGCTAATTATGCATGCAGGAATTTGATAGTAGTAGCGACAAAGGCAAAGGGATTCAATTTTCAAATAATCAATTCATTAATCTGACCTATGGGGGTACAACTGTAATAACACTGGACTTGTTCTTTTTACAGCAGTTACATACAATATCGCCGAGAAGGATCTGGGCACGAAAAGCAGCCAGGTGAGCCTCTAGAATAAGTACAATCAAAACTCTGTACAGCGGACACCCACGGGAGCGGCACTACTTGAGCTTGTGTACACGCGCCTGAACTCCGCCCCTCCCCCTCAGGAAAAAAAAACAACGGAGAAAGAGACAAGAGACGACGTCTCTCTTCCTGGAGGCAAATTTTCTTAGGATAGCATTAAGTGTCCTAGTTAGAGAGGTGTCCATCTGAAAAGTAAAAGATGGGACCGACTGTGACCAACTCTAGATGTCCGTGAGGAGAGTGAATGCCAGAACGTGAGTGGAAATGACAGGGACCAACTCTAGGTATCCATTTTAGTGAGTGGGGAGGGACGGGGGTTGTGGGGGGCGAGTGGAGAACGTTGCTTCTTTAGTTATATCAAGCAAGGACCAGCGTAACATAGCGGAACCCCTTGATCCCAATAAAGGCCTTCAAATCAGCTAGTGAAGTTATAAGTAACAAGATAATGCGCATGCAAGGATGATTTAACATACCCTGCGAGCAAGTTCAACAGGAGACGCGAAAGTAGCCTGCGAAAACAGTCGACATTTAGCGACGCCACCACTGGATTCCCGCTAAATGACGTCTGAGAAATGAGTGTAGAAATTCCATATTGATAACGCGTCACTACCCAGATCTGGGTAGTGATGCGTCATCAGTATGGAATTTTTGCGCTCGTTCTCAGACGTCATTTTGCGGTAAAACCAGTGGTAGCGTCGCAAAAAGGAAGGCTTTCCAGGGACACTTTTTATGCCAGTCATAAAAAATAATAAATAATTCCGTTATTTACTCTCGGTAGTATTTATAGCACTTATGCTAGTGTGGCCGAGCAAATGTCTGAAACAAATAATCTAAATCAAACTTAACAGGGTTAACCTAGCGGTCAGAGTAGGACTTGAATTCAGGGCCTCCAAATTGCAAGTCCAGCGCTCTAACCGCTCGGTTCAGTATAACGTGAATCTCATTAGCGTGCATATACAGTCGAACCTCGCTATTTCGAACTCGGTTAATTCGAAGTCCCCACTATTTCGAAGGAAGATCGAATGCCCTTGGATTTACCCTTCCCCTTTACGCTTCCCCGCTTATTTCGAAGACCCGCTATTTCGAACTTTTTTCCATTTCCTTTGGGACTTCGAAATAGCGGAGTTCGACTGTATATTGCCGAACAGATAACCAAGCCTTTTTTAAGATTGTGAATACCTTTGTTGTGTGTTAAATTTTTGTTGTTACTTAGACCGGAAGCAAGGATCACACTGAAGAGAGTGAAAATGACATGCATTTAATGGAAAGAAAATTTTCAATGCTTACAGAGGAAAGAAAACGAGCAAGTGCTGTTTTTTGTGATTTAACGCTCTCCATCTTAGACTAGGTTATGGCGTGATGTTTTTGTCAGGATAACTTTCCAATCTGTGAGAGAAATCCTATGCTGTTACGCTTCTGTTGAAACCTTTCGCAGCACGTTTGTATAAGACTATTTATTTCTTAGGATGTAAAAAAAAGAAATTTGAATTTTCTTACAATTTTTTTCTTTACCCACTATCAAAAAGAAAGAGTTAATGAATTTTTTTTACTACATTTCTTTTATTTTCTTGACTCTCGTTAGTGAAACATTGTTTTTGCCATTCAAAATTGAAAACTCCTATACAGGGATCATATCTTCAGCACACTAAATAACATCCCCAGGTTAAGGGGGCACTCAACAAAGTTTTATACAGGAAGCTCCGATCCGAGGTCCAACCCCTTGCCCTTTTACATACTATTTTTTGACCGAAAAGGTATCCCTTTTGTATAGCTTCTATTGACAAATGGTTCCTCTTTCACATACATACAATACAACACTGCATCCATTTAACTGTTTGACTAGCCTATCTTTTTAATAAGCGTCGAACAAAAAGCCAAAACAGGAAGTTTTTGTGTCATTTTCACGACGTCAAATTGCGCATATTCAAAAATGTTTGAAATAGAAGCCTTTTAAGAATACTGAAATGACATTGAGTTTTGTTTTCCTTTTCACATCAAGTGGTGAAATTCCTATCCTATACCTGCAGCCTGAAAAATTACCCCTTCCGGAGGGGAGCCTCCCCGTAAAGGCTAATATAGGAATTGGCCCCTCCTGGGTAATATCCCCTATATGTAATAGCCTGGAACCAGGCTCCTCAGTGGGGACAAAGGCTAAAAAACGGGGTGAAACAGCCAAAAAAAAGCGGTTGACTAGAAATTTTTTTTTTCGCCTTGTCTCCCCCACTGCGAAGCCTGGTCTCAGGCTATATTAACGTAATGTCTCTGTTAATACTGCAGCTTGAGTCTACTCTCAGCCGAATTCCAACGCAGAGAATGACGAAACGATCAAAGGAGGACAAGGTATTGTGAACGTGCTTTGTTTTTCTTCGAGGTTTATTCATACGAGGTTTGAGAATCATTGCGTCAAAGTTTGCGCACGTTTATGCTATGAAACAATCTGCAAAGATCTTTGTTTCTACTGATTTGGGACCTTTTTGTGTTTTGTTTTTGTTTTGTTTGTTTGTTTGAAACCTCCCGCAATGAGGGACTGTCCCTGGGCAAAATTTAGACCGGATAGCGATGTCTAAAACTGTGCAAGCCTGCCCCTGATTGACAACGAAGTGAATATAAATCGTACTACGTAAAAGTTAGCTTTGCAAGACATAAACACGACATCTGGCTCTTGATAGAACCCAAACATCATACTCCGGCCAAGATATCGCCGGTTATTTAAAAGCGGATCGATTTACGCCATGAAATCCCTGGAGCCCTGATGCTCCTGTTTACGCGAAAACAGCGTGTGGTATGAGGAGAAACGGGGTTTCGCTGTTTTTTTCTCTCTCGCTTTTTAATTTTCGCTGCTGGCCCGCTTTTTTCCGCTCGTCTTTACCGACCCAAAGCCTTACTTGCACAGGCTACGTGACGGGAAAAAAGATACGTTATCTCAGCCTTTATCTTGCACTTCGAGTCTCCACTTCCTGACGCCTTGCTTCCTGAGTCTGAGCAGGTGTTGCAAAAACAAAAATGCTCCGGAAGCAACTTAATAAAGGCGATGAAAATAAATATCTGGAGACCTTCAATCAAGCTGGTGTGACGGGTGTGTTTCATTTGCGTATTTAACTCTTGTCGCACCAATGCTGGCATCTTTTATGCTCGTTGTAAAGGGACTACTTTTAAAAAAATTTTCCTGTGTTTCAGGAGAGCCCAAGGTGCTATGCAATAAGAATGGCCGGGGGGGTACTCGATTAAATATTTGGGTATAGGTTTGAAATCCTGACCCTGTTTAGGACAAAAAATTCCTTAAATTCATACCCTGTTTAGGACAACACCCTCCATTTTATTACCCTTTTTAGGACAAAGGACAAAATGCACGCCGTGTTGTTTTGTAGGCATTGCTGGCAGTTGCAGTACAGCAAATTCACGTTATGCATGTAGTCATTGCTTCTGTTTAATTGGAGTACAAACAAATTTCATCCAGTGTTTATGACGGGATGGCACGAAATTATATAACCTGGTTAGGACGGACAGAAAAGAGAAAAACCATTCCCTGTCACGCGGCACATCCCCGCATTGGCCATATAACAACAACAACAACAAGTTTATTCAGTATTACCATTTTGTACAGGTGTTACCGATTAAAATAACAATAATAAACAACTAAATTTAAGGAAATGAAGATATGATGGAACGGTAGAATATAAGGAAGTCCTTCCCGGGGGAGAATTGAGAGGGAGTGTTCTTGAGATCTCTTGAGCGCGTAAGATGATAGGCGAGGTTTTCGGAGTCTCCCAGATTGTGTAAAAAAGGCTCTCTATTTCCTTTGTACAAGGTTTATATCGATATCGTTTTGATTATTCCTGCTGACCCTCGGGCTGACCCTTAGTCTTGTTTTCTTCAGGCTTATCTCGAAAGCCGGCTTGATGAAGTGGTCAAGGAGATAGGAGCTGTCAGGATGCAACTTCGAAGACATCACGCCCTTTGAAAAAAGTACAAACTTGAAGTATCACTTCGTCTGACCTTCACTGTGCAAGAAAGAAAGAAAACGTTTTGTTAAGCTTTTGAGGTGAAAGTAAATCTAAATGATTTGTACTTCTGATTATATTTTTATACATGCACTGTTTTGTATTCAGAACTTGAACTGATTGAATTGACATTAAAGCTGTATTTCTTAATCTGCCCAGCAGATTTTATTTTTCTGTGTAATTTTAATTTAATAGTTTGTTTACTGATCATTTTATCTGCTCATTATTTTTGTCCTCTTTTTAGTTGTAAGAGTCATTTGACATAATCCGCCCCATGTAAGAGATTCGTTGTCAGTGGAACTCGGACTCTGGTTCCAATCGTTAGGGGGATTCCGGATTCCTTGAGCTGTGTCCAGATTTCAAAGCCCAGGATTTCGGATTCCGGAATCCCTGGGACGATTTATTTTCCATTTTTCCCGGACCAAAGAATAACAGATCAGTTAGAAAATAACTGACAAAGAGGTGAACAATTGTCGAATTCTAAACTGGTACGGTATGAACGTCCACCTCTCCAATTCTCAGTTTGGAAAAACTGGAAAAGTATTACAGATGGAAGACGTGCGTTTAAAGGGACACAAAACTGCGGTTTCCCCATCGGATCACACATGAAACGCTTTTTTGCTATCCAGAACGTTTGGGTCTCTAGCCACGTATCCTAAGCGGCGTTATAAATTTCGTGTCTGTTCGGTCAAACTGGAGAAATTTGAGCCTCTTCGAAGTTACAAGGGGACTATCATTTTCCGAAAGTTAGATGCAATTTAAACTTTACGAATGTGGGAATTTCTCTGATTCCTCTCTCTATCACATTTTTATAAAACCGGAGTCCGGCTGCTCGTCGTCTCATAACGGATTTTGATCTCACTTCGATTCTCGGGATGGAAACCAATATTTTTATACCCATAAAGGGAACGCTTAGGCTTGGGCTTGAAGAAATGCCTTTTTGAAAAGTACCGTAATTCTGTGGTAAACATAGCCTCCCCGCAGACGTCCTTTGGGGTTCGTTCGTCACGTGACGAACGAACCCCAAAGGACGTCTGCGGGGAGGCTATGGTAAACATTGTGAACTTGGAGTTTCGTTGTCAACGTACATTTTCAAAAGTGACTGTCCCAGATTATGACAAAAACATTAAAAAAGTGATAAGGGCTCTGGAACTGAGATTAAGAAAAATCATAACATCTTGATCTTTCATTTTACAGTCAGTGACAATCCAGTTAATCTGATTTACTCGACCCTTAATTTCAAAATGATCCCACTTGATATTATGTCCGGTGGTTTTGACATTGTCAGCAGTCTGACATGGGGTTATTTTTAGCGAGGGCTTTGAAGTCGACTTTCAAAGAAGTCCTTCGTTGCTTGCTTGTCAAGTGTATATAAAAATGCGCAAGTTCACAATTTTTGCCAATGACAGTGAGTACTGGGACGCTCAACGAAAAGTCTCCCCACGTGGCATTGGTGCAGATAGTCAAGAGCGCGAAATTAAGGTGATTCAAAGTGCAAAAATTTCGCAAAAACCAAATTTGTGCAACGAGAATAAAATAACCGTGTGAAAACGTCATGTACTGAAGGTAAACAAAATAAATCGAACGCAGACCTTATTATCACGTTTAGCGTTGTTATGCTAAAACACTGAAAAAAGAAGAATATTAGGGAAAATAATAGAAAGTCAATAACTATTCTAAAACAAGACAAACAAATTGGTTCAAATTGACACAATAGAATAAGACTTTCTGAGCCCATAAATCTGAATAATTTTCTGGGGAAGCATGCCCTCAGCTCCACCTAGTTTGCAGTACCTTCGGAGGTCCAACCTTTTTTTCCGTACTCACGCTACGCACTCGAACGCGCGTAGATCATTTTCCTCAGTTTAGCTGTCCAGTCCACTTCATTCCGGGCATATTTTCTGCTGTCCAGTTACGGTGAACAAGCAAACGCGGCGGTGAACTTTGGCGGCGCTAGCAAGCAGCCGAATCTGATCTGCTGCCGGAACAATCGATGTTGTCACCTCACAGACAATGGCGCCGGGGTCCATTTTTCTTTGTCTTGGACTTCAAAGGAAGCTCGGGATCTTCACTCAATGTATTAAGTAGTCTGGTCCCAAAGTCTGTAAAACCGTGCTCTGAAACACCCATGTACCCAACCGGAAAAGTTGGAGATGGTTAAAACTGATTCCAGCATTATAGAAGCCGCCTTTTTCAATTAATATTGTCAATCAGCTGTGTCAATATAAACTCAGAACAATAGTTTTTCAATCGATGAATATAGTTCTTTGCATGGTCGAGTATCTGTTTAAATGATTCAAGTTCAGGTGATTGCTTTCTTTTTGTCGGTTTTGTTTCTCTTTTTTCTATTTGGACGCCGGTACTTTCTAATCACATACAGCATGCTTTTGTAACCTTCGTGACAAGTAAGAGAAGGAACATTAGAAAACTTATGGGGGGTCGAAGTACAAAAAAAATTCGCGCAAGCGAAAATTAGATGAAAAAATTCTTGCACGCCAGTTAACCCTAAAAAATATTCATGCTATGGCCTAAAAAAAATCATTCAAGGAATTTGATAACGAAAAAAAATTCCCGCGGCTCGAAAATTCCCCTCCCCCCCCATAACTTTTCTAATGGTCGGTCCCTTTAGATAAATGGGATCAAAAAGTATACAGGAAAAAGTTTTCCAGCAAGGGTTTGGCTGGGCTGTACTAAAATAAGAAAATGTATTTGGTCATGATCAAGAGATCAATAAAAGAGCTCCAAAACAGTCGTAAAAACCAAGGATCCGTGTTTGCAAGATTTAAAAAAAGAAATACCCTTGTCTTACATTTTGTAAGATTCTTCACACGTACTTACGCCGAAATCACCAATATACTACTAGTAGTAATCATAGATCAATAAGTGCGTTCGAGTTTTCTTAGCTCCAGATTAGCTTTTGTGTCGTCAAGCATGATTTAGAAATCATGGAAGAGATCATGAATTAAAAGGTAGACATTCTTTTCGTAAAAAATGTTCTTCGCGTATACGGCTTCAAAATATCTCACTCATTAACTCTCTACTCTTAAAATGTCTTACTCTCCCTCAAGCATGGTCGATAAAAATGTAAAGTAGATCGTAAAAAGTTCTTTGTTGTTAAAAAGATAAACATGTCACTACAAACTTCGAAAAAATGGTAGCCTTGAAGGTTAAAAGTCTTGGCTTCTTGCGTGACACAACTTGAAGTGAAAACAATGATCATAGGAGCGACGGAAACATATTAGGTTTCTGCTAGATTACTGATGTCAGAGAACCGGACAGAATCTTTTGCCATTGTGCAAACTTTTCATCTCATGATTATTTTAAGTTCATGTAGGTCAGTTCAACATGTTTTAAACTTAGCTTGCTTCAGCGAGCGAGATACTTATCATGCAAAATTATCCGCGTAGAGATATCAGACGTGAATAAAGCATTACAGTTGTAACAACCTGCACTGATACGCTCAAGCTTACTTTTTCGTGCATGAAAGAGGTTAAGTAATGGTCCTTGTAAGAACTAGGCAAAAGAACAATAGGCCAGTGCAATAGCGGCAGTTATTTTTTAGGTGCTAATTTCTCTAATCAAATTAAATTTGAATGCTCTGATTGGTCAATAGAGCGAAAAGCGCGAAATTTGAATTTTAGAAATGAATTAAGATAGCAAAAGAGTCATTCAAACAAGTTTTTATTTTGTCTACTGCTCTGATATGTTGAAAACTATAACATATCTAAAATTTAGAGGATTTCTATGCGCCAAACCCGAGCAAAGTTAAACTGATATAAAATTACATGAAAATGGCACAGGAATACATCAATCGGCGACCTCCTGAAAGACAGCTCCTTCGGTTCTCACAAAGGAAATGTCAAAATCGTGATCGGAAACAGGAGTAATTCAAGCTCACATGGCAAACGCGCCAAAGCTGCGTGTTTTTATTTTGCCAGCATAAAGGACAACAATTTCATAAAACCATGTCGGAGGATTATCCTAATGGCCCGCATTTGAATAAAAAGACGATTGTCCATACAGAAAAAAATTCATGGATGTTCGGAGAATTCGGTTTCAGAAGAAGCTCTCTTCACAGTCTTACATGGTAAATATATTTTTAGTCTAAATATCTCCGCAAAACCTACTTTCATTCTTAGAAAAAGTAAAGGCAACAGTTACAGTCAAACTTGCATTATCTTTCCTTCCGGGTAACACTCAAAACAACTAAGCGGCTGCCGTCTTACAACTGTTGCGAAATTACAATCACAAATTTCAATTCGTTTGTCTTAAGTTGCACTTAGCTAGACGAAACAGCCTAGAATGAAAACAAATCGAATCATAGAAGAGTAAAGATACACAGAATTCTGATGTTTCGAAAAGGACAAAATAACTACACAGTCACATCATGCGGTGATGCGAAAATTTATTGGGTACAGCTTACCTCAAGCTCAAATCAGGCGGCTTCACATCGCTTTAAGAAATTTAATTTATTTCTGTATAAAGAACAAATCTATCGCTTCCACTCTTTGTGCCCAGCTATTCTCCACAATTACTCTGAATCATCACTGAATCAAAGCGATCTCCTCCTGACAACACTAATAAACAACTGCTTCGGTCCTACTTGTCCACATGGCCACTCGACGACATGTTGAGGACAGCTGCAAACGCTGCTGCAGTAGGAATTTCACGATCACTCCGATGATAAAATACATTGAATAAAAGCAATAAACAATCGATAAAGGGAAATATGTATATTTCAGCCATGAAATTGACGACATTCTTCGGGTAAAAGACAAATTTCCTCACATCTCGAATATCGCATCCGAGATGGTTCACAACAAGGTCACGCGCGTGTTGCACGTTTTCCGCTCTAACTTTTGATTGGCGCACAGAACAATGCTTAAACTTGGCCGTGAGGTAAAAGACAGGAGAGTGGGGAAAATAAAGCTAAAAAAAGTTGTTTTTGTCACGTTTTTCTTTGTTTTTTCGTCGATTTTTGGATTTCAGCCAATCAGAACGCACCATTTAATTGAAATTAAAAATTAAAAGTTAACACCTTTTAATCGATTTTGCGTTCTGCCTGCCTAGGTCTTACGCGGACCATTACTTAAACTACAAATAAGTAAATAGACTCAAACGCACGGGTAAACTTCTCACGGCACAAATGTTACCTGGTCTTTATTTGTGTGTTTCTACGAAGTTCCAGCTCGATTTGAACGGCATTGACCGAAAAGTTTAGCAGAATCATCAGCTCAGTGATAAAACCCGCTTAGAAAACAACTCCAACGTTCATTCTTTTGCCGAACTCAAATATTCCCGTGTAATGTAGTTGACCTTGATGGAACCAGTGATGCACGTGATTGCCATATGACAATTGCTTATGACGTAAATAAAGCTTGAACCACGAGGCAGAATGCTTTGCGCAACGAAATTGTGACGTCATTCAAAATGGCGCCGAAAGGGTGAACCATGGAACGAAAAAACACGGGTCAGCTTTCGCTTGCGTGCACAGGGAACCTACGCGATAACAGGCAACCCAGGAGATTAGGAAGCGTTCTTCCTTCGTCGAACGCAATAAATTATTGTGACCCGCCCGATGTGACGCCCCCTAAAAAGCCTTCGTTGAAGGCAACGTTCGTTCTAATTTGTTATTACTGAATCCGTGTAAATCTTCAGGGGCACCCAACGGGAAATTTTGAGAAAAAGACCTAAAGACAACAACAAAGCGTGACTAAAGTTTTTTGAGACTATTTTAAGCATTTTGGGAGATTGCTGGAAAAAAATTATCTGTTCCTCACTCCCAGCAAGACTGAAGGAAGAGTTCCCAGCCAGCAATCTTACAACCTGCAACCTGACTTACTGGGAAGTTTCATAGGGCACAATTCAGATCTTTAGTGGTAAGTAACCCATACAAGTAACCCGTAGCAGCTATTCTAGACTTCAAATCCCCTCTGACACCCTGAACTATCTTTTTCCCAGCAACACTTTCTTTCCAAGGACTATTATTTCTTCCACATCTCCCAGCCAGCAAAAATGTGCCTGAAGAACAGATATTTTGAGGAACAGATCCATTGGGTGCTCCTGAATCTTCTTGAAAATTCCTTTCTTGAAATTACCATGGAAAACAAACTTGACTACCGGATACAAGAGAGGTAGCAGCTCGGAGACCCTAACCTCCAAATTATTCCGTTTCAGGCCAGGCGACTTTCGCTTGCATGGCCTGACTGGCTTTTCGTGATCCAGCAGTAATCGGAGCTACTCACGTCAACCGGAAGTAAAACCTTTTTAATTTTTAAAGGCCTTGACGCTACCATGCAGGTTTGTATTTCCAAGAGTCTTCATTCTTGAAGAGACAATTTGCGTGAAATTTTAGCAAAACTACTGCACAAGATTGAAAAAAGTCCATTTGCGATTGACGTGTCTTTCAAAAACGTCTTTTCTTGCTTCGGAATATAATATCACGAATTTGTTTCATATGATCCTAGTCTAATCTCCTTTTGCTCTGTCATATTCAACCTACCTCACATGCGGTTTGTGGTTTTCATGCAATCTCGGGAGACACAAATAACAATGGTGAAATGAACAAATGCTGGTGGACAAACAAAACGAGCTAATGACCGATCTTTTGTTTACCGTCCACCAGCATGGCGGCGATGACGTAACGTGAAAACCACCTAAAAAACAAGAAGCCGAACAGGATTGTCGGATATCATGGTTATATTGTGAGTCAGAAATCCAATTTTTTCGAGAGCACTCGAAGCCGTTAACGAGAGGTCGCTGCCTTCCCCATAAGAAGAGTTTGTCACGTAATTTTTGCTTGACGCTCCGGTGTGCAAACGTTGACAAACTGCCCATGTCCTAAATACATAAGCAAATTACTTTTACCTCTGGCATAACGGTGTGAAGTTTGATATTTATTTTGGGCTGAAGTCTTACATTTCCGTTTCACCAAAAACAGTTCATGAAGACCTGATTTTTGGCATGGTGGTACATTTGATCGAGCAGATATTTTTCAGCATTCGGTCGGAGCCTACAGTCTACAGTGAAAATTAAAAATTGAAAAGACCAGACGACTTTTATTCTATCACATCACCGATGAAAAGGCTCATACTTGGTGTAAAAACCTGTGAGGTTACCAGTGACTGATCTGAAGCTACTCCTTCGAAGTCAACACAATAACTTTCGGATCACTAGACTTTTAGCTAGGAAATCTGAACAGATGAAATATTTTTAGGGGATAAAAATATGCCAGTATCTACCGTTTAAATACTAAAATAGTTTAACAATGCAATGTTTAAGGGGTTTTGAACTACATTCTCGTTGGGTGCCCCTGTCTAGAGGCTTACTCAAAGCGCCATTGAGCACGTGGAAAATATTCGCGCGGGTCGCGTCCCGGAAAAATGGCGGGAAATCTGTCACACCCTGGAATGAAATTTGAAACCCAAAGCTCAAGAAAAGAAGGCGCCTCAGACGAGATGTTATTCATTATCCTTTTTCTTTTCGCTTTCTCTTTGAACGATTTCAAAACACACTTTAAAATTTTCGTTTTACTAGAAGTGACTTTATGTATGGTTGCGCATTTGCGTGCATTTTGGGAGACAAGGAGCTTTTGTCTAATTGAAATAACAAATGATGAACACCGCTTCAGTGAATATCTCTTCAATCAAACTGACGTAAACAACATACCATAACACGTTAGCTTTCAAATGCTCAGAACGTAGCTGTACCGTAAGAATGAAAAATATCGGTTAATAAAAGAAAAGATTGAAATATCTCGTCGGAAAAAACGTGTGAAGCTTGTGAGATGATAATTTCAAAGCGAATCGTTGTCACCTCTCAGAACCAATCAGGATCAAGAATAAATGACACGTGACCATCACAACTGCGTCTTGTCTTTCGCAGTCCACGCTTTCAATGGGGAGCAAGCGACGGAGAGGATAGGTAAGTTTGTGCGTTTGTCATCCACGAATTAAAGCAATTCTTGGCCATATTTACATCGTAACTGTTTGAGAGGCGAAAGGTGAGCAATTGAAAAAGATATTCCCTCAGAAGTCTTCATGAGAACGCCTGAATTTCATGATAATCCAGAGTGTCAACTCAGATAAGAGACCACGAGGCGAGTGTACGTTCGCTCTGTCATGAAGCACGTTAGTTTTCATACCTAACCCCGAATTTTCGACGGCCCTAGCCTCTTTTTTCTACTCTCCATGTACTCAGTTCGGCTTAAGATCCTTTGGTTTTTGTTTTTGACCCTAAGTGACGCCGTTTGTCGTTTGCATAATTCGTCGACGAGCTGGCTTTCAATAAACAAGAATGGCCCAGAAGTTCAAATTATGCAGGCTACGGTGATTGTCGCCTTTATTCCACTGTGAAGTTTGAGGTTATATTTTGAAAACCGCGAAAGCAGTGTAATAGTATGCTTTCATTTTTTAACAATTCTCAGCTGTTGATCATATGTATGATATTCCACAAGCACGTGAAGCTGGTTGCCATTGAAGCGTGAATCATTTGTCGTTTGTTAAGTCCTGGGTTTGCTTTCTGCAGTATGTCAAATGCTTTGAGTTAGGCTTGATTGGTGCTTGTTTTTCTTTGCAGGGTTTGTTCTTTTTGCGGGTAGTTAGCAGCAAAGGAAAATGACGGGTCGAGCAAGGGGAAGAAGCCGTGGCCGCGGTCGCGGCGGAGATCAGGCCCGAAGACCCGGAGATGTGTCACAGCAGGAGCAGGCTCCCCCAGGAGGAAGAGGAAGATCGCGAGGTCCTCCGCCAGCGCAAGCAGCTCAAGCTCCGGCTCCTGTTCCACAGAGACCACCTGTAACACAAGAGCAAAAACCAGCTCCCGCACCACCAACTCAGGCCATGGCTGGGATGAGCGTCAGTGAACAAAGGCCATCGCGCGATCGGCGTCGATTGAGGGAGGACCCAGACTGTGATGTAGCCACAAAGCCAGCCCATATTTCAGATAAGAAGGGTGGGTCTGGTGGACCGATAACCTTGCTGACAAATCACTTTAAGCTCAAGACTAAAACAAACTTTGGTGTATACCAGTACAATGTCAGCTACCAGCCTGTACAAGATTCTAAGAGAGTGCGTGTAGGCCTTTTGAAAAGCCAGAAAGATTTGATTGGTTCAGTCCACGCCTTTGATGGAATGATGCTGTTTCTCCCTATCCGCCTTCCAGAGGTTGAGACTGTACTGAATCTAACCAAACTGAATGGTGATCCTGTGCAGATGACAATCACGTACACAAATGAGGTTCCTGTGGGATCCCCAAACATGATGCAGCTGTTCAACATCATTTTTCGCAGGTCAGTTTTTGTTAGTGAAAATGTTCAAGTTTTGCTGCTAAAACTAGCAGGGATTCAAAATTAGGGGAGCGTGCAGGAAGCAGGGGAGGGGTGGGTAATAAGAGGTATTGGTAAGGGGATGTGAAGCTTTATGTACTTGTAAGATTGATAAATGAAAATCAATTATTTGTTTTCACTGTAACACAATCAAAATGATAAAATGCAAAACATTCAGTACAGAAAGTCCAGAATCTGGGAAATGAAAAAATATGAATGCACGAAAAGTCTTGCCAGGAAACAGGACTGTTCAATAATTCATATACAAGATATTTGGAAAAGAGGTTTACGCAACAAGGCTGCTGCCTAATGGGTGCCCATTCACCAGAGGTGCCCACAATTTTCCTGCAGGCGGTTAAAATTTTAGACAAGTAGCCCTCATGGGTGTCTAAAAACCAAAACTTAATGTGTCTTGTCGACCGTGGGTAGAAAATTGCTTTGGATAAAAAGTAAACAAACAACAGGAATGGCACTAGGATTTTTCAATCTGGGTCCTCAGACCAACATGTCCGGTCTAATTGGGGTCCCACGCATTTTGGGTAGGTCCCAAAATCTTGGTGACCCTCCCCTAAGAAATTCTTTCTGTTGTTGTTATGAGAAAGAGTGACTGCCAAATTACTGTTACCTAAGCTTTATCGTCTTTTTTTTTTGTTTGAAAACATAAGCTAGCATTGTCACTTGTGGCTTTGAGATGTTGCTGAAGCAACACTTTTGCCAAACTTTTGTGATCCACCTGACTCATGTGATGAACAAGCACCTATTGTTGGAAATTTATGCATCCGGTCATGAACACCTTCTTCTTTCCAGCTTTTGTGCAATCCTTACAAATCATCAATAAGTCATCGCCTAAGCTTCTTGTTTGCGGCCATCCAAACTATTTCAGCTATTTGTCCAAAAACTGATTGTCTTCCTCCCTTTTCACGTTTCATTGCCATGTTACAGGCACATTTAAGTGGGTACTCAACCAGCACAATCAATCAAACAATGAACAAACATGGCAGGAGCTCATTAAAGTTTCCCAGATGTGTAAATTGTTTCCAGGCCCCTTTGTGTAGTTAAATGCAATATGGCAGCCACAATGTGAATTTTCTTTGTTCGAAATTTTTTTACATGTCACTCAAACAACAAAATCTATTCAAGATTCAAAGTGAGTGGAGTGAGTTCTGCAAGTAAACATCTTGCATCCTGGGATGCATTAAAATTTTGATGATGCATTTTTTGCATTTTGTTTGCGTAAAAATGCACCCATTTCTGCGTTAACGTGATCTCTGCAAGCACCTGTCTTGAAATTCGCTTCAGTGACTTTCACTCCGGCTCTTCAATGAAGTTTCTTGTCTGTAAAGGATATCAAAGTATAATACTCTTAGAATAACTTTTGGTATCCAAATCAGGGCTTTTCCCAGCATTTTGCCTCAAGAAATGTTAGGCCGTTGTTGTATGTTAAGTTGAGATGTGTGTAAAAAGCAAGAGGTTTCAAATTATGTGACATTTTTTACTTGCATCTACAACAACGCAAGTTAAGCATTTTATATCTTGCTACGCATGGTACAGTCGGTGATGTCTGTGTCTGATATTATTCATTCAGTATTATCTATAGAGTAGAAAGCTTTATTAATGTGTCAGAGCCGTATAGCTTGGGAACAATCCCATACTAATTTGGGGACACAATTTATAATTAAATTACTGGAATTACCGATAAAATAAAGAAGTAAAAAATATTTAAACTACGCATAATATGTTATACTATAATGATAATCTAAAATAAGTAAGAGAGAATTGTAAAATTAAATGGTTATGATGTGCAGAGAGAACAGCTCTTACATCCATCATCTATCATTGAGCTTATATTATGTGTTTGTTTTGTGTTGTTGTACATTTTGGGGTAATTTTTGGAGGCTTGCAAAAACATTTTTAAAAGATTCATGGCGGCTATTTCAGCTCATATTTCAATCTCTTTAACCCATTCGCCCCTGAGCCGGCCGTAACCGCCCATGGGGATTCATGTCCCTTCTACTGCATGTCACAATGTCACTTTATTAACATGTCAAAATCTTTGCAGCTGGCCACAAGTTACGGACACACAAGGTTAAATCAAGCCAAACAGAAAGATATCGGAATCCTCGTGAAGTCTTATGAATGAACACATGTTCCACCAAAAAGCCGCCATGTTTGTTTTTAGCCATTCACAGCAATCAAACGCAGTGTACATGCACAAGTCCAGCAAACTGCCAACCATCTTAAATTTCTGACACCCTTTATAATTGTTATCTATCCAGTTTCCGGGCTCGCAATTTTGTTGCACAGTACTATTGTTACAATGTTTTCATAAAAAAAGTCTAAACATTTTTACGTCAAAAAATGATGTTCAGTTTTTGTGTTGTAGAAATCAGTCCTCATACATGAAGTACCTACCTGTTTATAACAGAACCGTGTTTTCGAGCTAATCATGTAACATTGTGTAGTTTGGAACTTAAGCAGGATTTTGCCTTTCCATTTTCAAATCTGCACAACAAGTAGGACACAAGATTGTCAAATTTTTTATTTCTTTATTAATTTAGGCGAAAACTGGTCGCAAAGTTGCAACTGCTGAAGGAGTTTTAGTCGTAAAGGGAGAAAACTTAGTCTCAAATGTGACCGATACAGTCGCAATGTCGAGCCCTGGTAGTAGTAATCAGGGGTTTTGATAAGCACCGACAGCCGGCCAAACACATAGGCTACTTTGCTCATAGAGGTTGTTTACTTTTTCTGGAAAGAAGAAGCAACTAGTTTGAATAACGTCGTAAACAAAAAATATATCATAAAATCTGAATGAAAACCTAAGTATGTGTTTTCATAAAGGCCCACTGGTTTTATGTTATGCTTTTGTCATGTGATCGCTATATTTCAGTCATCAGGGCTGAAAATAACGGACAGCAGGCCACTGGTCATGATGACCATCCAAATATTTTTCAGCCCGGACAAACCCTGATTATGGCTGGTCAAATAATGAATACTATATTTTTTTTTGGCCTAAGGAATATTGAATTACGCTGGCAATAGATCGTTTTTACTACATTGATGTTCACATTTTTGACAGCAAGTTGGTGAAAAATGCATTCACACCTTGTAGAGTTCCTTTCCGCGGTTTTCGCGTGTTTTAATGTCTGTTCTACCTTGAGTATCATCGTACGGCGGTGTCTGAAGTCTCTAAAGGTATAAAGTGAAGCTTAAATCCTTTTCACACTCCCAAGGTTCAGGAAATGGAATACACGTACGGTTCAACAAACTTAAGGAATTACGAAAAAAAATAATTTGGGTTATTAAAGACAAAATCTGCACAAATTTGTTTTATGTTGATGTTCTGAAATGAACATTGGTGAAACTTGATCTTTTTCCTCGCCCGGTACGTGATCGAAAATCTCCTCCACAAAGAAGAATTGTAGCTAATATTTTTGGCAAAGAAGTTGATTTGCGTTCACGAGAAGTCTGTTCCACAAACAGCGTGTTTATTAACTGAAGTCAATAAATATACAGGTGAGCTTTCATTTGGGTCATCGGACAACACTTAATCGTGAAGGGCTCAAATGTCAACAGAAATTTGGATAAAGTTGTTTACAAGAAGGAGAAATAAGTGCGAGATAGACGACGTTCCTTCCTGATTAGGTTAAATTTCTGTCAGACTTTCGATCTACCCGAATTCCATCGAATTCCCAAAGCAGGCCACATTACTAATTACAGCAAAGCAAAAAGTACAGTAAGACCGGCAATGTTGCGTTACTCCACAACTCAGTTTGTTAATGTTTCGCTTTGTTGCGTTTCATTACCACGTGAAGTTAATTTTTTGCAGCGTTCTTTTTCTAAAAGTGTTTAGGGCAAAGCAGCAAAAAAAAATGTTCGTATCCAAAATTGACCGGCAAGAGAAGAGTTTGACTAGTCAAGTCGGCAATCGGGCCAGACGTTGTCCGTTGACCAGCTGTTATTTTCAGCCCTGAGTCATTTTTTCACAAGTTTCTTTATATGTTTATGCAGAATTTGTTTACATGCAAAAGTACGTAATTTAGTTTTCATCAATTGTTCATTGCTTGTAGGAATTGATTGTGTGACTGATAAATTGAAAGCTACATTTTCTTGAATAGAAAACATGCTCTTTTGTCCTCAGATTTATTCCCCAGAACGCTGAAAATCGCATTTTAGGGCTTGGAAATTGCAAAATTTTCTAGGTTAGAACATGCCTCAGTTGCTCTATTAAAACCTGCTGGCTACTTCAATTTTCATTGAAACCCCTGAGTAACAAAGGTGCCCCAGACTCTTGAATTACAGCCTGGCATAAAACTGACCCGAATTTATGCTGCTAGCTAGTAATATGGCTTGAAAACAGCACTGTAATTCTCTCTTGGGTAACAAATAAGTTTAAAAGGGTCAACACCTACCCCCCCATAATGGAGAGGTTCAACTGTAACAGGTCAAACAACTGACTATTATCAAAATAAATCATTGTAACACTCTATTTTTCTTGTTTTTAGAATTCAAAACAACATTGGTATGCAGCTGGTGGGCAGGAACTTTTATCACGTTTCAAGACCTATCATGCTTGACAAATTCAAGTAAGTGATAGTACATTCAAATCTTCATGTTTGACCACTTTTTGTTAGTGACCACATATCTAAAACACCAAAATTTTAGTGAAATCACTAGTTTGACCCTCTTATAAATGACTGCACCTGTCATCAGGGAAAAAAACACATTTCTGGGAAAGCTTAACTTGAGCCTCGCCCAGGCCCATTCTCGTGTCTTTTGAGGCTGTTGGTTGGGAACAATCTTCAAGCTATATCTTGACGTAGCAATATGTATTTGCAGTGATTTTGTTACAAATAGTAACTGAGACTCTTGTGAAAAATCATGAGTCCCAGTTCAAAAAACAAGGAGCAAGGCTGCAAGCAACAGTCGGTCATCGGACAATTGTCCAGTAAATTTGACGTTTTGACCGGTGAAATATTAGTCTGGTCTGTCACTCTGACTGGGCACTTTTGATCCAAATTAAACTTTTAACTAGGTATACCTATCGATAGAGTGCCAACGAGCAAATCATGCATATTTTGGATGGGAATGGATTCCTTTTTTCCCAACATTTGACAGTTTCTTGGTCCTTCCTGTCGAAAGGATTATTTCCTTGAAACTGAGGTGCTATGCAAGTATAAACTAGGTTCGGAGAAGAGTCAGTCCTCAGACTGCTGTGGCTTTACGAACCTGCTATACAAAAGTTTGAAGTGTCATGAGGCATTCTTTTTTGAAAGAATAAACCAGCTTGCAGAGGAAGCGATCGGTAATATTTAGGGGTTAATATAAAAAATGACCGTTTCTCTTACCACTACAAAATTAGTGTCGGTTCGGTTTCACTTTGTAGATAAATATTTGTGCAGTTTAATCATTTAAACCTCCTCTGAAATTTCCCGAGGCTTTTTGACGAGTTCCTGATTGAATTTTAGAATGATTCGCTGCGCTGCTTGAAATGTTTTCAAGGACATGCGATGTACGGCACGTCGGTATTTTGTTTTCACTTTATTATAAACTCGGCCAGGTTTCGAAAAAAAATAGCGTTGTTTTCTTTTCCTTTGTCGTTCGCTTTAGGCTTGTAATTCTTTTTTATTCTTATTTTCCCATTTGCTGGTTAGATTTTTCCCCCAACATCAGATTTTCCAACAGAAGCCACTATATATTCTTTGTATCAAGCTTTCCTTATCTCCTCGTGTAATCTGATCCTTTTGCTTGTTTCACATGAAAACATTTTCTTTGCTTAAACTGTTGTTTTACAAGCTTTTCTTCGTTAAAACCTTACATTAATGGCCCCACAAATTAATACAATGCATCAAGTTTTCATTTTCCTTGACTGCCGGGGCCAAATTTTGGTGAATAAACAATAAAAGCGTACCACAGTCAAGTTCAGTCTTCGCGTGCCGCTGAGAAAAGAACACATGTGCGCCAAGTATAGTTTACTGCCTTTTGATTGGCTGAAACTGTCATACCACTTGGTCTCAGGGGAATCTACATTACATTAGGTTACACTTTTTGAAGCTCGATTGAGAATTTTTTTGCCTACAGCCCAGTCTTGCGCAGCTCTATTCTGCTGCCGCATCGCCATCCGTGCGTCTTCGCTCGGATGGCTCGTTGGCAATTATCATACTTTAATGACGCTTGTGGCAAAACATTGTTCCGTTATTTGGCTAAACACACACATTGACAATCAAAAAATAATAATCTGCTATCAAAAAGTAAATCAGAATTAAATTTTTGTTTAATTTTTGTTTTCAGACTGATCAGTGAACTGATACAACTGTTACAGCTACTGTCTGTGATAAATATTGTGCAATTAAAGCAGTGAAATAGGTTGTTTTGTTGAATTCTTAATTTTGCTCTTTCAATTGGAATTTTTTTTGTCCGACCAGACTGTTTCCTTGTCAGGTCAGGTCTGGTCTCTGACCTGACAAATGACCTGCTTATGACAAATAATATTATTTGCAGCCTTGAGGAGTCCTAAATTGCATATGCTTGTGCCTTTATGTAACAGTTAATCTGGACACAGACACCAAAGCTCTTATTACAGTTTACTAAAATAAAATAATAGTCCTAAAATAAACATGCATGTTTAAACAACAGCCACAGAACTCACACAAACAGGGAATTGTACTAAAAATGTTCAAATTGATCGATTGTTCTTTGCATCCTACGGGATGCATGCCATGAATATGTTGCATCTTTGGGTATTTTAATGTGTCAGGGATGCAGGATGCGGAGGTAACAAAGTCACTGTATATGTGATAAAATTTGTCATCAGGGGTCAATCTAATAAAACGTTTACAAGTGTAATTCACAAGTGTAGCCATTATTTTAGAGTCTGAAAACAATAGCTATGCTTATAAATTACACTTGTAAAGGTTTTATTAAAGTGACCCTAGGACACTTCTATTGCAACTCAGATTACTGATTGATAACAATTTTCATTCAAAGACTCATACCTTTGCAAATTTCTTTCAGGAGAGCCAATTTCAGCTAGTGCAAAACCCTGAAATCCATTTTGCTCTCAGGGTGCTACCCCTGTTCCCCTGTGAGGCCTGGCTGGCTCCAGACCCCTTACCTGTTGGGAAGCCTCTGGACCTCAGTGCTGTCTACTTTCGCTTATTTTCCTGCCACTTGAAATTAATTGTGACAATGTTTTCCATATGTAAATTAGAGCCCAATAATATTATTCCCAGTGAAAAAAAAGCCTCTTCCAAGGTTCTGCTCTGGCAGTGCCCAGCGGCCCATTATGCCTTGCTTTTGGTCCTGGGTGATGAAAAAATCTAATTTTTTTGAAGAAATCATATGCTGGGTGCCCTTCAGTTTTTCTTAATAAACCTCATTCTTGGCTTCTTCATTTGGCATGTTTCTGTCCACTGGTGTGACAGAACAATGTCTGCTTGGCTGTAAAACCAACCACTGGTGGTTAAAGGGTCTCAGGGGGCAGTTTCAAATGCTGCCGTAATTTCCCCATTGCTAAACCAAGGAAGCTGTTATTTGGTATTGGAAACAAACTGTGTAGTGCCTACCTGTAAACAACCTTTTGGATAGTTCTCCTCCTAACATGACAGATCACCGGCAAAGTACTGTTTTATCTTTAAATAATTTTTTTCAGCAGATTTCCAGGGACAATGGTTTAAATTAAACCACGTGTTTGCTATTAATGCAGCATGAATCTGAAGATGTCTACTGATGAAATGATTTTTGACACTTACTTTAGGTTGGAGTTGTGGCCAGGTTATACTACCTCAATCTTGCAGTATGAAACAGATATTCTTCTGTCTGCTGATGTTTCACACAAAGTACTGAGACAGAGCACGGTCTTAGATTACCTCTACGAACTGTTCCACACCAAAAAAGATTTCCACAATGAAGCCACCAAGAAAGTTGTTGGCCAAATCGTCTTGACACGGTATTGATCATGAGTTCTTTTATAAAGACCCTTTGTCACTTTCCATGATGCAGCAACTAGCCTTAGAAGTAGCTTGCTCGCAGGCTACATTGTGACATCTGTATCGCCTTTTTCTTGCAGAATCATTTCTTTCAAATCTTCAGTTCATATTCAAGCAATTGTATCTGGTTGTCTTTTGTTTGTTTTAATTTTCTGTCATTGTGAGTACATGTGCAAGTTTTCCAAAGGACTGCCAGAAGGCTATTGTTGTTAACATAAAAGAACAAAGTTTCAGTAGTTGCTAAGGCAAACATTATGACAAAACTGCCAGTTAGTGAAACAGAATGGACTGGTTTATTAACTGCGTTCTGCAGTTATATTCTTTAAATAGAAGAATCTTTTTTTATTATTTGATTTTGAGCCCAAAAAGTTGCCTGAACTTTCGAGAAACATGAGAATGATGTACAGGACGGTGAAGCAGATACAACTTCGGTTTTGGATGATAACTTCGGTCTTTTGTAAAATGAAATATGTTCATTAAGATGGCTGAACACAGTTTCTCTGCCATGAAGTTGTGCGCATGCTGAGAAATTTCACAGACGTAATTCAGGGTGTGCATTAGGCGTGAGAGATCAAGAATTCTCCGTCTAAAGTTCGGTAGCCTATGACTTTATTATTCAGACATGGAGCCTCTTTCAAAATATTCCCCTTTAACATTACACCTTTCTCCTGCTACTAGGATTCTTAATAAAAACCGTGGCAATTGCTTCTGCTTGTGCAAAACTGATGTGATCTAAAGAAAAATTAAAAACTCGAGAGTTTTTGCCCCTTGAAATGCTTTATCCCTCTACTGTTAACATCTTTTTCATGAGTAGATAAGCATGCAATGGGACTTTTGTAGACATTGTAAAGAAACGACGATATCTAGAAATCTACTCCTTAGAATTTGATGAAATGTGGCAAAATTTTTGTCAATATCATTCAAAACCTGAAAATTAAAGTTGAACAGAGGATTTTTTGACACGATCAAATTTCAAGAGCTGTTTGTTACTATTCAGTTAAGTTATTTTTATAAAATGAGCATTACATACTCATTGTAACCTATGAGCAAATTCATAAGAAAATTTAGTGACTGGATTTTCCATAAACCTACTGAATTCACAAGTTTAGGCTTGTGTTGCCATGGCAATGATCGAAATCTTGCATTCAACCTAATAAACACAATGTCATTATTATATTGTCTGTGCCAAACTTGAGCTTTATACCATCATGGAACACATTCTTTCAATGCAGAGTGACGATTCACAATCTAATGAACTGTGTTCAGCCACCTTAACCGGCCTCAAAGTTGTCCTGTGTTTAACATGTTACTTATGAATCATTTCACTGTTGCTTGTTGACTGTGAGTTGAAATTTCTCGTTGATATATACTGGACCAATTGACCAAAACCAGTATTTTCTGTATGCTAGTAGATAGACAGAGTGCAAAGCATAGAAAGTTTCTTTCCTTGCTAAAAGCTTAGTTTTTCATTGCTTAAAAATAAAACTTTTACTGAAGGTTTTCCAAGTCTCTATGTTTTGAATCTTTTTGGTGATCGCTTAGAAATTGACAGCAAGTAGTGTTTAGGCCCAATTTAAATTACCTTCAACACTGTTACTGGATTTTAAAATTTTAGAATCCTATGTAGAAATGATCTGAAGGGAAATTACTTCGAGTTAGCGACAGGTTCAAGTTATTGAGGGTTCGAGTCGCAGAAAAAGAAATTACAGCAAATGTATTAAAGAAAATCCAGGGAAAATCAACTTTGGTTCGAGTAAGCACAAGCTTCAAGTTAGCAAGGGTTCAAGTTATTGGGAGTCAACTGTAAATTGCAACTGTTTCCAAAGTAGGGGAGGAAAAGGTTTGGCAGGGATTCATATTTACTATTTATTTAAGTTGTTATATTTTTTTCATACTTACTGTATGTTTAAGTGTAGAATTATAAAACAGTGATGAAAAGTATGTGCAACATTATACACTTAATGTCAGATCCTGAGGGAACAGTTAGTTTTTTCCTCCGAGAGTGCTGATGTTTCCTGAGACGAAGTTCCAAAGCTGCCTTACTATTCAGTATCAGCCTGCTACTAAAAGCTTTTTGACAGCCCTGAACAATGTGTTTTGATTCCATCATGGAACACATTCTTCACCTTTATTTAATTGATGGCTAGAAGGTGTGCTTATGTTTTCCTCTTAGGCAGGAGTTTCTGCCTCAAGGTTTTTTTATTAGAGGTAGTGAAACTCCTCTTGATTTATGATAGTTTCTGATGATAATCTCTTTGTCTTAGCACTGTAATTAATTCTGCTGTCTTTATCCTTTTTAGGTACAACAACAAAACATACCGTGTTGATGACATCAAGTGGGATAAAAATCCAACTCACACATTCAAGTGCACAGAAAAAGGCCAAGAGGTTGAAAAGAGCTTTACAGAGTACTATCAAAAGGTATGTAGTCATTTGTTAGTCTGGTTGCTGAATTATGCTACACTATCTAATAGTTTATGTATAAAAATAACCCATGTTTGAGAAAAGCTAAACTACGAGATTTGTAATGTTAGCTATCAAATAAACATAGGCATATGTAACGTGTATGAGCTATTTTGAATGCGTCAGTGTAACCTTACCAAGATTAGTGAATCTACCTTTTTCATCCTAAATGTAGAATGGGTTTTTGTGCGAGATTGGGTATTATGGTACATAAATAAAAATGTGAAACACTCGCCTGAGTCAATCCTCATGCTTTTTTTCACTTTCCCCTGTCTTTCCCTGAAACATCTGCCACGCGTGTTCTTATTCCTCAGCAGCACAGGCTGAGGTTAAAATAATGCGGTACGCTTTTAAAAATACAAAATTTCACACAAGCTTAATATTTAAAGAGGGTAGCACGAAATAGTTACAGAAACTAATAAACTTGTGGCCCTCTATCTAAATTAAAATTACGAAAAGCATAAGATTCAGAATGTACAAAGTCTAAGTACAAAATAAATAAAACATAAAAAGTTCTACATCAATATGAATGAGTATAAGAGCTAATAATATGGCTAGTGAAATACATACAAGAATATGATTAAACTATGAAATGGTGTAATTCCTGCTGCTCTTTAAATAAGATATTTTGATAATTATTCTTAAAGGATTCTAGTGATACTGCATTTCTAAGGTCTAGACTAAAGCTGTTCCAGAGTTGGCAAGTAGAAACTGCGAACGACCTACCGCCTTCAGTGACCCGATTAAATTTTGGGCAAATAAATTTTATATTGCTATATCTAGTTACACGACTATGTTGCTGACTGTTATGTTGCTTACGCGCGTAGTTGTGTAAGTTCCCGCCATCGCGACTTCCTGTGTTTATGCAGCTAAATTTATTTGTCAAACATGGCCCTGGCAGTCAAGAAAAATGAGTACTTGATGCATTGTATTAATTTTGGGCGCCATTAATGTGAAGGTTTAACGAAGGGAAGCTTGCAAAACAATAAATTAAGCAGAGAAAAGTGTTCCATGTGAAACAAGCGATTCTCTCTACTAAAAAGATCAAATTACACGAGGAGATGAGGAAAGCTTGATACGAAGAATGTATTTGCTTCTGTTGGAAAATCTGATGTTAAGGAAAAAATCTAACAAGCCAACAGAAAAATAAGAGTAAACTAGGGTATCTAAAAAATAGTAATGCTGCGGCACACTCTGGTGATACTGGCATTAGTTAGGCTGTGAGAACCGAAAATGACATTGAATGTCCCATTTACATGTTGGAAAGTAATAATTACCATCAGTGTATAGAAAGAACTCGTGGGAATGTTTTTTAGAAAATGATCATCATTATAAGTGGTTATCAACTCTGGTTTTCCCACAGTAAATTGTAAAAAATGATAGAAATTCAGATTTATATTTAATATAATTATATATTTATATTTAATATACGGTGTACTATCTTTTCCCTGGAAAAACAATACTTTTTTTGCTGTTTATTGCACTTTATTAAATAACAGTTATTTAGCTATATATTTATAGAAAATAACAACACAAAAAAACAGGAAAAAAATAGGAAAGGAAAAGACGAACCCGATACCTTCGGTTCGACGTGGCTACATCTAACCACTACACCACAGAGGCTGATTACGTAACCTTCAGGAAAAGTCTTTAATTTAATGCCTTTTACATGAAATTTCCACCGGCAATATGATCAAGCTGCATTAACTGAGGTATTAATAGTAAAAAAACAATGCAAACGTATATTCCATGGCAATGAGTGAATGAATGAAAGTTAAGAATTTGTTCATGCTTAGCATGCGTATATCGAGTTATGGATGCACTTGGTCAGTTTGGAGAGCACAAAAGATGTGTAAGAGTTGCACGAGGCAATAGCCGAGTGCAACTATAGCTTCTTGAGTGCTCTCCAAACTGACCAAGTGCATCCATAACTCGATATACTCACAGCTAAAAGCATGATCAAATTCCTTTATAACATAGCTGACAAAAATGCTTGCTTTTTGATTAACTGCAAAATTCTCGTAACGCGCGACACAATAACAAACGGTTCTATTGGCTGATTACGAACATGCCACAATCGTCTAGTTTGAATGAAATATTGTTTCTGTAACAGTGAGAAAGAAAATTTGCTTCTTTATTCGTTAACGATCAATGGAAACTAAGCAGAAACAAAGGTAAAAGAGTCTTAAAGTTCACGTAAAGTTAAAATCCTTAGCTATCCTCTGTGACATGTTCGTGAGAAGTCGTGGAGTATGGTTTAGATTTGCTAAACAGATGTAGTGGTGGCAAATGGTACCTCGAAAAACGTGGGGTCTCGGAAATTTTTGGCAGGATCTCTAAATCGAGAAGACCTGGCAGCAGTTGTTTTTGTGAGTAATAAATTTATGTCTTCTTGCGTAATTTGAGAAAAATTGAGAGGAAATCGCTAATCGTGTTCCAGCGTCCCGCTGGCAGGGTATTCTATTTCGCATAAATTGTGAAATAATATCCGGTTAGAAATAAGAGTTGACAGGCCAAACAAAACATCATAAGCTCGTGATACGGGCAAAACGTGACCTTGAGAGTCTGCTTGAACAGAGGTTTTTCTTCTTTTCTGTCTCGCGCGAAGATTACTAGCACTACACAGAGCACGTAGCATTCTAACCTTTGACTGAGTAAATCTCATTTTTGCCGCGCTAAGTCTTCCATTTAGAGGTCATGAAGCAGGTTTGTTACATGCATACTGAGTAATCATTTCCTGTGGTTTATGCTTCTGTGGGTGTTCCCGATAGGACTTGATTTCAGATGCAGTTGTAAAGTGTTTAAATTTTCTTGACCTCTGTTTGTTACGGCTAAATAAAGATTTTAGTTTCTTTGGCTGGCTTTCTCCGAAATGCCTGCCTGGTGCGAAGTCCACGCCGCTTTTGTAGTTTTCTCAGACACTGTTTACAAATATGATGTGATGTGTCATGCACAGTAAATTGTAAAGAAATAATTTCCTCGTACACGTTAAATTTTCCGCGTCCCCGCACAAGATTTCGATCGCTCTGCTTTTCGATCGACGAAAAACACAGCACACAATCGCACATGTTTTGATTTGTTTTGGTTAGAAAACCCTGCTTACATAAATCATTTAAATCACCGCATACATTATCAGACCACATTCAATAACAACCAATCAGCGTTAAGTCAAACAATGCGCACTGTGTGTCAGCATATCACAGCATGTTCCCAAGATCTTGGGAACCCAGCAGGACGCTGGAACATGATTAGCGACGGCGTTACGCAGACGTCCCTTTTCCGCATGCAACAAAGGAAATAGGAGACGTCTGCACGCAGGCAAATGGTTTGCGTGATCGCAAAAATGCATTGAATATGTACCTTATGCTGTGAATTTGCTTCAACTCATAGAGATGAGAAATACTCAGCACATCACAGACAACTATTCAAAATTTTTCTTTAGCTGTTCATCCGCTCGACCTCATCTTTAAAAAAAAATTTCTGCGTCCTAATCTGTTGAAAAATTTATATCAGCCATTCATTCATTTGGCTGTTCTGTTTCTCATCCAGGTTGTTACCTTGCAGTCACATGCCATGCATTCATTTTCAAGGAAGGTTTTCACATGAGAGGTCGCATGTTAGTATGTAAAGCAGAGTCTAATAGAAAATCAGCTATGCCTTCTTATAATACACCTTTATGCACCTGATTGGAAAAATGTGGCTTGAAAACTATAAGCCATGAAGTAACATGTACGGTACAGGCCACATTTTCCAGGTAGATTGTGTGTATTTGACAACTTTTCAACTTTGACATCTTTGGCTGAAATCTGTGAAGCAATAAACGATGATCTTGTGCTCTCAAACTGTACTTTAAAGATCCAGCAAATTTTTGGGGAAAATCAGAATTATCTTTCTCTCATCAGGCCATCACGGATGTCAGTGTGAGCTTATTATGTCACTTTTGTAAAAAAAAAATATTTGTGTTCGATATGGAGTAAGAGTGCAAGCAAAGACGTATACTTAACTTTGATTGCCAACTGGAGTAACACCAGCTTCGGTGAAGAGAAATGAAGATGTTTCAGAGGAAAATGTGACCGGTGAAGAACAGCCAAATAGATTCTCAAGGTGATCTCTCAAGTTTGCAATCTGCATCATAATGCTCACTGACATAGCTTCTCATAATGTACCAGACTAAATATTGCTATTGGTAGAGTTTAGATTCTGCAGAGGAGATGAAGTTTACGGCTGAAATTTAGCACCTTAGGTGACACGACAGATTATTCAGTTTGAGTGTATTCCTGTTAAATTTGTTGTCCGATTTATAAGGTATGTCTGAAGAAAGTCCTGCAAAAGTCAGTAATAATAATTATTTTCCCTGATTTTCCTCAACCACTGTTATCTTTTGTACTAGCCTCCAAGCAGAGGTTCTCTCTTGCATGCATAGCTTTTAGCGTTTACAAAGTCGTTCACGTCACTTGTCAGTAGTGTATTTGGTTTGTAAACTACGTGACAGACAGGCAATGCAAACCACTTCATAAACACTTAAGGTTACGCAATAGGGAAACAGCTGCTCACAGGGTATTTCTGCACAGTTGTGGTTTACGCGTTTTTGGAGCCCAAGGCTTAGCTGTACGCAACATGCATTGCACATATCCAATGATTTTGGGGTTTTATCATGCTTTTGGTAGGAGCATGATAAAAGTGCTGTTCCTTTTGAACGTCGATCTATGAGTCAATTGCTTTGTAAATGTAACCATAGTTTATCACAGGAGAGTGTAAGAAAAGCTTGATATTTTGAACGTTTCTTTTTCTTTTTGCAACAGATGATAGGCATATTTTTTGCTCTTCTTGGAGCCAAGAGATAAGCGAAAATTGTCGCAAAGAAATTTGTCTTGCTGGTAATTCTTGTTTTAAAAACTCTTTTCCTTAACCCATTCGCTCCTGGAGATTTTGCCGAAAAACGCGTCTTGAAGCTAGTCGAGTGGTTTTCTGGTCACTGTCGTGCTATAAAGAGCTAAAACTTACCACAAACCGGTTTACAGGTCGTACACTTCGCGGCCTTCTGATCCAGATGCAACATATCAGCTTGCAAAGTTCGGGCATGCGCAGAAAGCAAAATTTCGACATAGTTTTTGGGTTTAAAAGTGACACAACAGTCTTGACTTTCACTTTTCGCTTTCTCTCCTCCCTTCTTTTTTCGCTTTTCTTGCCTCATTTTTTTTTCTCTTGCTGGGCATTTAGTAGGCTTCATTTTGGTGGGAAGAGTTTTTAGGAAAGCTTTCAGGATCTTAGGATTAGGTGAAAGGAAAGGTAGGTGGGTAATGGAACAAGATTTTCATGGAGATTTTCAGGTCATTGTCACGTGGTTTTTTGCTTGTTTCTCGGGTGTCCTTGACTAAATTGTGCTCATTCTGGTATGGTTTGAAAGATCTCTTCACTCTGCACAAGTTAGCGAAGAAAGTTGTCCTTGACCGTTAAAACTGATGATGTCACAATGGGTAGAAAGGACCTGGATCCGCACGGGCGGTTGAGGGGCGAATGGGTTAATAGGAGTGCGATATTGAAAGAGCGCGATACTGTCAACAGCACTGCAAATCTGTCAACATGAAGACATTTGACCAATCAGAGCATGATGCCAGAATCTGGTATCATGGAAAGATGGCATCAAAGGCATGTCTCAAGTCTCTGCCACCCTTTTCCCCTCCACAGGCAACTGCTTGGCTCGTTTTGCTTGCCAATATTTTTCCTATTTTACCCCATTTTTAACTTGTGGGGACACGTGAGTGTACCACGAGTTGTCACAGGGACTAGGATATGCAAATTAGTCACTCACTCACATCATCGTCATCAAGTTGAGGCTAATCCGAATTCGAAAGTGTGATGATGTATCATTTCCGAAGAAGCACGCGCTCGCCCAAGTTCGGTGTGATCAAATTCTTAAGAGAACATGCATCGTTCGCTGCTCAGACTTGGAGTTTTCTTTGTGGCCAATTTTTTACAGCACTGTTAGAGGTCTTACCAAATTTAAGATACACAGGAGTCTTTCAGATGAGTATGATGGTTAACTTCAGGATTGGGTTGACAAGAAGATGAGCATTTTTTCTTCGACTCCGCGAGATCATGGGGGATATACAAATTTCAGTGTGCTGGACAGTGATCTGAAAGTGAGAAAATATCATGTCATGCTAATCTTAATAACCTGTATGAGCCAAAAATGGATGTGATTTTGGCCATTAGCTTCAAAGTAACAGCAGAAATCAAGATAAGAAAACATATGTTTTTCATCATACTTCGCAGACGAGGTTTATCAGCTTTGTAAAGCATACAATGTATGTTCTTTCATTCATTCATTGCCATTAAATGCGTTTACACTGTTTTGTTGGTTTTTTTTTTAACTGTCAATAGCACCGTTTTATGCGGCTCAATCATCATGAATGGTGTTTGCTCGTGGATTTTCCGTGGAAAAGGCATTAAATAAAAAACTTTTCGGCGGGATGACATAATCAGCCTTAGTGGTGTAGTGGTCAGGTAAAATGGCAACAAGCCAAAGGTTACGGGTTCGAGTCCTGCTCATCTCCTTTCTTTCTCTTTTTTTTTTCCCGGTTTTTGTTTGTTTGGTCTTTTTTTGCTTATTTGTTTTGTTGTTTTTCTATAAATATATTCCTAAATGCATAACTGTTATTTAATAAAGTGCAATAAACAGCAAAGAAAGTATTGTGTTTCCAGAGAAAAGATAGTATATTAAATATATGGATAAACGATCTGAATTGCTATCATTTCCTAAAATTTACTGTGGGAAAACCAGAGTTGATAACTATTTGATTATTTTCTAAACAACGTTCCCATGAGTTGATGATAGTCTTTCTTTGATTTGCCTTTTTCCCACACTGTGGAGTGAGTCCCAGACTATTAACAAAGAGATAGCGCAAACAATCTAATGAGTCTTAATGTGCACTGATACAACATTTTTTTCATTCAGGCAGAAAAAAACATAACCAAATATTACAAAGTTATTACAAAATTTTTTTGACTGGTCAACATTCCCGGCAACAGGTCAAAAATGTTGGCAGTAGGACCTTTCCTCATATCTGTTAAAATGTTTTCCTAAATTGTTGGAAGTGTTTGCTTACTTGTTTGTTGTTGTCTTTAAGGCCTATGATAAAACAATCACAGATCCTGATCAGCCTCTTCTAGTCAGTAAGCTGAAGAAGATTGTAAGTGTTTTATGCTGCATTTTTTTAATCAATGGTAATAGTACCGAGTAGATTACAATTGAGGCAGTGTGGGGCGATTACCGTAAAATTCCGAAAATAAGGCACGGGGCTTATATTTTTCAAAGGCCTTTTTTGAGGGACTTATTTTTGGAGGGGCTTTTATTCACAGGGGCTTATCTATGGAGGGAAATTTGCGTTTCAAAATCGATTGGGCTAGCCTTATAGATGGAAGTAAATTGACCGTTTTAGTTGTATTTGAGGGCAATTTCCAAGTACAGGCCCGGGGGGGGCTTATATTCGGAGGGGTTATTTAACAGAGGGTTTTTTGCATTACGAGTTTGGGGGGCTTATACATGGAGGGGCTTATTTTCGGAATTTTACGGTAATTCCAAAATGAATTGGAAGTGTGAAAAAATATGAATACAATGTAACAGCAAAATCTTGGTTAGCAGTATCCACTACAGGAGCTTTTAGACTAAAATCTGGAAAATCTTTGTTAAATCTTTGTTTTTTTTTTTTCAATGTTTCTGTTGGATGTTAGACAACTGACTAGCACTGTTTTGGTTTTTAAATAGCCTGGACAGAAACAGCAAAGAATACCTGATGGGGAGGTATTACTTGTTCCTGAGTTATGCTTTTTAACAGGTATGTTATACAATAAATTTTAGTCCTAAAACAGGAAGGGTATGAAATTCATGATGGTATGTTTTGTCTTTATGCATAAAAAATGGACAGTATTAATGGCTTTGGAAAACAGCACTTTTCTTTTGATGCTTGTTTTTTTTTTCATTAATTTGTTCCTTATGTGACTTTTTCACTTTAGTTGATATGGGTGAATTGACCGTAGTAATTGATGGCACAAGTTATTGTGGCAAAAACAATCTTTGTTGTGATGTATCAGTGGGTGTTTCAGAGTAACTTTTCTGATCATTAATTTACTTGCATCACATTTGTTGGGATGTATCTTATGTATCTTATGATGTAGTGTCTCTTATTGAAAAAATGGCTTTGTAATAATCTTGATTGCATCTGTTACCACTCCAGTGAAAGTAAAACTACTAACCCGCTTCATGTCACACACGCAGGACTTACGGACGAGATGCGCTCTGACTTCAGCTTGATGAAAGATCTGGCAGTGCATACCCGCGTTGATCCCAAGAATCGCAATGATTCGCTCTTGACATTCATGGGTGACATTTGCAGGTAGGTTTTTCAGAAAAATCTGCCATTGCGCATCCAGTGGTATGTGTTTTTAATATTACTTGGGTTCCCAGTGTTGCCCAAGTTATAAATCTGGGGAAGTGTTTGCAGTCTTCAATCTGCAACTGGGCTCTCTAGTGCACCTGTGTTAACCTAATCAGTTAGCTGGGCTGGCCCACTTTACCAGGCAAGTTCAGCTGATGCCTTGCTTCCTTAAAAAAATTTTGTTGTGTTTGTATTAGAAAGTGGGCTGGGCCGGCTTGCCGATATTCTGGTTGCTTGAACCCAAAAAACAAGAGAATAGGCATAAGCTAACTGGACTGGCTCACTTCATATAAACAGGCCCTCACTTACTTAAAGAAAAGCAGAAGTCTTTCAAATTAGAACAGTGCTGTAAACTGAGTCCCCAAGGATTTGAAATGCCAAGGCTAAGTAATCAATTCTCACTAAACTACCCAACAAAGCCAAAATGCCAGGTCCAGGTTGTTCAGACATTGGATAGCACTATCCAATGGATAAAAATCTCTTCATTGGATAACGCAATTGGTTTCCCTAATACTTATCTACTGGATAGTGATTTATCCGGTGGATAGCGCTATCCAACATTTGAACAACCAGGGCCACAATGGTAAACTGCAGTTGATTATGGTGTGATCCTTGTGTGTGTGCATCTGGCAACACTGCAAGATAAGACTAGCACTTGTTGTTAATTCTGTCAAATTAGATTTAACGGCATGATATTCTTCAAATACAGTAGCAGAGATGATCGTCAAGTTGTTTTTTGCTGTTCTTGCCATACGCTCAACATCTTCCTTGCTGTCCCTTTTTCTGGCATTAATCCTGTTAATTGTTTAGTATTATGTTTTCGTAAAATCCACCAGTGGTCTATTATCAATGCTGCATTCTGATTGGTTGAGCTACTACTAGGCTATTTGTTATAGCCCCCTAGCAGCGAAAAGCGTGGGCTTTTGGGGGGCAAAAAAGGATTAAATCTAGCTTTTAACTAGTTAAAAAATTTTTATTCTCGGTATTTTTGACCAACTAGTTGGATTGTACTAAAACAATTATTCCTCACGGCCTCATGGGCTATTGACTCAGAGCACATTCGGGCTCGAGGAATAATTGTTAAATAGATTATCCCATAGGGTCTGCCAGATTTTTCCAATGCTTGCTCATTATAAAGAATTTGCAGGGGGATCAAAAGCAGCAAAATACTTTGAATGAATTGGATTTTACTTGATTTTTTATTATTGTTTTCAAAGTTCTAGTGCAGCATCTCCTTAAAAAAAATTGTTATAGCTTCGTCGCACTGAAAGGAAGCAATTCAAATTAAAAGAAAGGTAACTGTGTGAAGAGTAACATCGGCTACTCACCTATAGTTTAAAGTATCTTTTGGACCACTGACTGCTGCAAGGGCACAGCTTGTAGTACAGGGAATCTCATGAAATACTTAGTCATTCAAATTTGCTATGTCTTTACAGCAATGATCAATCAGCTGCTGAATTGGCGGGATGGAACCTTGAGGTAAAGTATTTTTAATGTAATGTCTTAAGGTTGCTCAACCTAGTATTTTTGTATGCATAACTTCCATCTTTGGAACTCTTGTATGTAAACAGCTTGATCTGGATGAAACATAGCCTGAAGTTAATTATAATGTTAATCATTTGTTGTGATGCAAATCAATATCAAGGGACAACAAAGCTGCTGCTTAATGGGTGCCCAGTCACCAGACACGTCTATGATTTGTTCACAGGCGACTAAAAGTTTAAACAAGGAGTGTGTATGGGCGCCTAAATTCCCTGCTTATTCTGTGCTTTGAAACTGCTCAAACAAACTGAGTTTGGAGACACATGAATCGAGTTGAGGAAAAGAAATTTACACACAGAAAAAAGGAGATATGTCCTTCAATGTTAGCTGAACCTTGACAATGCTATTGTCCAGGTTAATAGGCATGTTCCTCCTGCTTTTTTCACTGGTAACAAACATCTTCCACTTGTGTTGAATGTTGTCACTTGTTATTGTTTGCATCGTGATCAAAGCAAAAAAAATGTTCTTTTCAAAAGAATAGAGTGCTGAAGTGATCTCATAAAAATTAAATTTGTGAAATTATGAGGTTTGTCAGGATTTTCTGAAAGAAAGGAGTCATCAGAGCATAACTGGGCTAATAATTATCTAAGAGACGATTTGCCCCACAAAACTAGTTTTGGCGAGTAGGCCTCTTGGATTTCTTTCTTTCAGAATATCCTGATGAATTCCTATATAAATTTAATTTTTTATGACGTCACACTTAAGTACTCTTTAGTTGTCTAATTTAAAGTTAGTCTTGTTCAGTTTATAGTTCAGTTTCTTTGTTCATTCACCATTTTGTGCTACACTCTTGCTATGCAATCAATTAAAAAAGCAGTTCTCAAAATCTTTATAAATGCATCTCTACCAGCTCTTCCCAGTCATTGGTTATTGCTAGTTAACTTTCTTATTTCTTGTACGTCCTGTATACATCTTTGTTTTGTTTTCTAGTTTGAGAAAGAGACGATGACTTTGAATGGTCGAGTTCTTCCCCCTGAAAAAATTTTCCAGAAGGATAGAAATGTGAGTTTACTTAAACTCCTTTGTTGTGCGTACAATCAAATGTGTTGAAGAAGCAGTCAAAGCACGGGACCTTTCCACATCTGCTATGTCTGTTTTTATTAAATAATAGTGGAGACGAATACAACACATTTGTTGTCGTGCTGAAGTATAGAGAGGTGTGAATGTTGAAGGCCAATCTGAAAACCAATTTTATCAAGTCGCAGTGTTGGCCACATGATAAGTAACTTGGTTCAAGTCCCTTAAAATTTATCCAGATGTTTGTTTTACTGTCCTTTTGCTGATGTTAAGCTTATATCAAAAACAAATATATCACACATAAAAAAAAATTCCTTTTTCCAAATTGCTGCTCATTAACCCTTTGCCATCCAGGAAGAATAATATACATGGGTCCAGTTGGACCAAAAACAACTAAAGCAGACCTCATAGAGTTAAGATAACAATTCTTTTATGTTAATCTACCACTGGGAGTGAAAAACAAATTTATTCATTAGATAATAGTTTTGCTTTGTTTCAGGAGTATTTTGATTGATATACCACAGTAATCTGTGTATGATGCACACTTGTATTCACCTAGACGTGTTTCAAAATTTGATCACTGAGTTTGTTCACAGGAAAAATAAGAGAAATCCCAGTATCTTGAACTTGGGGTTATTGGGGTTATATTGGTTCTAACGTGGTCTTAACTTGGGTCTAGTATGGAATTAAACTTAGGAGCTGTTCATTTTCCAAAGTAATACCTCAAGTTGGGAAATGGGAACAACTCCCAAGTAACCAGTGTTGAAATAGGAAATTGTTAAATCCACAATATAGACCCATATTTGACCCAAATATAGAGTCTAATTTGGGATATATTTACCCCAAGTTAAACCACATTTAGTCCCATAGAAGTGTTTACCTGAACCAAGGTTTGTCGCAAAGTTGTATCCAAGTGGTCCCAAATAGGGTCAGAATTGGGAAAAAGAACAAGGACCTTTTAGCCTCATAAAGTCCCACAATGGGGTCAAACTGACCCGATCTTTTATTCTTTGTTCCAAGCACTGTTAAGTTCCTCCCAAAGGACAGGCTTAAACGGCAGCAATTTATTTAGTTGTCACATCGAGCTAAAACTGAACTAATACAAACCAACCTGAATTTGATGTAAAAATGTCATTCTTTTATTTACATAAACTATAAACACTTACAATACATAATGTGGTATTTCTGAGAGTGTAAATTTACATAAAGACTTTGGAATCCTTTTCACAAATGAGTTTGATTCTCTGATTCGATTCGATTCTAGCTAAAACTAAAAACAATATTACTACTACAAGGGGAAAGTACATGTAGTTGAAGAATACAAGTCTTAAGCTTAAGAAAGTCCCAAAGATAAACTGTTCTTAAGTCAAAGTCCAGAGCTAGATGCATTAACTGTTACTGAAATCCAGTTTAGTGAGTAGTTGCAGAATATAACAAGTTCACAATTTACAAAAATGACTGCACACCACAAAACAGTTAATGCTGGGGTGAGCATGTCCCAATTTCAACCATAAAAAATGTGTTTTTGCACGAAATAGTCCTAAAGTAGGTGTGACTTAATTTTTATGAACCCAAGTTATCCCCAATGTTATCAGCTGAAGAAGCTAGTTTTGGGAGTACTTTGGGAAATATGCATTGGGAATTACAAGAGATGAAATTTTATTACCTATATAAACACCAATGAAATACCAGGTGAGCTTTCACGCTTAAACTTGATATCTTCACATGTGAAAATAACATGTTATCTTCACAGGTGAAAATATCACCATTGCTATGGCTTCATAATAAATCACGCCAACACTCGAAGAGAAATTTCGTATCTCCGCTCGGCCATGTAATATCCTCTATTACTCTTAAAATATACCCAACTTTCCCCCAAGAGTAACCCAACTTTAAAAGTGGGGAATTATTATTTCTCAGGTTAGAACCAAGTTCGACCCAAGTTTGGATTTTTCCAATGTTTCCTGTGGTTTTTTAATGAATATCTTCAGGAAGGGAAGTGATCTGCCATTTTCAAGAAAGAGCGATTGCAAGGAGAAAAGGATGGTTTTATTTTCACATGAGCAGAATATTATTTGCGGCCAAACACAGTTGGATGATATTGTGCATTTGCAGACCATTATTTGTAGGCAGTTATTTGTGGGTCAGAAGGCGGGCTCTCGGCCAATGAAAGGGAAGACAGCATGCAAAGAAAGTAGTGTCTGATAGCCCAGGGCTATTGGATGTTGCTATCTGGCTAGTGAGTTCTGTTCTTGACTTGCCTAATGGGCAAGTGAAGTGTTTTGAGAAATTCAACATACAGAAGAACTGTGAAATAAATTCTGCTCATCAAAAAATTTGGGGGGCTAGTTGAAATGACGTTTGGGCTAGTAAATGCTAGCTAAAATGACTCTCTTTGCACCCTGGAAGAAAAATTTGCATGGAATGATGATAATTGTTTTTTTAAGATGCAGAAACCAGTGAAACAGAAGAGGATAAGCAGCCAGATTTTTGTGTAGCTATTTTTCCTTTCTTTGTCTTAAGTTTTTTTTTTCCAAAATGAAGGCAAAGTTTAGGGTGCGCATTATACTCAGGTAAATGTCATAATATCGTTGTTTTGGTGTTTTTGTTTACTGTGAAACTATCGTCATAAATGGTTGGTGTTGGTCACTTTTTGTTGAAGGGGTTATCATTACATGACTATGTAGAATTATGACATATCTGTTTTATTTCTTCATCTAGTATTCTTATGACCCCAAGACGGCAGATTGGTCAAGGGAAATGAGAGGAATGCCACTCCACAGCTCAGTCAAACTTAACAATTGGCTACTGGTATTTACTCAGAGGGATGCTGGAAATGCCAAAGACTTTGAAAGCACTTTAAAGAAAGTGTGTGGGCCAATGGGAATGTCCGTTGATAGTGCCATCCAGTAAGTCACTTTTTTTAGCCAGCTGCTGGTTTGCATTTGATTCCATGGCAGCCGTGTGGGTGGTCAGTGTATAATCACAATTTTGTGCAATTAGTTCGACTTCACAAGGTTTGTGCTTACATAATCCAAAGGATGCGCTTCTCACTTTCATTCTCATTTTTTTGTGATATGCTAATGCATCAGCTGACTGTGTCCAGTTAAAGCAGTGGAAGATGTTTTTTGCATGGCAAGGAGCCATTTTCTACTTGTCCCGCTGCACTAGAGGCATTTCCCTAGCCTCTTGACAGCGACATCCAATTATATTAAGATGGTGACGTATTGATTCTGCTGTTTCTTTTTAGAGGACCGTTGAACAATGACAGAACAGAAACTTACTTGCAAGCCATTAAAAGTCTTTACAGTGATTCATTACAGATGGTTGTAACTATTTTGACATCAAATCGAAAGGACCGTTATGATGCCATAAAGAAGCTCTGCTGTTTGGAAATGCCAGGTGAGACAGAGTTCAACAGAAAGATAGCTTTTACACAGGGCTCAATTGTCAGGGTTTGTACAATCTTGAAAATGGTACTAGTCATCTTGAAAAGTCCTTGAAGAGTGCTTGACTTTTCTCCATACCTTGTTACATGAAATTTTTGTGGCACTTTAATTTCATGAAAAAATTATAGTGATGAGGACAATGCATGCATGCAATGCATTTTATGAAGGATGTAAACAAGCGACAATGACATTTCATTTCTCTTTCTGAACTGGCATAGGGATCCTAGGAATTAAAATCCGGCGTGGGGGGGGGTGCCTATTTTTGATAGAGTAGATGGGTAGGAATTATCGCAATTTAGACTGGAAGAAGGTAAATTAATTCTTTTAAGTGATATTTTCCCTGTTGGATTGTTGGATCATAAAGTTCCCAGTGTCGCAAACATAACATGACGTGAAAATTAAGTTAAAGGATGGGAGAAAGTGGGATTTAAAAGTGTTGTAACTGCCAGTAACCTCCTTTTTATCCTTTTCAAGACATTTACATACATGAACATTTTAGGGACATTGTTAGAACGTCTTTGTTACTAACAAGTGCCCTGAACGCTGTGCATTTCAAATAGGTGGCATTTTACTGATAAATTGTGATACAAAGATTTGAAAATGAACCAAGCGATTAAAAAACACCATCAAAGTTAGTAGCGTGCGAACGGCAGACGTGTCTCCTCACTCATCGCCATTGAGGGACGTTTCGCGAGGAGGAACGTCTGCGACTCAGCGATAGAAATTCCATACTGATGACGTAAATCAATGTTTACATAATAAATCCGGTAGTCATGGGGCTCCAAATGCAAATTTGTTCAATTTTACGTTTCTCCTGGTCGAATTTGGAAAAGTGTTGTGTTCATCTGCGTATGAGCTCCAGCAGAACTCAAATGCTTCATCTGGAGAATACTATATTCCACCCATATTGACTGCTTTGTTAGAGATTCATCGCATTTACATTTGACCTTTGCCGCCTTTTGTCTTTTGTCTGTCATTCGTAAACAATAGCTAGAACAATGAAACTGCTCCATCGACCAATTAGCGCTTCTGACTGGATTTTGCGTCATCAGTATGGAATTTCTGTCGCTGAGTCGCAGACGTTCTTCCTCGCGAAACGTCCCTCAGCGACGATGAGCGAGGAGAAACATCTGCCATTCGCCAGCTACAAAGTTAGCTGAAAAGTACAACAAAACTAAGAGAATTTTATAAAGAATGATTGTTTAAACAGTGAAACAGTTAAAGTGATCCACCACTCTTAAGGTTTAAGATCTGCAATAAACCATTCCATTTGAAAAATTCATTTCTCTAATAATAAAGAATTTTGCAAAATAAAAATTAAAAAGGTCTATCAAGTGAGAGCTGGGCTTTCAGAAAATTGATATCTGAGGAGTCGATTTTCACACCTAAGGCTGCGTGCAAACGGAAGTAACAACCCCCATCATTGTTGCGCCATCAATGTTGGGAGTTGTTGCATGTGTGTTGGTAGTGGTGTGCAAATGGACGCAACAATTAACCCACGGAGAACTAAGGAGTTCATAAGAACTCGTTGAAACATGTCCGTGTGTTCCAGATCTAATTGGAATTTGAAAGTGTAGGTTTTTAAGGAGAGGGGAAAACCAGAGTACCCAGAGAAAAACCTCTCGTAGCAAGGGACAGAACCAACAACAAACTCAACCCACATATGGCATCGACGCCAGGATTCAAACCCGGGCCACATTGGTGGGGGGCGAGTGCTCTCACCACTGCGCCACCCTTCTTTCCCATAATGTTCCAACCTGCAGTGCATCATGAGAAGGATACAACCCATAAGTCTTTGTAAACCATGCGTAATGAGCATGCGTGGCCCCAACAATGTTGGAAGAGCTGTGCAAACGAATCCAACATTGTTGCGCTACGCTTCAGCGATCACAGAACAAAAGAAATGTTGGGAGTTGTTGGCTGAAAAGTTTGACCGGTTTCAGACTTTGCATAGCAACACGCAACAACATCCAACGAAATGCAACAGGGGGTGCAAACGGACACAACATGTAACATCCAACAATGTTGGGAGTTGTTGGCCAACAATGTTGCGTCCATTTGCACGCAGCCTAAGGGGTGATTTGCAATTTATATCACAGGCTCAAAAAATCAAAAATTGCATCTTTCTGGGTTTCCCTCAATAACTACGAATAGAAATTAAAATTGAACTGACTTACAGTTAGATTGTTCACGTACCTTTAAACAACCAGCAGTGACCAGCAATTTTTTCCTGAGATATAGAGGTGACTGCCTACCTTAGAAGTCGACTGTGAGCCATAAACAATTAATTCATTTGCGTTCTTCTGGTCTATTTTGACTATTTTGTTTCTTTTTTAAAGCTTAAGATTTGTGCAAAATGTGTCTGGAATCATGAGAAATTTGGAGGAAATATTGTAAATTCCTTTTTTTAATAAAATAGCAGAGTCACCAATGTGAAGAACAGGTTCTCGAGAGGGGTTACCCAGAATTATTGCTTGGGTTTTCTTGCCATGTACTATCAAGAGATTTGAGTCAAACCAGGTTGAGAGCATGAAAGTATCTACTCGAATTAGCACCGCCCTTAAATAAGCACCACGTTTGGGACAAAAAAGTAAAGCACCATTGACCATTACAATCAAAATCAAAAGACATTAATTCTGTTAAATACAGAAAATAACAATATCATAGTTTAAAAAAATTCTTTGTTTCATCCAACTTACAAATAAATGCCACTCTGCGTCAGCGCTTATTTGAGTAAATACTGTATGCTAGTTAATGAACAACCAATTTCAAAATTCAGATTTGAAAGGGCATCTGTCCTTTTACGTAAATAAAATTATTTCCACCACTGAACAGTGTATTTCTTTTTTGTTGTTTTGGTGCCTGTTGCCGCTGTCATTGCTAACGCACCCTATTATTTACGAAACATTGTGATCAGTTAGAAAAATGGAATTTTCTCGGTGCAAATTAAAATGGTCCTGCTCATAGCATCTGTAACTTTTTCCTTTGTCATTGGTAGTTCCTTTGTTTCTGGTAAGGTTTATTCTTTCTTTTATACATTTTTTGTTATAATCTTTAGTGCCTTCGCAAGTTATCGTTGGTCGAACAATTTCCAAAAAGCAAATGTTAATGAGTGTCTGTACCAAGATTGGCATTCAGCTTAACTGCAAGCTTGGTGGAGAAGCTTGGGCAGTTGAAATCCCAGTAAGTACAGTTATGACTACAGTGTCTTGATTTTGTACTTAAAGGGGCTATGTCACAAGGATGTTCCTGCTTTTGATCATTTTTGTGCGGAAGTCATTACTTAGCTCCTTTACCCATACACAAGATGCTACTGTAAGGTCATGAAGAAGATATCACAAATTTTATCAGAGAGCAACAACTATAATCAGATTTAAAGCATAGCCTTAAAACGTGAAAAGTTTGGCGCAAGTTTTTCAAGTTTCAATCCCTGTCCATCCTTGCCATCCTTTAAAACGGACGACAGGAAACAGTTTCAATACCTAAATATAGTCTTGAATAACAAAACTGGACCATTATTTTAAGTACACAATAGATGCGATAAAGGTTTTAGCTTTTTGAAAAGGCAGTAAATAGCGTGACATAGTCCCTTTAATCATAGTTCCTTGCACTTCTGATCAAAGCTCTTGAGACTCTGTCGCAGGTGATAACTAGCCTGTAGTGGACACTTATTTTTGCTGTTATTGGCAATATTGTATCCATGATTTGAGCTACACCTTAAATCATGTTAAAACTCCTGAAATAGGCCATTTTACAGTTATGGATGGAAGCGAGGCTGAGGGTGACCTTGTTTTGATACAAACCTTCTTTGTTTTGTTATGGAAATTGTTCTTGAAAACTACTGGTTAGCATAAGAATAACTTGATTTACATAATAAGGCAGGAAGGTTTGTATCAAAACAAGGTCACCCTCAGCCTCGCTTTCATACACAACTGAAAAATGGCCTATTGTCTTTCAATAGGAATTTTTCATGTGATTGGTTCCTGAATTTTAACTCTTTGATTGTCACTGTCTCTTCAGTGCTAAGGCTGCTCAATTGTGTGTAAAGTTATTGTCAAGATAAAACAGTCAATAAAGTAGGTTATAAGCATGGTGAGGAGAGGATTGCTAGTTTGCTGGTGGTGTTATCCTATTCAAGTGTTAAAAATTATAAAACCCGAGTTCAACCCTCCAAGTTAAAGTTTTTGCTCGGTCACCATTTCGCAACCAACTCTTTTGGTTTAGGGAGACTTTTTTACAAATCAAGTCGCCAGCTCCAAAATGTTAGGCACCATGGCGGCCAAAATGGTTGCAACTTGAAGGGTTGGAGTTTTGACTTAAAACAGTTATTAGCCTGTGTGCAGACACCCCCGGCCTTCCCCTTAAAAACAGTCAGAGAGAGGAGGGAAGGGGGCATCTGTACAAAGGCTAAACAAATATAAGACCTAAACAGCGCACTTAAAATACGCGTAATGGCCTGGAATCTGAAGTGGGTATGCAAGCATATT